CAAGGGGGGGGGGGCAAATTTCAAGTCAGAGAAAAAAAGTTCCGCGCTTTTTTTATTAATCATTTTTATTTCAAGTTCATATATTATAACATTTAATTTCATACAATGAAAATTCAACAAGGTTAATCAATTTAACATTTGTGTTGAACTTCGAAGTAAATATACCATACACTTATATGCAATACAAATTTGTTACAATTATTCGTAACTATTCATATATAAACAAAAAGGAAAAAGTACAATTAAAGCTGATATTGGAATGCTTTACAAAAAAAGGTGTGCGGTGGTGTAAATTATGGGATGGTGTAATATACATGTTAGTCAATCTTGGTTGCTTTTAGGAATCTTAAAGTTGCTTTCAACAGAAGTGTATTATCTTCATTACTAAGTTCACTGTTACCATGCAAGAGCATATTTACTTTGCTAACAGAGTTAGCATCTAAGAATTTTTCTAAGCAACCAATAATATGGAGATCTATAAGTAGTTGGATTCTATCATTTACAAATTGGGGGCATTTGAGAAAAAAATGAGTAGGGGTTTCATTTTCATGACCACAGTTACAGGCTGGTGAGTCAATGTTTGTAAAGTGATGAGCAAATAATTGACTTTTTAGAAATAGGTCCACTTTTAACCTGTTAAATATAATTTCAGTTTTTCTAGTGATATCAAGTGATGCTATTATATTTATAAATTTTTCATTCCCGAAATGCTTTCTAAGTTTGCCTTTAAAAGTTGATATTCTATTGCAATTTCTTAAATCATTAGGCAGACCATTCCATTCTTCAATCGCAGCAAAATATGTAGTTTTTTTAAATGAAATGCTGATATTTAGAGGCACAATATACTCTCTGACAGCCCTTAGAATTCTATTTGGTTCATGTAAGTATTTATTAAATAATTCAGTGACATATGAAGCTGATAAATTGATTCTACTTTTAAATAGAAATGAGCAAAGATGGCTTCTTCTTCTCTCAGACAAGGTAATCCAATTCAATGTCTTCAAGACCTTATAGGTGCTTGAACCATGCAGAGCACCGGAAATTAGACAAGCTGCATTATAATGCAGTCTTTCAAGTTTGCTGGTAGCTATATTTGGAGCACTATTGTAAATTATATCAGCATAATCAATTTTACTTAGAATAAAAGAATTATACAGGGTGATCCAGAAGTAACGTCAAAGACATTGTAATTTCAAAAGTATTCATCAGATCTTCATGAAATTTGGTATACATGTACCCACAACATTTCTGAGTTACCATCTCAAAGATTGGAATTCAATCATTTCATTGGTTGAAATTATGGTTGCTATAGTAACCCGATATCGCGTAACCCGGGGCAAATTGAAGAGAAACCATAACGTTTTTGTGAATTTCTCTAATTTAAAAAGTCAGTAACATTTGAAAATGTTCATTGTTTGTTTTCTATGATTTTTATATTTGTTGCCATGGTAACAAATATGTAATAGTTGTGATGTCACAATAGGCATTCATAAAAAGCTTTCAATTTCTTTGAATTGCTTCCATCATCCATGACAAATACTAACATGACCAAGGACACTAACCCACCCAATTCAAGATGGCGCCAAGTCAGAGTAAAATAGAGCAAAGAACAAACATTAAGTTCTGTGTAAAGTTGGGGAAAGGTGTAAAAGAGACTATAAGACAGATAAAGAAGGCATATGGTAAAGCTGCCATTGCTGAGAGAAACATTTACAGGTGGTTTAACAAGTATTCCAGTGGATATGATGAAGTGGTAGACAAGCAGCGAGGAGGCAGGCCAGTGTCGTCATTCGATGATCAAACCATCAAAGCAATTGAAGCTGATGTTATGGACAATAGGCAAATTTCTATCAGAGAATTGGCTGAAAAACACGATCTGAGCTATGGGACTGTGCAACGGATACTGACAAAGAACTGTCTGTTAAAGAAGGTGTCTGCTAAATGGGTGCCGCATGACTTGACACAGGAGCAGAAAGACCGGCGTGTTAAGGCTTCAAGGGACTTTCTTGCAAAATATCGGAGAGATGGAGATGACTTTCTTAACAAGATCATTACGAGTGACGAATCATTGCTATCATTCTACATCCCAGAGACCACGCAACAAAGTTCATCATGGAAACATGACAACTCCCCAACACCAACCAAGCCTAAAATAGTACCAGGAATTCCACAAAAGAAACAAATGGTTGTGACATTCTTTGACATTAGAGGAATGGTGTTAACCCATTTTGTTCCCATTGGCCAGAGAATTAATGCCGTTTACATTGCAAAGGTAAGATATCATTTGTTCTAATAATACATCATACTGTGAATTTTATTTTTAAATTAAAGTATTTAAATGTTGTTCACTGTCAATATAATTATAACTCCATGGCCATGATTCAAATCCAAATCCAATCAATGAAACAACTGGTTTAACAACCATTAAACATTTGTTTTTCAGGTTCTGAAGCGTGATCTTCAACGTTCCCTGAGGAAAAAGCGTCCCGGACATCTGCAGCAGTTTATCTTGCATTGGGACAATGCCCCTACGCACACTGCAATCCTGACCAGCAACACAGTCCAAACACTTGGATTTCAACAACTTGAACATGCCCCTTATTCACCTGATCTTGCCCCCAGTGACTTTTATTTGTATGGGGAACTAAAAAGAAACCTTAGTGGAAATAATTTTCAATCCTGTGAGGAATTGAAAAATGCCGTAGTACTAGCCCTACAAGGAATGAGTTCTAATGGATTTAATTCTGTGTTCAAGGAATGGGTATCCAGACATGAGAAATGTGTTGCAAATGGTGGCAATTATGTAGAATGAACTATTATTAGTAACTGAGCAATAGTATGATTTATATTGTTGTGAAATAAAATGTTGAGGATATAACAATTTCAGATCTTGTTGATATTTTGAGATTACGCATTACACGTTAAGTAATTTGCCCCGGGTTACGCGATATCGGGTTACTATAACAACCATAATTTCAACCAATGAAATGATTGAATTCCAATCTTTGAGATGGTAACTCAGAAATGTTGTGGGTACATGTATACCAAATTTCATGAAGATCTGATGAATACTTTTGAAATTACAACATCTTTGACGTTACTTCTGGATCACCCTGTATATGGTTTCCAAATGATTCGAACGAAGAATGTGAGTTAATTGTTTAAATGGATTTAAGATTGTCTGTAGTTCCTTGGTGAGCTCATTAACATGTTCCTTGAAATTAAGCTTTTGATCTAAAATAACACCAAGGTGTTAATTATGACTAAAAGTTTTAGGAATGGGGTCACCTCCCAAATAGAGTATAGGTTCATTAACAGGGTTTGTTAAAGGTGATGTAAAAGTCAGGTCAGCACTTTTTGATGCCTTAAATTTCATTTGCCAGGTATCAGCCCAGGTTTTAATTGTATTTAGGTCAATTTGCAGATTTTGAGAGAGTAAAGGGCTTTTCTTAGAGTAAGGAAGGAAGATTGATGTATCATCTGCATAAATAAATGTAAAAAATGTTGGAACGTAAAATTTTAAATTTTGGATTTTTGAGGTGGGTTCTTCAAAATTTGGCTTGAGATTAAAGAATAAGGCCTTAAAAGGCCCCAGGGCCCCCCAGATCCGCCACTGAATCTCACGTATTTTTGCTGAAGGCTACCGTTTTTTTCAAAGGAATCTGACAAGTCTGTGACCTTTATTATCGGAGTCGCACTTCTTTCTTTTACTTTCAATAGACTAGATGCGAGTATAAGTAATCTTGATTTACGTCATTAAATATTCAAAATTCAGTCAAAGTGATGTCATATTTGAAATCTACATGTAAAAGTACATCTACAAATATGATTTCGAAAATTGTTTATCAACTTTGAAAATTATTTTTTTTTGAAAGTGTGACTCCTCGTTCGGTGTTTCCCCATAGACCCAATGTTACAAAATCACAAAAAGTGGAATATCTTTTCTTATATTGGACAGATAACATTTTCTTTTATTGGACATATTTTAATTTGCATGACTATTAGATACATAAGGGTAATATGAAAATTGAACCACTAAAACAAATGTAATTTAATTTAAAGGGAACTTTCTGCTATACCCGCCATGTTATCTGACCCGAACGAGCCACCTGGTGGTGAAACTGGTAACTACCTACTCGCATCTGCGTTATTTTGCAGCCAGGAAAATGTATAAATCTTTAGTAATGTAAAAATTGAACAAACAAACCCTCAAAATACTTGTTACGGGCCAACTTTCATGTAAATACGCATTATAATCATCAGCCTTATTACTCAATAGTTTTTGTCATATTGCTTTATTTCCAATTGCATTTAAATCAACCAGATTCTGATTGTTACAGATTCACGTATAAATCGGCGACATTGTTCCGAAACGGGATGGAAATGATAAGAACTAGGCTACTTTTTAGAATAGTTTACATGATTTGGTTTGGTATGATCGGTGGTATGACGCCCCATATACAATCTATATTGTAAGAATCAAGATATTAAGCATCAAAACTCAGAAAATACTGTTTTTCAGAGATGTACCACTGAACTACTGTTTCATAATCTATCGCAATAACTCCCGTTTTTTCAAAGTCTACCACAAAACTCCAGTTTTTTTCAAATTCTACCGCAAAAACTCCAGTTTTTTAAGTCTCCTGCAAAACTCCAGTTTTTTCAAAAGTGTACGCAAAAACTCCAGTTTTTTATAAAATTTACCGCAAAAACTTCTGCTTTTTTAGAATTTTTTTTAAAATCTTCCGCAAAAAACTACAGTTTCCTTTCAAATCTACCGTAAAAGCTCCCGTTTTGTCAAAATTTGCCGTAAAACTCCCGTTTTGTCAAAATCTTCTGTAAAAATACCATTTTTTCCAAAATCTCCCGCAAAAACTACCGCATTTTTAAAAAAAAAACTCCCGCAAAAACTACCGATTTTTGAAAAAATCTCCCGTAAAAGTACCGCAATTTTTAAAAATCTCCCGCAAATTTTCATTTGAGGTTGGCAAGTCTGCAAGTACATGTACAACATACTCAACCTGGTACATGTATTTTTATTCAAGTATTTGATTTAACGATGGCGATGTCAGTAAATTCAAAGGACGATATAGGTGAGACAAGTTTAAATATAATTAGACTTCCTTATAAGAGCTATTCTATTTTGTGGTTGATAATTGTACTAAGAATATCGAAAATTAATTCACTGTCCTATAATAATGCGACTCGTATTTTCAGATGCCATAGCACAATGCTTGTCGAACTGGCGTTATAATATAAACACGAGTAAAGACGTCGAAAAAATTGTAGAGGCATACACAGACGACTGTATTTTGATGCCACCTAATGCACCTATTTGCCATGGAAAGGAGGGTAAGTTGAGGTCAGCAAATTCATTTTTTTACAGTACACCTAAGCTGTAAGGCTATGGATTAACTTGATTTAAACTGGGCTTCATACAGGGTGTCTACAAAAACGTGTACCAAACTTCAAAGCCAGGATACTAGAATTCTGAGCAATTTTTTATTTAGAAATACAAAGTAGAAGACCTAGTTTTTTCTCCATCAAATAGTACCTAGATCATTATGTAACTGTCATGTATGACTGAACAAAACATTATTATAGTTCAAATTCAAACTTGTTTTTCACACTTCTTGCACAATTTTCTATAACTCTTTGTTGGTACTTCCCTCCCGGGAAAAAGGATCACGAGAGCCTCTTAATCAGCAATAAAACGTCTACACGATGATATGTTTTTCATAAGAGAGTTACTCAGTCCTCAGCCCAGTTCAGTATGTAAGGCCTGTCCTCTAACAAAATGTAATAGAAAAAGAATACTAGGCTTATTACACATCAATATTGCCACACAGGGAGATAACTTGACACATCGCTAATTTTACCGCCTCTCATAATGGTCATGATTGTCCACTCATACATGACAGTTACATAATGATCTAGGTTGCATTTGTCGGAGAACTAATTAGGCTAACTAAAAAAATTGTAGACGCCCTGTAGTGTTAACATAATCAAAACTGATTTTCGTTGCAAAAGTTGAGATCAACTCTTCCAGGATTGAATCATCCATCAAACGACTACATGTTGCGCATAGCTACTTCAAAAAAGATATGTTGTCGTTTGGTGTAAGTCCATCCGCGAGTGTTTATAGTCGGTCTACAATTAGGAGCACTATTTGGTCAAACGAGCATTTTGAAACCAAAAGTACCACTAATATGTTGAACAATATATATTTTTCAAGTTTATTCTATCCCAATAAAATTTCGCACACTTATGCCTGGGTCACATTTGCTCCGATCCTTCGGCCGGCGCCCGGTCGATTGAGTGTTTTGCCCCATATTGAATTCAATTTTGAACAAAATATTCAATCGGCCGGGCGCCGCATGTGAAAATCGGAGCAAATGTGACCAAGACATTATGCTGGCAACATACTTACGCTCAATTGTGATATTCAATGATGAATCAGTTCACCAAGCAAAAAATAGATTGAATGGTAACTTTTATTCAGTTAAACCTAATGGGCAAAAAGTAGGACTAAATCCAATGGTAGCGGTCAAAATACTAATGTCAATTATCTTGTCGACAGCTATGTTTGGTTGCGAGCTGTGGAGCAACTTATCGTGTGAAAATATATTCTCTCCAAATGTTGCATAGCGTCATATAACAAAAACAATCCAAGGCTATGAACACACATGGTGTTGCTCTCAAAAAGAAATGGCGGCCATTTTGAAAGAAACTTGTAGACATTGCTATTTTTCGATCGCTTACGCAGAACATCTCATGTAATGACAAGGCGTCAGTGTTTTTATATAGACTGTCTTCATTTTTATTGAAGGGTGTGAGTTCACAATCAGGGGTTATTCATGAAATTATGATGTTGAATTATAACATTATCAGTGATTATGTAGACAGTTTTGTTAAAACAGGGAAACCCATTCATAAAGTACTGTTTAAAAATGGCAAAATATCAGATACATTCACGAGAAGAGCAAATGTGGTTAGCAAGGATAAGTGCAAATAGTAACCTTGTAATGTTCAGCAATATTCTAATTCAAATTAAACCAAGTTTTGCTTGGCAAGCGAAATCCTACACACTTGTGGCAACTTGCTGACCTTGTTTACGTTTCAACTATTCCAAACTATAAATTCTTTCAATGCAAAACATGCTCATACATTTTAAGCGAAAGAAATGGGTTTCTTGAACATATATAGTTGACAGTTGACAAATGGCGAACATAATCGTCGCTTCAACTGTTTATTAATAGGCTAGGCAAATGGAAGTTTAACATCCCAAAAATTGCAACAGTTTTTAAATTAGGCTTATATTGTATATTGATACGAGTTGAAAAACATATCAAAAATATAGAAAAATATATGCAGTGGACAAATATGAAATGTTACATTCTAGGTACCCCCCTCCAAATTTGAGTATGGGATTGTAAATATTTTTATATTTCAAAATGGAATGCTTTTATCAGCTAAACGAGTAATATTATGATAGTTTACTGACATAAGACCAACTAAAAATTGTTAACCAACTATTTGAGTGCAATAATTGGCATTTCTAGCCCCAAATATCTGTAAATAGGCCATCAAATAGCCCGAATTTAATATAACAATGTATCTATTTCTGTATCAATTCATCAGAATTACATGAAAAAAATCAAAGAGTTTATTGTACACCTGACCATTGTATTTGATAAGTATCAGGGTCATTACACATCAATATTGCCACACAGGGAGATAACTTGACACAGCGCTAATTTTACCACCTCTCATAATGGTCATGATTGTCCAGTCATACATGACAGTTACATAATGATCTAGGTAGCATTTGTCGGAGAACTAATTAGGCTAACTAAAAAAATTGTAGACGCCCTGTAGTGTTAACATAATCAAAACTGATTTTCGTTGCAAAAGTTGAGATCAACTCTTCCAGGATTGAATCATCCATCAAACGACTACATGTTGCGCATGGCTACTTCAAAAAAGATATGTTGTCGTTTGGTGTAAGTCCATCCGCGAGTGTTTATAGTCGGTCTACAATTAGGAGCACAACTATATGGTCAAACGAGCATTTTGAAACCAAAAGTACCACTAATATGTTGAACAATATATATTTTTCAAGTTTATTCTATCCCAATAAAATTTCGCACACTTATGCCTGGGTCACATTTGCTCCGATCCTTCGGCCGGCGCCCGGCCGATTGGGTGTTTTGCTCCATATTGAATTCGATTTTGAACAAAATACTCAATCGGCCGGGCGCCGCAGTGAAAATCGGAGCAAATGTGACCAAGACATTATGCTGGCAACATACTTGCGCTCAGTTGTGATATTCAATGATGAATCAGCTCACCAAGCAAAAAATAGATTGAATGGTAACTTTTATTCAGTTAAACCTAATGGGCAAAAAGTAGGACTAAATCCAATGGTAGCGGTCAAAATACTAATGTCAATTATCTTGTCGACAGCTATGTTTGGTTGCGAGCTGTGGAGCAACTTATCGTGTGAAAATATATTCTCTCCAAATGTTGCATGGGCGTCAAATAACAAAAACAATCCAAGGCTATGAACACACATGGTGTTGCTCTCAAAAAGAAATGGCGGCCATTTTGAAAGAAACTTGTAGACATTGCTATTTTTCGATCGCTTATGCAGAACATCTCATGTAATGACAAGGCGAGTGTTTTTATATAGACTGTCTTCATTTTTATTGAAGGGTGTGAGTTCACAATCAGGCCTGGGGTTATTCATGAAATTATGATGTTGAATTATAACATTATCAGTGATTATGTAGACAGTTTTGTTAAAACAGGGAACCCCATTCATAAAGTACTGTTTAAAAATGGCAAAATATCAGATACATTCACGAGAAGAGCAAATGTGGTTAGCAAGGATAAGTGCAAATAGTAACCTTGTAATGTTCAGCAATATTCTAATTCAAATTAAACCAAGTTTTGCTAGGATAATAGGCAAGCGAAATCCTACACACTTGTGGCAACTTGCTAACCTTGTTTACCTTTCAACTATTCCAAACTATAAATTCTTTCAATGCAAAACATGCTCATACATTTTAAGCGAAAGAAATGGTTTTCTTGAACATATATAGTTGACAGTTTGCCAGTAAATGATAGCTTAAGCTGTTATCAGCTTCTGATGATATTTTTGAAAAAACTATACTCGCACACCGGAATAGCCTGACAACGGTAAAGTAAGATACCGTTGTCATAAATGGCGAACATAATCGTTGCTTCAACTGTTTATTAATCAATTGGTCCTCATTTCATGGGATTTTATCGTCGCTAATTCTGTGCATGTATTTTTTACAATCAACATTCTTCAACGATCATTCTTTGAACATTTTATGAGGTTTAGGCCATCAATGAAGGAGATAGATCATTGCTTTCAAAAACAGTAATATTGCAATTTTTCACATATCCTTAAGCTCCTGTGATGATGTTTCATATGAAATCCCAATTTGTATCAAATTGGATTGTAACTCGCCACAATATAGCGTCTTCGATATCGTCTATGACAACGGAATCTGAATTTAAGTAATTTAGAAAGACAACGGCATATGGTAATAATTACAGTGTCCGTTGTCCCGTATCTCATTTTGATCGGTCAAATTAAAGACTTTATTTCGATGGTAGAACAATTTTAACTGTACAATGAGTATTAAGACACTTTGATTGATTGTTGTTCCAAAGGAAGTTAGTCTAGGTGCTCTATCGCCGGTTATGTCCGCCATTTGTGACAACGGTATCTGACTTAACCGTTGTCAGGCTATTCCAGTGACTGGATATTTTCATAAATGATGATATTTTCGACCAGTTCATCATTGAGTGTGCTACATCATTTAGACAGTTGCTTTAAAGTAATCAAATAACTCCGGATCCTTGTATTAACATTTTGCTCTGTGAGAAAAACTACCATCATTTTAGCATATTTCATTCTTATATGAAAACGATTCATTGACATAATTTACATCACCAATATTGAAAAATAATTCAATTACGTATTTTTGTATCTCTAAGAAAAATAACATCAACTCTATAGTTGAGAAACCTAAAGCATACACTAAAAATATATTTCATATAATTTTCTGTATCAATGTGTACTCCAAATTGTAAAAAGGGGGGTTTTATTTTTACTTATATTTTTGACCCCTGCTAATGACACGCATAATTCAGCTCAAAAGCCCGAAGAATACTGAACATCTGTGATAAGAAACATGTGTAAGTATGTAAATTTTAGGTCAAATATTGCTGCACTATATTGTGTTACCAGCTCCTTAATTAGGCGTCCTAGGATTTTCATACCATGGACTAATATGTAGAATGATAAATTCTGAATTAACTTACCAATACCAAAAATTATGGGTAACAATAACGCACAAAGTTATTGGAATGGGGTATATTATTTACTATTAAGGCCCGTTACAAGGTGCCAGTGATATCAATCACATTTGAATGTACTTTTTGAGTTAATACTAAATTATAATTTTCAGCTGTGCGAGAAAAAATGCAGGAGCTTATAGACTCTGGCCTTGTGTTCTTTCACACCAAGCATGTTTCCATAGAAACGTGTGGTAACATGGGTTCAGATGTAACGCTTTACAGAGCAGAAACCATAGAAGGAAAAGTTGTGGAAACAGGCAGGTAACCAAACGCTGAAATTGAAGTTCATTTGATCAATGGATTTATTTCTTCCTAAATGAAAAGTTCTAGATATCCGCAATATACACTAATTTCGTTTCAAGAAAAATTCTCAAAACACTAGATGCAGCGAGGATACTTTCCAAAAATGATGAAATAAACCAATGTCTAAACATTTTGTTCTGTACGAAGAAATCACAAGAGCAGTTACAGCATTTTTTTCAAGAAGGGTTTGCAACTCTGTAAGATGGAACTTTAAGTGATTTCTCAAAAAATCTGTACCTACCCATGTAATTCATTGGTTTAAAATAAAGCATGAAAACTGGTATACTGCCTCAGTTTTTTTTGTCGAAAGCATGTTTGATATACCCTGTTTTATTCAATTCATGTTCAATACATCCATCTCATCTGGCTTCGTCTTACACGTTTCTTTTAGGGTAACTTATCAAGTTTTAGTGATTATACCCAAAAAAAATCTTGAAAATGTGAAATCAATTCGGAAGTCAATCGAAACCAGGACATCCGTTTAACTCCGTTCAAATATTTAAGATTACTCGAATCTTCTCTGTAATTTTGCACGGAACAAAAAAAACGACTTAGAAATCGTTTGATATTCTGGTTTATACTTTTTTATAGGACAGTCTGTGTGTGGAAGAAAATGGATGGCGTTTGGCATATCCACAGAGACATTTATGGGCCAGATTCGGCACCAAGTAATGCCTACTGATGTTTTCACATATGCTTGGAAGATTTGGAGCAGAACTCTCGATTTCAAAGCATTTCTTTTATTTAGACGTCCTACTGTCCTATAAGCAATTAAAGTAGATACCTTGTCATTATCCTTACTTGAGGAAAATAAATTACTTACTTGTAACATTAATAGGATAAATCGATAATTTTTCCCATGACACACATAAAAATTCTTGTGACTATGAGGATATTTTCACGTTTCGGATACCAACAATTTTTGGTAACACATTTTGAGCCTTAAATCTGAAAATTTTGGCCCAATTTGATTGATCCAAAATTAAAAAACAATGCCCGGTAGTCATATGCCAGTTTGTTACCTAAATTGGCCAATCTATGTGGGAAGAAGCGAATCTTGGGCCATGGGTACTCAGATTTTATTCCGATTAGAAGAAAAAGACAAGAAGCCTTACATTTAGTTATATTGTCCAAACTGTGATACCTGACATCTAATATAGTTAAATAAACGTTTTAAATGTATTTTTAAATAACGCTATTTACATTGCATGAAGTAAATATAAAAAAGTTACAGCCTAAAGTAGCAAATATCAAAGAATGCCAGTTTTAGCCAAAGCCTTCTCTCGCCTCCAGTCATCAACAAATTTCTTAGGAATGCACCTCTCCGTTAAACAAGATTCGCATAAACACGTGTCGTTACGCAATAACGTAGATGGCCAATCGGGTGCCTGCAAAGAGACGTGATTCATTCCTGGTCAAAAGATTGGACGTGTCATGCATGAGGATTGAGGTCGATGGGTTATTATTGAAGCACAATGCTTTGTTTATTAAATTCAAAAGATATGCAATGCAACATCCAGGCAGATAGATGGATGAGCGGGCGGTAGGCAGGCGGGCGGGAGGATGGTCGGACAGGCAGGAGTGTCATTATTTGAACCAGTTTCTAGAATTATTTTATAGATGGCTGTTCCGAAAGTGTACGTTCTCTCTCAATTTTCACGTTCACATATTAAGATCTATATAACCTTTAATTCTGAACAAAATATACCTTAAATAAAATATTAACAAATTCTTTTAACTTTTAACTCAAACTCCCCTTGTAGGTCTCCAGTTTTATCTACTTTTACTTTTTATCTTTTGACCGAATGGCCAACTCGAAGAAGTTATGAAATTAACAAGGTGATTAATCTTACTAAATCTAGGCCGGTGTGAAAGAAATGATGGTCCCCCAGGGATTATGGTCCCCTTTCTTAACGGCCCTTACTGGCCCTGATTGCGTATAAGATAATGAGGGAAAAGGTTGTATTGAGGTCACCATATAAGTCAATTGAGAGTAGGACCATAATTTGATAGGACCTCCCACCCTTTTACATCGGCAGTAGCATAGACTGAAAAAGTTATATTCGTATACTAATACAATATTTCTAAACAGAGAAATGTCTTATAGAATACTCTTGATCCCAAACTACAGTCCCTTACCTTTCGTCCATTGGGGTCTCTGAAGACAAGGTTGCAACCACAGCATCTTGGATTTCTCACATCACATCCAACCATAAAGACCTGGCACGAGTCTCTATCCCCTTGTTGGAGAAAGCCATAGGGACAAAGACTCGCATCTGTAATTGGTCGTGGTGTGGACCTTGTAATACTCCTAACATTATCCCCTTGGATATCGATAGTCCTCTTGAAGGATTTTTTGACTACAATAAAATGTTTTCAAACTTATATCATTTCCCTCTATTAACGTACACTACATTCCAAAAGTTTGATCCTATGATTAGAAATTCATGACTCAATTTTAAATTACCAAACCCAATGCTTTAGATAAGGTGCTACTAAATAATATTAAATGTCAAATCTCCTCTCCGCGCGGGTAATGATTCAGGTAGGGGACACACAACCAATTTATCCTCCAGCTGGAGTAGGAATACGAATAGATGGCATTTTAAAACCAAGAATCTAGTCCAGTTATTGCAGGGTGGTCCAAAAAAATTGGAACATTTGATAATTGAACGCAAAACCTTTATTTTTCTTTTAAAATGCACCAAACTTTAACTGAGCATAGTTCAGTCACTTATTTATCTGATGTAAAGTTTATAGGTGCAAACAACAAAGTTAATACATTAAACTAGACAATGTTTGATATGACCCCTCTTCTCCTGAATTACAAGTTCAAGCCTGGGACTCAGTTTTGAAATGATTCATTCAGCTTGCTGTTCGTTTGATTTTGTCCAAGCCATCTTGATTAAAAAATTCAGCTTGAACAAACTACTTATATGTTTGCCTTGGAAGATCAAATATATGAACATATTCAACATTTTTTTACCCAAATTGATGGGTATCAAGCTTTTTTTGATGGCTATTGTTGGGTGTATTACTGATTGAATATTCTCCAGAAAGAGGCCAGGGCAGTCTGTTTTGACTGGTAAATGAAGCCCCCCCCCTTTCTTGTTCTAATATGAATAGTATTTATTGAATATATCAATATATGAACATCAATATCATAAAGGAGTTTCCCAGAACACAAATGATATATTATATGTGCTTAGAGGTGGTATTTAAACAAGCCTTGTAAATAACTGGTCAGTTTCCTCTTTACTGAAAAGTGGAAACAATGATTTTGTCACTTTAGTTGCTGTATGGGTTATGCAATCACTCACCTCTGACATGTTCTTTCTTTCCAACTCTTAAATGATTTTGGGTATTCTTAAGTTAACAATAACACTATAGTTTTCTAGTAAACCAAAGATGCTGATACCTCTTTTCAACTACAGGGTGGTCCAAAAAAAATTGGAACATTTGTAAATTGAACGCAAAACCTTTATTTTTCCTCTAAAATGCACCAAAATTTTACTGAGCATAGTTCAATCACTTATTTATCTGATGTAAAGTTTATAGGTGAAAACCACAAAGTTCATGCATTAAACTAGTATATGTTTCATAGGACCCCCTTTTCTCAAATATACACCTGTCAATTTAGCCGCTTCTTTTTCAAGTATTCTTTATTTCAAAGCTTTAATGAACATGATGATTTCTATACACATTTTATGAAATCATATTCATTTGACAAGAGGTATTAACATCTATGGTTTACTAGAAAGCTACTGTGTCACTGTCAACTTAAGAATACCCCAAATCATTATTTTTATTTAAGAGTAGGAAAGAAAGAACGTGTCAAAGGTGAGCGATTGCATAACCCATACAGCTACTAAAGCGACAAAATCACTGTTTCCATTTTCAGTAAAGAGGAAATTTACAAGACTTTATCAAAGACCAACTCTAAGTATATATAATATATCATTTGTGTTCTGGGGGACTCCTTTATGATATTGATATACATATATTGATACATTCAATGCACATTATTTATATTAGAACAAGAAATGGGATGGGGCTGCATTTACCAGTCAAAACGGACTGCCCTGGCCTCTTTCTTGAGAATATTCAATCAGTAATACACCCGACAATAGCCATCAAAATATGCTTGATTCCCATCAATTTAGGTAAAAAAATGTTGAATATGTTACTGGATTTGATCTTCCAAGGTAAACATATAAGAAGTTTGGCCAAGCTGAATTTTTTAATCAAGATTACTTGGACAAATACAAACAAACAGCAAACTGAATGAATCATTTCAAAACGGAGTCTCAGGCTTGAACTTGTAATTCAGGAGAAGAGGGGTCATATCAAACATTGTCTAGTTTAATGCATAAACTTTGTGGTTTTCACCTATAAACTTTACAGGAGATAAATAAGTGACTGAACAATTCTCAGTAACATTTTGGTGCATTTTAGAGGAAAAATGACGATTTTGAGTTCAATTATCAAATGTTCCAATTTTTTTTGGACCACCCTGTAAATATAATTTTATAAAATGTGTATAGCAATCAACATGTTCATTAAAACTTTGAAATAAAGAAAACTTGAAAAAGGAGCGGTGAAATTGACAAGTGTATATTTAAGAAAAGGGGGTCATATCAAACATTGATTAGTTTAATGCATTAGCTTTGTGGTTTGCACCTATAAACTTTACATCAGATAAACAAGTGATTGAACTATCCTCAGTCAAATTTTGGTGCATTTCAGAGGAAAAATAAAGGTTTAGTGTTCAATTAACAAATGTTCCAATTTTTTGGGGACCACCCTGTAGTTACACCAGCATCACAAGTGGTTTGATTTTGGTAAGTCCATGAATGAAAAAAGTGTTGGATCAACTCTAACATATGATTTGAAATGAGCAAGGTGCATTTTATCTGAAAGACGTTGACCTTTTTGACCTCTCTCCATCTGTCAAAATCAGAATGACAATTTTTGAAAATTTCAGATGGCGTATTCAACAGGTGAGATCTTTTGATTTTCGTGGGAAGTTTTGATTCAAACTTTTTTCACGGACAGAAGAAATACTTGCGTATGATGGCACGATAGCAAAACATGGCCTCAAATCTTAATTTTCTCTAAAAGACAGATCATGTGTATGGGAAAACGCATGTTATAGCATTTGGTAGGATTATCCCGTAGTATCAGATGATACCTATGAATGTTTTTTGTTATATACCACAGCTACATACCACTGTCAGGTTACCTTTGCATAGTGACTTTTTCAATGTCTTCATAATGTCCATAAGTTCCACGAAATCGTTTGGACGAAAGATCTTTGAATTTGGGGTAGCAATCATTTCAAATTCAGTTGCGTTGTTTAGTCCAAACTCGTTTGGTAAGTTGATCACCAGTATGAATGCACTGCAACAGAATTACGAACACTTTTAAACCAGCATCATCTTCTTTTTTTTTAAATATATAAGCCCAAACAGTTACTATATTGGTCCATAAACAGTACCTGTATAGAAATATCTCAGATGTAGACTAGCTGCTAATCCGAACCCATAGTCTTATACAAAATGTGATTTTTAATACTACAATCTGTTATATATGAATTAGCATTCAGAAAACAAGCCAATCTGTTACCCTGTGTTCCTTAGTAGCTCAGCTTGCTCAATTGTTTCCCACTGTCGTTCCCATGGAAACGTGATGCCATCAGTGATCAAAATCAAAATATTAATCACATCTGGTCTGTCCCCGTGTTTAGCTGTAAAGTACACCTCCCTCGCTTCACGTAGAGCATCAAAAGTAAATGTCTTACAGCCCTTTTTGCGTAGGTCAATTTTGGATGCTGCCTTTCTTAGGGATTTTTTGTCTGTGTTGTCATTCAGATAGAACTGGTGATCCGTCCCTTTGTCATATGCTACTGCCGCCATCTATTATATTCACAAAAACATAAATATATCTAAGGTTGTTTGCTATGTATTGTATCTCATACTCCATGTACCAATTGAAAGTGATGTACCTAGGCTTAGCATAATATTTTATACCAATGGAAATAGAAATTCTAATTCACTGTAATATTCAATGCGAGTATATGCAAGGAGTATTATCAAAGTCAAGTGTGCGCAAGTACTTTTTTAAGAATTTCATAGTGGTATTCAGTTATAGTTGTCAAAATGAGCCTTCCAAATCCCAAAACGACTCCGTGCAATTTAATCACTCTTAAAAATTATTACTTGGATTTCCTTATATTGAGAAATTGTACTTCTCCTTTTAAGTCAAAAACTACTTAAATAATCTTGAACTACTGAATAATTTTTAAGTAATCTTTAAGTAATTCATTTATGGTGAATTTACTAATGCAAGGAGAGAAATTGAAATACTTACTGTAGTAATTGTAATACTCATTTACATAATTAAGCAATTAAAAAACTCAAAATGACAATATAAGTTAAACCTAAGTAAAATGAAGTAAAACTAAGTATTTAACTTTAAGTAATTTTTATACTTTGGAAATACTTGGGAAATACTCAAGTAATTCATTTTTAAGAGTGATTTCTTAACAGACACAATCTTAGGTTCTCTTTCCAATGCTCTATAAGAATTTACTGAAGCTGAAAGTGCCTTAGTATAATTTGGTTAAAAAAGTGTTAAAGTGTTTACAGTGGGGCATTTTTGACTCTTTATATCCTTACCAATGTTTTATTTGGGCTGGTTCCAATATCAAATTTTGTCGTCATTTTTTTGACAAAATCCCTAACTTTCAATTTGTTCTCCATGGAAATACTGCATGAGGTATCGATGGCCCAAACTATATCCAAGCCACATTCCTTCATTGGAGACTTTTTAGAATAATCTGAAATATAATTTTTTGGTAAAGTATGGTCGTCTGAAGTATCCATATTGTAGTAAAATGATCAAGCTTATCTCTTCCACACCTTATCTGAAATATGTTTCTATTAACTTAAAAGTACAAAACAATATTTAAGATATCGAATCGCGAATATGGCATATGACGACGTGTTATCCCACCATTCGACTTGAAGAATGCATAAATTAATAGAGAGGATCAACCTATATACGCGTCTCACAAGATAGATGATGAGAGTGGCCGAGCCTAGCCCTCACCTTTTAAAAAGGTCGCCCATACTGTTACTTCAACCAGTAGACAAATCAGTATTACCAGTGATGGTCTCGACATCACCTTTCGTAAAATAAGACAAAATACTAGATATAACAGTATAAGATGATTCAGCTTGGATAAATCCAAAGTACTTATGAGTAGCCATTTCACACCACTATACCCCATACTTTATCATGAATTCCTTTAAAAGAAATACAGGCTACAGCAAAGTTGCAAATGGAGGACGTTTTTTATTTCCATAGTTCTGAATGTATACTGGATTTTACATATATTCTAAGTGTTCTACTATACATTGTATGGATTCATCGAGCAGTTTGCAACGTATTATTACAAGAAAAGCCAAATGTTCATGGCTTTTAAAAAACCTCCTACCTCATACCCACCTACCCACCTACGTGGAACATGATACAGTCATCGAAGGGTTCAATTTTAAAGATTGTTAAATCTCTAAATAGCTGAAAATATTAACATTTCTACAATTCCGGCTTTATTTTATGTGACTAGACAGATGACAGATCCATAAATAAAGGCATATGGATGCATTTTAATGTGTAATGACCTGAGGGCGCCCAATGGGGAATAAATGACCAAAGACCCCTAGCATAGGTCCAACAAGCCAGATAAAGAAATTGAAAGAAAGTGTGCTAATTTCGATGCCCCGAGTGGGAATCGAATCCAGCTGGAATGTAGTAGTAATTTGCTATCAAGGGTCGCTACAAATGTATCTATAATTCATCATAGACTAAGATTTAATAAACTAAGATCTTTAAAATTGAACCTTTCAAAGACTATATCGTGTCCCACGTACGTGGGTAGGTGGGTATGAGGTAGGCAGTTTTTTATACAAAGCCAAATATTCATAAATGGAGAATACCCGCTCCATTTGCAACTTAACTGTACCCTGTATCCTTTTTAAATGCGGTCACGAGATGGGTAGTGTGCGTTTGTTTAAACTGGATCTGTCCTCTTTTATTCATCAAAAATCGACATCCCTCGAGAAACCGCGCGTGGGTTATTTGAGGGTACAGTTTTCACCAGAGAGTGGTGTTCGCTCAGACAGGTTTTACACTATTTTCTCATGGGTAATATAAAAAGTTCAAGACGAGAAAGTCAGATATAAGTGTGCTACAACGTATTTGCTTTTTTCATTTGATGGTAATGAAGATTTTCAATTGTTTGGACAAAAAATCATTGGATATTTTCTAATCTAGTATTGATATCTTGAATTCAGGATAAATAAAACGCTTTTGTGACGAGTACCATTTTTACTGGATATGGTAAAGCGGCAATTTTAGGTTTTAAGGTTTTTAGTCCTAATATCTTGTCTGTAAAAATCTCTTCTACATGGTTCAGCTCTTCGAAATCCAAATAGAAATTTAAATAAACTTACCATTTTAGGAGATTCGTTTTACTTCCCAGATAATTTTTACTCCACGATCACTTCAATCAATATACCCAATTACACAGTCTTGTCATCCCGAGTTCCTAGACATGCTTCACTCACAACACCAGGTTAATGTGTCGGTCAAATAAGGTTTATGTAAAAAACAACACATTATACCATAAATTGGTTAGAAATTAAAAGTACATCACTAAAAAACACGGTTCTGCTTCACTTGACAACGTAAGGTCGGATTGTGGTCATCCATCTCATATATCAATCGTTTCATTTAATGACATTGATTATGCGTTTGACCAGCTGCAGTTTTAACCTCTATAAGTATATTGAACAACTAATAATGACATTATCTATTGTTCTGACATAATATTTAGTAAACTCTGCTATTGATATGGTTGTAAATTAGCAGATATGAATTTCTACACTGCCAATTTTAAATCTTAAAACTGTTAAATTGATTCTTTATTCTATCGGTCTGATTAGTATTCTAATTTCAACATACTTGCTCATTATGATTCACCGGAGTCCCTTTTTATGCTTGACTGAGAACACGTCCGTACCCAGGGTATTGTCCAAGTTAATCAGTGCATGTGGTGGAAAAATATAAATCATTGCCTTAGAATATACCTTATTTCACAGAACTCTTATTCTTGGTGGTTCGCTTCTTGTTTTCATATTAGTAATGAATATATATTACGTTTACGATATTCTTTTTTCTCATTGTTTCTCATGATCATTGTTTTCTAATTTAACTTTAGGACCAAAATTATCACCGATAGAATTATTGCCGATATCTACCCGGCCTTTGGAGGGAAGTATGCATACCCACCATACTCCACTATTAAACGGTCCCATACAATTCAATTGAAAAACATGCAAATCTTCGGATCAAGTATGAAAAAACTAAGATTCCAGTTACCAACCACATATTCCACGTTATAGCTCTATATGTCCCCCTTGGAACTCAAAATGTCTCTAGAAAAATCGCTTTTTCCGCCATCTATTCGAATTTTCAACACTTTCCAACAGATTTCAAACTCAAGACCACCCGTCACAAAAAAAGCAAATATTTGTAGTGAACCAAATAATTTCGTAATACTTTTTATGAAATTATAATACACAAGACATAAACAAAATAAAATGTAAAGTCTGTACATTTTCACTGGTGATTGCACTGATAAACTGGATATCCATCAACCATTATCCCGATTTTAAACATAGATTCTTCTACCTTTTCAACAGCGACATCTGTGTCGTAATCTTACTCACTTCGAGAGCCATGTTAGATTTTGTGCCAGTTGTGTAATCCAATGGATAGTATTTGCATTCGCATCATATTTTAGGCCGATATAAAGGTGGCAGCAGTTGTAGAATTTCATAATAACAGATTAATTGCTCTGCCATCTTTATTGAAAAGTTATTTCTATCGCCATTTAACCAAGCAGATTTATTGTGTGCTTGTATCTGGGTTACATATACAGGGCGTTCAATAACTAAGTTTTGCTAATTTTGCTATAAACTTTTTCATTTGCATTTTTCTTCATGAAAGTTTGACACTAAAGGAACTTATATCTGACCTTATTGTACTAAAAATTCCTGACAATCAACTGATCATGAGTATTGACCATTGACATCGGGGTAAGGATTTCCATGATAAATCATTGTTATACGACATCAAATAAACACTTTTGGATGAATTGTTGACATGGTTAAATATTGGTGTTGTCAATTTGTACTTGCAAAGAGCTATGATATCGAAGTATGTATAGTATAGGTGAGAGGATATCCGACCCGAATCTCAATCAGCTGATGTCAGCAATGAACACCTCCCTAGCCACACACTTCAAGGATGGCTTCAAGAATGTGTATCTTGAGTGGGTCGACAGGCAGCAACTATACATTGATTCTAAGGGTGCCTTTGAGCACCTCGTGAAGTCAGGCCCATAGCCAGCTTTTGCAAAGGCGGGGGGGGTATGTTTCCAAATATTCCAGTATACATTTCAAACCTTTGGACCAAAATCACTTGAAAAGCGCTCAGAATGGTGAAAATCAACAATTTCTGGCCAGGAGAAGGGACTTGGTTTCAGGGGTTTTAAACATATCCATCATGGGTGACCAAAATTAAGCTGAAAGCAACGGATCTCATGAGTTTTCCCTATGGGGAAAATAACATGAGAAATATTGTTTTCCACTTTATCTAAAAGGAATTAGTTATTTAAAGTGTCTCACATATTCGATCAAAACTTGCCATGCAAACATGTTAGTCTACTTTACTGGCCCCCCTTGCTGTAACAAGGAACCCGAAACACATTAAAACGTATAGTAAACATAAACCAATTAGTCACTTCACTATGAAAGTGAGGGGTGTTAGCAAAAATGTGTATTAGGCCATAAGAAGTAGGTTATTTGTTTTGCGTCATGGCAAAATCCAAATCATGCAAGGGTACAAGGAAAACAAACACAAACTTGTTTATGGGCATATAAAGGAATGACATGCCAATTTGCAGTGATTACAAACACATATCTATACATCCTATACAATATATTTAAGCATAGCTATTATACAAGGGTACAAAATAAGAAAATACACAATGTATGCTAAAGTAATCAATAACACTGTCAATTTTGACGCACATCAAATGATCTGCCATTTCGTCCGATTCTGATTGAATGAAATGCGATGGTACTATTTGGATGTGTTTTTTTTTTGATTTACTCAAAATCGTGCAAGCAAGGGGACGCAAAACAGAGAATGTACTTCTTATGGCCTTAGCAGAATACGCTGTGTGCATGGACTAACACATATCAGTGGTCATTTACTGTGCCAACTTAGTAACCCTTGCATATCGTGCTCACTCAAGTATTGAATAATTTTTTTTATGATCTAAATGTTAGTGGTTTATAAAAAATGTGATATATTTTAGTTAGAAATACATTAATTAATATATTCATTCAAACAGCACTAGAATGCGGGAAGAAAGAGCAATGGTGACAAAATGCAGACAGAATTTTCCGTAAGGGTTTCAAACATTTCTGGACACAAACATACATGTACTTCATGTGTACTGTTATTTTTAGTGCTGCATTTATAGATATAATTTCACGTATTAAAATCATATTTTCCGGCAATGACTTCAAATTCGGAACCACACCCATATCACTCCAAACATGTGTAAACATTGACCATGTGCATATAAATTCAGATTTCACGAGCTCTTTCCTATTCGAGTACCTCATACACCCCTGCATGGATTTGAGTTGGATTCGCCTTTTATACGTGAGCCGGTACACATCGCAAACGCTGATTGGATAAAGATTGCGAGAATCTTTAAAGGGGTTCCCTGTGTCTCAAAACGCAACATGTTGATGTAATAAAAATTGAAAAAGCAGGGGTGGAGGGGGTTGAAAATCAGAAAAACGCGTGGGTGGGTTGTTTACATCTTCCCTGTCTCAAAGTCGAAATTATTCTCTCATCTCTCCGAAATCTGTTGAGATACTTTCCGTCCTCCTTTGAGGTCTGATGTGAACTCCTATAAACTTGTACATGATTTTAAAAATAGGTTTAGTCAATTTGAAGCAAAAAAAATTGAAATCAGTTTTGAACAAAATACGGTCTGGCGCCGGCCGATGAATCGGGGCAAATGTCATGACCTAGATTTAAGTTGAATCTAATCTAGACGAAGGTGTTTTTTTCGATACAATGTAGAACATGCTTACATTTTTGATTTTGTATTTGTTATGTTCACTGAATGCCAAAAATACAATTCAATATTAATTCGAGTAGAAATAATCTTGATTACTTCATTAAATTGCATCTACAAATGTGGTCTAAAATGTATTTACCAACTTTAAATGTAATCTTCTTTGAAAATATGCGTTCTATATTTACGTCGGGGAGATTCCCCATAGACCCCATGTTACAAAATCACAAAAAGTGAAATATCTTTTCTTGTGTTGAGCAGATAATGTTTTCTTTTACTGGACATAATTTCGATTGTATAATTATCAGACAAATAAGGATTATATGAAAATTGATCCGCTTAAACTGATAATATTCATGTTTAAAGGAATATTCCTTGCCAAACCATCTCTCTCCTCATATGGTAGCTATAACCATATATATGCTTGCCATGTTTAGCAAAATACGCAAAAATGTTTTGATATGGTGAAATTTGATCACTTAGAAATGTGATGCTCAATTCCAGTAAGCTGCCATCTTTTAAAATTTCACACAGGAAGTGATGTCATCGACTCTCAACTTTGCATATAGCATTAGGTGAGGAGCTTTTAAGAATTACAAAACCAGCTAAATATTCTTTTTCAACTTTGTATCTTATTTAATCCTTCTGAAAATCTCTTCTTTTATTCTAAGTTGACAAGCCCTGAAAATATTTTTGCACAGAAAGTAATGATCACTTGTCTATAAGTGATTTTGTGCTACTTTCCTATACTGTCATGGGCAATGTTATAGAAGTTGAGAGTTGATGACATCACTTCCTGCAAGAAATCTTAAAAGATGGCAGCTCACTGGAAATAAGCACTAGATTTTTAAATGATCAATATTGACCATATTAAAACATTTTCCCATGTTTTGCTAAATATGGAAACTATATATATGATTATAGCTACCATATCAAGAGAGAAAGGGTCTGGCAAGGAATATTCCTTTAAGGAAACTTTCTTATATACCTGCCATGTTAATAAACCCGAATCAGCCACCTGGTGGTGGAACTATTAACTTCCTGCTAGTCTCTGGGTAATTACAGTATAAGGTTGCCAATCTTTTGACAGTTATTGAGTCATGTTGCAAATGAAACAGAAACACAAAAAGAAGTTGTGGGTATCAGAAAGATCTTCATGAAGCATATTCAAAGACTGGAATCACCGATCACACGTAGATCAAGATGCTTCACTTGTTTCCTTTGAGAATTTGGAAATCTGTTCTTTTTCATTTTATTTCATTTATTTTTTCCGTTGTTTTACTTGACACCATTTCGTGATTTTTCCCATTGCCTCTTTTCCTTAGCCCAAGTGTCCTTTATATGTGGAGGAATACAGCCAGTATTCAGACACAATTCGCAATAACACTTTCCTTTATACAACACAGAAGTCGGCCACTGCGGCTGAAATAAGATCTTCACATAATTAGCTTAACAAAAATATTTTCCGAGTGTAGATGCTCCCTCTTCTTATACCTTCTGGATGATACCAGTCTGTTTGGGTAAGTTCGAAATTAGATTGCCCAATACGAATCAAAAGATCTGACTACCATCACGAAAACTCAAATGTTTGTCGTAAATCAAATCATTTCGTCATACTTACATGAGATAACAGAATAATACAAAAAGTCTTTACATTCTAACTTGTAATTGCACTGATAAAATTTGATATTTAGATTTTTGTTAGCTATCAAATGCAATACTTTACTACTCAATAAAAAGGCTAGAAAAGTACACTGAAAAGCCTTGTGATCCACAATCAACTCACCAATGTCCCATTGTCTGGATGGGCAAATGCAAAGCCACAGCCGCAACACTTTTCGTTTCTTAAGTCACAAGAAGACATAAATATTTGGCAAGAGTCTTTGTGCGTTTCATCATGGAACCCAAATGGACACAAAACACTAGCTGGTTTAACTGTCTGGTCGTCGGGTGTTGTGGCATCCGTTGATGGGATTAATGGTTCTCCTCCTTGTGTGCGACCATCTCTCGATGCCGTGGTGGTACTGTCAGGGAGTACTTTGGGGTCTCGAGTTGGCTTCGATGTCATCTTTTTACCAGAAGTCACTATAATCGGTGGCATAGTTGATGTTCGCCGACCTCTCCTTCGTCGGGTAGTACTGTCAGTGAAGGAATTAGGGTCACGCGTCGGGTTTGATGTCACCTTTTTACCAGGGGTCACTTTAATCGGTGGCATAGTCGTTGTTCGCCGACCTCTCCTTCGTCGGGTAGTTCTGTCAGTGAAGGAAATAGGGTCACGCGTCGGGTTTGATGTAACCTTTTTACCAGGGGTCACTACAATCGGTGGCATAGTCGGGGTTGGCAAACCTCTCCTCCGTCGGGTAGTTCTGTCAGTGAAGGAATTAGGGTCACGCGTCGGATTTGATGTCTCCTTTTTATCAGGGGCCACTACAATCGGTGGTATAGTCGGGGTTGGCGGACCTTTCATTCGTCGGGTAGTACTGTCAGTAAAGGAATCGGGGTCACGCGTCGGGTTTGATGTAACCTTTTTACCAGGGGTCACTATAATCGGTGGCATAGTCGGGGTTGGCGGACCTCTCCTCCGTCGGGTAGTACTCTCAGTGAAGAAATTAGGGTCACGCGTTGGATTTGTTGTCTCCTTTTTATCAGGGGTCACTTCAATCGGTGGCATAGTCGGGGTTGGCGGACCTCTCCTCCGTCGGGTAGTTCTGTCAGTACTAACCGTTGTCGTAACGTCTGGTTTCCTGACTAAGTGTAAAGCAGACATATTTACAATAATCAGCTGCTCATTGACTCTATGCCATCTCAAACAGATAACATATCTCTTTAAAATCTATTATATGTTATCAATTGAGACTTCTTTTAAATTGTACACGCTGTTACACATTTTTAGAAGAACAGACTATATTTATAAATGAAAATCAACACAATTAGCCTACTTATTAGGTATTTAGTTTATCCCACTTATACGATTAGGATATTGATAACAGAGTAACTATAATCTAATAAAATTACCAGCGCATAACGCCTTCCTGAGTTTCTTTACATATCTTGGTAATTGTTCAAATTGACCAGGTCTTAATATTCTCCCACTGACATCATTCGCCATCGTTTCCAACTCACCAAGCCCATCGTTTCCATATTCGTTTGGCAAAGCAAAAATAAAAAGTTCATATCTAAAACAAAAATTGATGAGTGACTGAGAAAACAATTTCCTTGATTGATAATATTGAATCATTTTTAAATTGGAACCAGACACATTCAAGGTTTGATCAATTAGGTTGTGACAAATCGCTATTTAAAGCTCAATATACACCAATGAGGCAAAATCCCACTTGCCCCATCGCGTCCCATCTTGCCCCTTCGAATCCCAACTTGCCCCATCGAGTCCCATCTTGCCCCTTCGAATCCCAACTTGCCCCATCGAATCCCACGGAGTCACATGGGACCTTGATGACTTTGTCCAATCGTGCCCCATGCAGTCCCGTCCTACCGTGCCCTATTGGTGTATGTTGGGCTTAAACCAACACGTCATATGATCAAAAATCCCACGATGCCCCATGGAAAGAATGACATGTTCATTTTTGATGGGGCATGATAGGACTCATTGGGATTTTGCCCCATCTTGCCCCATCATTTAGAAGTAATTTAAAATTTAGGTATAATTTAGTCAAAATTCCTTACTTACTTTAGTTTGAATTGTTGGGCAGCTGCAATTGTCTTATATGCCTTCTTTCTAGGGTAGGTAACCCCGTCGCTGACGAGAAGTATAACATCAGCCGCCTCCTCACGTCCTCCATTAGCCGTTTCAAAATATTTTGGAGCACGTTGAAGTGCTTGCCATGTAAGTGTCTTGCATTGAACGGCATTTAAATCGATATTTGATGCCATTCTTTTGAATTTTGTAATACTTTTTACTTGGTGGAAATAAAACTGATGCTCTGCCCCTTTGTCAAACGTAAGAACACTCATCTACAAATTAATTTTATGCTGGGTGATCCAAAAACAGAACTGTCCAAAATTGTAATTATTTCCTGAAATTCTAAGGAATTCAATCAATTTTCCTGGTACAACTGGAATTTGTGGATGATATGGAATATATTTTGAATATATATATCATATGCTCACTTGAGTATGAACACGATATACGGAATCAACCATTATATAACCTCGTATCATATCATGGTCAGAGCAATATTAGGTATATAATAGCAAGTGATAAATCACATATTTGGGACAGGGATGATATTAGGGGTGATATCAGGATAAGATGGATGATATCAGGGATGATATCGATATCATCCCAGGTAAATTTTTAAAGATTACATTTTTTTCCAAAAAATCGTTTTCTACAAAATTTTTCATTTTCTAAAAAAAATTCCTTTTTTTATTTTTTTTCATTTTTTTACCAAAAAACACAATTTTCAAATATTTTAATTTTTTGGTTAAAAAATCTTTATTTTTCAATTTTTCAATTTTCAAGTATTGTGTTTTTCTTGCCCTTAATTCTAAATGTACTTTGGAATAATCTGTGATAATCTTTCCAAGATTCAATCATTTTTTCTCTCATTCAACTAAAGATTTGAGGTGGATATTGCTCTTGACCATGGTATAAGGTCGTTATCCACCTGTAGATATGATATGGCCTCACTGCGTTCCATCCTTGTATCCTTGTATCATGCATCCTTGTGATATTCCCCATATCGATTCCCGACAGGTGAATAACTTCTTTATACAAATTAATCATGTTTTCGAGGCTAATGTACTCGTTTTGAGGAAATCAATATAATGTAATCCATTAAATAAATGCATGCATCATGTAATAGTGCCTTTATTTTGAAGATTCAATGATATTTGCTTACCAACGTCTGTCCTGGATTTGCCCCGTAGTTAAAGTTATCAGCAACATCTTTGATAAAATTTCTTATCAATGTGCGGTTTGATTCGCTTATACTGCATGACGTATCAAAAACCCATAATATATCAAGTCCGCACTTGACTGCAAAGTCAAGTAATAAATAATATAGTAATAAAATATATCTGGTGTTCCAAAAATGAATCGCTTTTTGTACATTCTCAGCAATCGAATTCTCAAATTTATTGAAAATTTTCATAAATTATAGGCCTAGCCTAAGGGTATCATAAGTCGATATATGAAACAGATTTGCCACATACTGTATTATATGAGAAATTACAAATTCAAAAATGCGTGTCAAATATCCTTTATCAGAGCTGTGCAATGAGACCTTCATAGCGTTTGTGCCTGCTTTCAGGTGATAGCATTTGTTAATCAATTTTAGTCTCAAAAAGAGCTTGTTTATGAGTCAGATTTATTGATTTGTTTCGTTGTTGGAAGATGAATCGTGATCAAATGTACTGTAAATAGACTTATAAATTTGAAAAATGCATTGCATTCAACATACTGACAGAATAATTATGTCATCGGAGGCGATATCCATTGAAAAAATACACAGAAACATTTCATCTTGAAAAAAGCTTCTTTCCGATGATATCAGATTTTTTGACACACACTCTTCAATTTGTCAATTCTCACATAATATGTGACAGATCACAAATGATACACAAAGCCTACTTTATATAATTTTTCGATAAATTTGAGTAATCGGTATTTATAAACTTGTCAAAAAGCATTTTTTATGGGACACCCGATATATAAATTATATAGCGTCTGTCACTCCTTGACATACTTTATTCATGCGTCACTTCGAAACTAGCTACATTGTTGCAAAGAGGAGGGAAACCCCCATGCCAGGGCTTTGAGAAGACAGACATACGTCTCTTCCTTACCACCTTAGTCTGTCCACACCGGCTGGTAATTAGTTTCCGAATGCAACACGTCCTTGTGATGTTTTAATCGATTTAATAAGCATATTTCTTACATCTTTCTTTATTTTTATGTGAAATAACGAGCTACGATGTTGGATATCATGGCCTTGAATAACATGCCAGAAATTAACATGATATTATTCCAAGCATTTTTAGAAAATTTTGAAAATTTTGAAATCGCCATTGAATGGCTCAATTTGACCAATCAGAGACGATGTCTTCTCAATTCAAATTTAGACGTGGACATTTGTATTCTTATAACCCTGAGGGTTTCCCCTTCTTATTACTGCATCGGCTTGCTCCGTATTTGATAATGATGAATCAATAAGGAATCAAAAATCAGCTTTACACTTGTATATAGTTATAAGTACAAAACCTAGGGCTACATCTAACCCATCTGTTCCGAAACGTACCATCTGTCCGTTGTGCCAAACTGTCCACGAATAAATATCCAATTAAAATTAAAAAAGTTGTTATTTTCCCGTTCATAGCTCCTGTCCATATCCTGTCCATAAACTTCTTTAATATAGAGACAAATAAGAAATGTTTTCGTTTAATAGGGTTTGTTCGTTTGCATATTTCATTTATCTAAATCTCCTGGTATAAACACTCATAATAACATGGATGATAAACACTATATGATATGGATTTGGAACCATACGTACTCTATCTTATTAATCAACTTAAACTTGAAGTATGCAATAGCATATATGATTTATTGTTTGTATCATTTATTATATCATCCAGGTCATATTATAGTTGTACATGTTTGGTCAGACGATTTACTTAATATCCTCAATAGCAAGGTCTACATTAAAGAACACGTGCAAAGTTTAAACCACTTTCACTTCATAAATACTGTAGTCTTACTCAATATAATCTATACGCAATATGTGAAAAATTCAATTAAATTCAAAAAACAGGTTTGAATAATATTTTTACGAGTTTTATTCAAATTTTTTGTGTTGCAAAAGGAGATATTATAGACCGCACTGGCTGGGGCAGTGTTTTTAATGTTATTTTAGTACTTCTAGTATTTGTAAAATAAACCTGCTGCGAGACGAAAATAAATGAAATAAAAAAAATTACACTCCTTTAAGTTTGACAACTGGAAGTTCCCTTCTGGATTGCGTGTTTAAGCCTGTCACTGTGTCTAGTTATGTTTGGCGACTTAGAAAAACCATCAAATTGATCATTAATTTCTGAACCATGGATCTGTTTTTGAAACCATCGTTACTTACGATTTGGTCGTAAGTCATTGTTCATCAAAACAGAGACAAATGGTTTTCTCGGAATCGTAAGTTACGATCGTACGAAAAACGAACCCATTTAAGTCTAAAAAGTGAGGAAGAGATAACTACATTTTGAAAGTTTGTTACTGATTGAAACCAACGATGCAGAGATTCATAACATAGTCTAATATGATACGTGACGTCACACAAGCTAGAACAATTGATTTACTGGTCTATATTGGAGTATGTATGACCAATAAAATTCATAAATGCAAAAAATCGTGTTTCATGTCTGTTGATCATATTAGAATCGTAACAAAGACCTCGATTTTATGATTTATGTGAAATATATGACCTCAAAATTTATTCTGGCCATTGTCAAAGACCTCAATCGCTACGCGATTTCGGTTTTTTAACAATGAACAGAATAAAATTTTCGGTCATATATTACGCCATAAATCATAAAATCTCGGTCTTTATTCCTTAAATAATACTTCTTTTCAACAAAGATAGGCCCATAACTTTGGAATTCATAGGAATTTTAGCATAACGATTTCAACCGAAAAACTATAATATATATGCAGTGGCGGATCCGGGGGATGCCCCCCCCCCCCTTAGTGGGCCCAGAAATTGCATTGCAATCTAAGGTAATTTTCCATAGTGAACAAAATGATAGGGTGGCTGTACTACATGTATGAGTTTATGGGGGGTGCATACATATAAAACACCCTGTATACAAAAGCCGGAATATCACCGTTCTCTTGTAGATTAAACTAGTTCGAATTCCATTGTTTCCTTTGGAGATTCAGGAATCTATTCCAAACCTTCAATTCCTTCTTCGATATAAGTTATTTGAACGAATACTATTTCGTGATTTTTCCCATTGCCTCTTTTCCTTGGCCCATTTGTCCTTTATGTGTGGAGGAATACAGCCAGGATTCAAACACAATTCGCAATAACACTTTCCTTGATACAACACAGTAGTTGGCCACTGCGGCTGAAATAAGAAAGTTATCAAATATGACTTAGCTTCTGTGGATCCTTGATTAATTAGCTTAACAAAAATATTTTCCAATTGCTTAGATGCTCCATTTGGTTTATATACCAATACCATCTGAGTGATATGGGCATGTTTAGGATATTCCACAATTAGATGGCCTAATACGATTCAATTGTGAAAACCATCAGCTTAAAAAGACGAAGATTTCAAGTACCTAACTCCATATACCACGAGATATAAGTCATAAGTCCCCTTTAGAACTCAAAATGTCTATAGAAAAATGCCACCAAAATCAAGATGTGACCACTTTTCCGCCATCTATTCGAATCTTAAACAATTTTTTAAAATTCAAAATCAAGACCACCATCACAAGTCAAATATTTTTAGTAAATCAAATCATTTCGTCATCAAAATTATCTACACCTGAAATAGATATAATTTCAGCCTTTCTCATTGGTTATATCTGATACAACTTGATTTCAATTTTTCTCTTCTCCCTTTCCAACAGTACCATCAGTGGAGTATCACCTTTGCGCAATGTAATTGACATGATTTCCTTTCGGTAATCCAGTTTTTGTTACAGTCTATTATATATTGGCATCCATTTTTGATGCAGACAACGAGTCACGTGGCAATATATATGAGTTCAAATCAAATGCATTACTTCATTACTTTTACTCAGCATTAAGCTTAGAAAAGAATGAAAGTGATCTACAGTCACCACCAAATCAACTCACCAATGTCCCATTGTCTGGATGGGCAAATGCAAAGCCACAGCCGCAACACTTTTCGTTTTCTAAGTCACAAGCAGACATAAATATTTGGCAAGAGTCTTTGTGCGTTTCATCATGGAACCCAAATGGACATAAAACACTAGCTGGTTTAACTGTCTGGTCGTCGGGTGTTGTGGCATCTGTTGATGGGATTAATGGTTCTCCTCCCTGTATGGGACCATCTCTCGATGCCGTGGTGGTACTGTCAGGGAGTATTTTGGTGTGTCGAGTTGGCTTAACTGTCTGGTCGTCGGGTGTTGTGGCGTCCGTTGATGTTATTGAAATTAGCCCTTCATCTTGTGGATCAACAATCCGTCGTTCCACGGTAGTACTGTCAGTAAAAGATCCGGGTTCACGCGTCGGATTTGATGTCACCTTTTTATCAGGGGTCAACACAATTGGCGGTAATGTCGGTTTTGTTGTCGTATCTTCTGGTTTCCTGACTAAGTATAGGGCAGACATAAACAACTATTTAACAAGCTTATAAGTTCTTTACATATTATATTTTTCTTAAAATCTATGGTATCTCATCAATTGAGACCTCCTTTAAGTTGTACACGCTCTTTTCTTACACATTTTAAAGTTTTTTTGTCTGAAAATATCTGTATATATTTTATTATCTACCTATATAATATTTATATTTATACAATTACCTATATAATACATTATATTTATACAATTAACTAGTATAATTACCAGCGCATAGCGCCCTCCTGAGTTTCTTTACATATCTTGGTAATTGTTCAAATTGACCGGGTTTTAATATTCTCCCACTGACATCATTTGCCATAGTTTCCAACTCACCAAGCCCATCGTTTCCATATTGGTTTGGCAAAGCAAAAATTAATAGTTCATATCTAAAACCACAAATTAATGAGTGACTGTTCTTGATCGATCATATTGAATCATTTTTTGAATGGAACCAAACAAATTCAAGGTTCGATAAAGAGGCTTTGTCCGATTGTTAACACACACGCACAGGACCTTTATGCACATTGTGTAAGGTGGTGGCAGGGGCGGATCTTGGAACCAACAGGGGGGGGGGGCAAATTTCAGGTCTGGAAAAAACTTCTGCGCTTGTGCGGAAAAAAATCTGGGCCCCTTAAACCAAAAAGTGGGCCCAAATTTTGAAATTTTTAAATTCATTTTCTTCAAAATCTGGCTTTAAATCAAAAAAGGCCTTTAAAGGTCCAGTAATGATCAAAAAAGCCAACCTTTTGAGCCTAAAGGCCTTTTTTGCCCAAAATATTTTTGGGCCCAATTTTTCTGGGCTCAATGATATTTAACTTTTCATTTTATAACACGGGCTTCTATGGAGAATCTTACAGACCTACAAATCACATTTCAAATAAATAAAATTTTAGCTTCCATCTCAAAATTTAGGCTATTATTTGGTCAAAATTCCCAAAGTTCATACTTACATTAGTTTGAATTGTTGGGCAGCTGCAATTGTCTTATATGCCTTCCTTCTAGGGTAGGTAACCCCGTCGCTGACGAGAAGTATAACATCAGTCGCTTCCTCACGTCCTCCATTAACCGTTTCAAAATATGTTGGAGCACGTTGAAGAGCTTGCCATGTAAGTGTCTTGCATTTAACAGCATTTAAATCGATCTTTGATGCCATCCTTTTGAATTTAGAAACACTCTTTGCTTGTTTGAAATAAAACTGATGCTCCGTCCCTTTGTCAAACGTAAGGACACTCATCTGTAAATTAAAATTATACAGGGTGATGGGTGACCCAAAAACAGAACTGTAAAATTCTTTCAGATAAAATCTAGAGAAATCATTGAGACAGTATGTGTAGTCAAAAGCGCAAACAATTAAGGAAACACGAGCTCAAGATAAAGAAGATGAATATGTAGGCCATCTAAATAAAAATGAAAGCCATGGGTACACCTCAAAACACTTCGGGTGGTTCCACTGGTGAATAACATCAAACATATGACGCCAGAGGCTTATTAATACATTCGAATGACACATACGTCAGAGATTTCCCCAAGGGTTCTCTGTGTACCTTTATTATCACAAAACCTCATTAAATACGAGAATTTCTTGATCATTGGTTCATTCTTCAATTTAAACATCATTGTAGGTTTCCAAACTGTATGTCCATTTTTGGAACATTTCCAGCAAAATATAATTAATCGAAAATGGAAGGAGTTTGATGCTATATTGGCATTTAAAGTGCATACAGTTTGTGAACATAGAAAACAAGTCAATTGCAATGCTTTAAATGATTACACTTTTTGGCGATTTTGTTTTTTGGATTACCCTGTACATGTGGCCTATCAATTATGTACTGAAGAATTGATGTCTTAAGGTACACACCTTTACTCGACCGGTTGGAAATTCTATACAGAAATGACGTAAACATCATGCACTGGTTCCTTCATTTAGAAGACTCGACAATGATGTAACTTGCTTACCAACGTTTGTTTTGGATTTGCCCCGTAGTTAAAGTTATCAGCAACATCTTTGATAAAATTCCTTATCAATGTGCGGTTTGATTCGCTTATACTGCATGACGTATCAAAAACCCATAATATATCAAGTCCACACTTGACTGCAAAGTCAAGACAAGATTGATTCACAAAATAACTAAGTTGTTGTAAGTAACATAATAAAATATGTGCAATAAATTATTTAGCGTCTGTCAGCCCTTTGCACATTCATGCGCCATTTTGAATTTGCTACATTGATGCAGGTACACGAGCTTACTCCGTTTGATAATTACCAATGTGCCCAAAATCACATTTACAAGTACTGGATTAATTAGGCTTTAATTATATTGCATGAACAGATGAATCAGAAATCGGATTTATACTTGTAGTATAATAATATAGAACCTAAAGCCACCTGTAACCAGTTTGTTCTAAAACGTACCATATTTTTGTTGTGCCAAACTGTCCACGAATAAATATCCAGTTAAAAAGAAAATTATTATTATTTTCCCGTTCATATTTCCTATCCATAAACTTCTCTAATATACAAACATGTAAGAAACGTTTAATATTTCAATCATTTAAGACTCCTGGTTTGAATGCCCTGGAAGATGAATATGAACAACTTGAACTTGAAGTATACATTGTTTAATTTATTAAACTATCAATTGTACCATAGCTCATGTTATTGTTTGTATTATATATTATATCATTATTTAGTACCCAGTTAGTCTATTCAATCTTGGACGTACATGTTTGGCCGAACGGTTTACTTATTAATATTCTAAATATTCTAAGTTAAGTTTAAATCTTGCGTCTGCCGTAGTGTTTTGATGGGTTATGTCTTTGGAAACAGATTTTCACGTCAGATTTGCTGTCAGATCTTTGCTGTGAACACAACGCAATAAGGTATACTGAAGGTATACTGTTTTATGTACCACAGCAACCTAAATTACAACAGATTAACTTACTTATGTGTCAATGTAACCGATTCAACACATTTTTATTTGATAATATATCCTAGCGCTATAAATAAAATTTATAAATTGTACTAATGTAAATAAATTAAAAACAAACATTAACATTTATCAACAGAAATTCAAAGTTCGCCGTTAGACTGCCGTAGGAAATGTAGCCATGTGTATCCGACCGCAGAAATTCTAGGGCAAGCGTAAAAATGTTACTGACCGCAGAAATGATAGACCATACGGTCGCCGTAGGAAATATGACTGGGGGTGTAAAGCTAACACCCCAGTCACATTTGTCGTACGGAGGGCGTGCGTCGACCGCAGATCAATTAAATCAGTGTATTTCTGCGGCGAGCGTAGGAAAACTACGCTCGCCTTCAGATTTTTACAGGCCGCGGGGAAGGCGTAGAAATTATAACTCAGAGTTCATTTCTGAGGTCCCCGTAGAAATCAACTGGCTCAACAAGATTGAATCATTGTTTGTCAATGTTTCACGATCACTTTTCATTTGATATTACATCCTAGCACTATGAATAACATTTATAAATTGTCCCGATGTAAATAAAAAAAAATGAAAAAAGTATTATTTATCAACAGATATTTAAAATTCACCGTGCGGCTGCCGTGGGAAATGTGACTGCAAAAGTATGAGAGCGCAGAAATTTCACGGCGAGCGTAGAAATGTTACTGGCCGCAGAAATGATAGACCGCAAGGTCGCCGTAGGAAATGTGACTGGGGTGTTATGCGTTCGTCTAACATATGCATCTGTTTAAATCCTCAGAAAATAGCCAAAATCCAACATATGACTGTCCGAAATCTGTTGCGATACTTTCCCTCCTCCTTTGAATATTTCAACATTTTTTTCAAATACTTTATTATTGAAAAATCTCAAATAACATTTAAAGTTAGAAAAAGTAGTAAATGAATAAAGAAACATATTTTCAAACTCCACATCACAGGCTGGTATCGAAAAATTTGTCCGCTGTGACGGAGCGTGCTATTTTGCATAGAAACACTAAGAAACCAACACAATTTATTTTTTTACTCATATGTTTCGCTATACCAAAGAAAGTTTCTTACTCAATGCAATGGGTATATCATTTGCGGGTAACTTTAACTTTTGTTTGAAGTCCAACAACGCTAAGAGTAAGAGCTATTGAAAACGGCGCCGGGGTATCATGCTCCAAAATGTACCATTTCTTTTATTTCTTTTTAATGGTACAATATAGCGACACAATAATATTTACATATGTTTTAAGGATAACTCTGAAGGTATTAATGATATCTTGATGTATTGGGTATTTTTAATATTTTTTATAAAAAATAATGTTTACATTTTTTGTCCGCATTGACGGAGCAGTTTTAACTGTGAACTACGTTAAGAATTTAAGATTCAAATTATACCTTTTAAAAGTACCATAAGAAGAGAGAACGTCACAAATCACTTTCCTAAATTATGACAAGTAGCCTCTGGGAGATCTGGGGTAATGTAAATCTGAGATATAAAAACTCTTAGCATTTTTCGGAGGTTTGTACTGAAATCAACATAAATCAACATGGTGTAAACTCAACATAATATTTCTAATACGTTTTCGCCAAGACGTCTTAGAATGTCACGTGTAGTGTAAATTGTTACGCGGAATATGGCATATATTCATGGTTGCGCGGTATTTGTGATACGGGTGAATATGCCATACTCACCTGCGGTATATGGCATATTCCGCAGGTGAGTATGCGATATTTCGCAGTGAATATGTGATGCATTGAATTCAGTGAATACCCGATACTCACCTTCAGAATATGTCATACTCACTTGCTGAATATGCCATATACAGCAGTTGAATATGACATATTCCGCAGGTGAACAACGTGATACAGAAAGACTTGGTTTGATTGGTTGCGAGAATCGACTCTGAATGTAATCCTGGATTGATTGGGTAAGTTTATTACGTGAGATTGGTGAGTGATACTTCTGCATACGTTGATGTATTCGATAAACTGTACTGTTGATTCAGTAATCATTTTAATAATTTATAAAGTTTTACTTGTTCGTTCAATCGATGCAATTGACAATTGCATACTTCCGTATCACGTTCTCATTGGTTAGTGTGTATACCATATACCACAGGTGAATCTGTCATACACCGCAAGTGAATATGGCATATTCGTTGCGGAATATGGCATATTTTTGTATCGTGTTTACCGCGTAACATAAATAGGGATAATATGAATTTATTCGAAATAGCGCACAGACATCCTGTATTCCGACAGATGTATAACCTTTTACCACATAATATTACTGTATATAAGTTACCATAAAAAATGGCCATGTCAGGTGATGGATCCACAGTAGGCACAACGAAAGGCAAATACCCTATACTGAAATAAAGTTGACTATATCATTTTCATGAGTTACCATGCATAACTTGGATTTCAGTACAAACTGAGAAAAGAAGCTTGAAGAGTGGTCGTATATACATCTCAGAATTTGAATTGTGTACTTTTATTCCGTTTTATTTTTCAGAATACATTAAGAAAGAGATTTGATACGCTCCCTCCTCTAACGTGTAGTTATAAAGAGATATATTATAAATCTAAATTCTTAACGTATTTCAGATTTGAAACTGCTCCGTCACAGCGGACAAAAAATTTAAACATTATTTTTTATTGAAAAAATTAAAAATACCCAATACATAAAGATCTCATTAATACCTTCAGAGTTATGCTGAAAACATATGTAAATATTATTGTGTCGCTATATTGTATCATTAAAAAGAAATAAAAGAATTGGTACATTTTGGAGTATGATACTCCGACGCCGTTTTCAATAGCTTTTACTCTTAGCGTTGTTGGACTTCAAACAGAAGTTAAAGTTACCCGCAAATGATATACCCATTGCATTGAGTCAGTAATTTTCTTTGATATAGCAAAACATATGAGTAAAAATATAAATTGTGTGGATTTCCTAGTGTTTCTATGCAAAATAGCACGCTCCGTCACAGCGGACAATTTTTTCGATACCAGCCTGTGCACATGGGACCTTTAATTATAATTGACTGGACATACACTACATTGATTTCTTTTAAGACACTTAAATATTATTCAATCATTTAAATAATATATTTGCCTAATGCAAATCATTTCCAAGGAAAAGGTCGTTATGGATATTGATGTTATTGAATATGCCAGGTAACGTCAATTTATCAAGTTCATGGTCAAACAGGGCATCGTGTAGTATAGAAGCTGAGATGTAAATGTGCCACATCACTTTCAAATACAATATATTGTATGTTTTATTGATATACGACGCAAACTAACATTTTAGGTTAAGGACGTAGTGTATATAGGTTGTAGTTACACACAAATAAATAATAATAAACATAATTAATTGTTGACAGTTTGACTAAATATATACAGGATGGTCAAAAATTGGTTGGTTATATAATGAAAATTGATATATTGACCTAATATATATATAGATATATAGATAGAGCTTGATAAAGTTCTACAAATCGTTTACGGAACCACATACCTAGACTTTGATTCTTCACGTTGCAATGAACGTTAACCGGGAAACAAGTAGAAAAAATATGATGTCACGTCCTGAGAAAAACCTGCGCACGCCTTCGCGTTCGTGGTTTACAAGTAGTATTGCTTAACTTCTCTAATATGTTAATTATACAGATAACTTAAAACGTTTTACAGATTGAGAATTGTTATTGCTATTGAAGAAAGTCATATCGAACATCTTCTTTCATATATTTCTTCATTGTAGAATATTTAATTAATAATTGTTATTTTACCCATTATTTAAGTGACATAAAATATATCTTTAAAACATTTAAAATCCTTATATTTTGGTATTCTAGACATGGTTCGTCTATGTGATAAATATCCTTAAGAATGATGTTCCTTTTTATGGCCATTTTATTTCAGCAAATGTCAATTTTGTATTATATAGAACAGTGTGATGTCATGAGTTATAATCCAAAAATATTCAACTTGTTATTGATGACGTCGTAAAATTAGACCTTGTTCTTTTGTGATTTCATCCAACGCCTCCGTTCTTTTGTCCACATCTTCCGTAAATTCGGTGGTATGCAGTCACCAATCAGACAGCTTTCACAGATACATTTCTTGCCAGGACTGTTTAATCGCAGGATAGTGGATGGCCACATTGGCTGGAAAATAAAATTCAGATTTTATCAAAAAAGTGCAAAAGAGACTCTGCGCCCCGGCTTCAATAAACTAAACTAGGCTTAACGTGTTAGGACCAGTCATACTGGGAACGTGGTATAGTAGAACTAGTTAAGAGGGGCTTAAAGTGACTCCTTCAGTACTTGGATCATAAAGGTTTGTGTTAAGACCAGTCGTACTGGGAAAGAGGTAGAACTACAGCGTGGGCCAAAAAACAATACACAAGTTTAAAGATTTATTTATTTTTACAAGTTTAAAGATGAATATCATGACATATGATATATGTTGAACCATTCCATGTATTATGTGTTTCATTTAAAAGATAAATCATTTCCTAACAATACACCATCCGATTGAAAAACATTTGTTTTTCTTTGGAGTTAGAGGTTAAAATTGACACTGGAAATTTGTATTTAAGTGGAAAATTCAACCATAATACTTATATCGGATTAATGAACTTTCGGTTGTGTATTACTTTTAAATGGATTTGTAATGTTTCGATCAGGCATTTTGAGTGCAGCCGTGACTGCAATATGAAGGGAAATTGGAAAATTTTAATTTTCTGATTTTAGGTTGCTCATGATGCCCCTGGTGTCAATTTTAGCCTCTAACTCCACAAGAAAAGAAAGATTCTTCAATCGGATGGTGTTATATTGTTTGGTAATTATTTATCTTTAAAATGATAAATAATACATAGCATATGGTTTAACATCTTTTATAATATTCATCTTTAAACTTGTGTGTTGTTTTTGTCTATCTTTATTTAAACTGACTGCTTCAGTACTTGGATCATACTAAGGTCGTGTTAAGGCCAGTCGTTTAACAAAGGGACCGTCTCTACAAAAAGTCGCAAAGATTTAACCACTTAAATCAATTTGAGAACAATCCAAGTTAGTTATTGACGATAAAAATAATAAGAAGACAAATTATGAAAGTTAATATTGTGAACAAAACTCGAGAAAAATCTGTTAATTCGAAAGAATATAGGCCAATGATCAAAGACCTTTTGGGTAAAAAAATTAGTAATCTCATCTCTGTGTTATATAATCATACTTTAAATAGGTCAGCTGTCACAAGGCTTCAAAAAGCAAATCTTTTCTTAAAATATTTCATTGGAGAAAGTAGGATAGAGCAAAGTGCTCAACTTTCACCATTTGAGCATAGAACTGACCAACTAGCGAATGAAAAATCTGAACTAATAGTGAAGAAATAGTTCGGATTTTACGTTCGCTAGAAAACAATAAAGCTCCTGGACTTGACAATATTAGTAATGAAATGCTTAAAATTAATGCAAATTCTCTTAAGATAGAGCTATTTAATACATTTTTTACAAAATGACTTCTTCGCATCACCTTGGGAGGATGGAAATGTATCGGCTATTTCCAAAAAAGGGAAAATATCAGACTGCTCTAATTATAGATCGATAACATTGCTTAACTGTATAACAAAAGTTAACGAAAGAGCTATATATGACAATTTAAATAATTTTCTCTTGCCTAAAAACTTACTCTATAGATTACAGCCAGGTTTTTAAAAGGTCATAGCAATACAGGTCAATTGATTTTCATCATTTATAAAATTTACAGTGAACATGAAATGAAAATAATGTCTGTACAATTTTGCTCGGCCTGACAGCGGCGTTGGATTCCGTCCCCCCTTATCTACTTTTGCATAAATTATCACGATATGGACTTTCACAGTCACTACTTGACCTTATATTACCATGTACCTATCAAATCGAAAAATGAAAGTCGAAATAAATGGAATGCAATCACATTTCTCATTTCCTGGTCAAATAAATGCAGCTGTCCCACAGGGTTCAATTCTTGAACCATTGTTATTTTCAAACTAGATAAACGACTTGCCAGATGATTTAAATTCCTTTTGCTTTCTTCATGGCGATAATACATCACATCACTTTATCAGCCGTACTCCAAAAAATGATCCGAACTCAATTGACCTTTTACAAGATGATGTTAACAAAACTTTCCGAGATGTCGCATACTTGGAAAATGACATTTAAAGCAGCAAAGAGTGCTGATCTCATTTTCAGGCGACCAAGATAATAATAAAATATCAGCTAAATTTGGCAATTCCTGTATCTTTCCATGCATTAATATTTGGAATGCACTTCCACTTGAATTAAGATATAAACCAACAATATCAACCTTTAAATATCATGTCAAAAGAGACTTCTCAAAGATATTTACAAATTGTAAAAATATTGACATTGTTAGACTTTATGAAATTAGTTTGAACAGGCCAAGAGTAGAAATTGTCTGAAAATCACATAAATATGCTCATAATTTTCCTGGAATTTCGGATGACGTCTGCCAATGTGGAAAACCACAAACTAGCCTACTGAACACTTTTTCCTTCACTGTAACCTACACATCGATGAAAAACTAACTCTACTTGCAAAACTTTCAGAGGTGAATGCAATTGAAATATTTCTAGATTCAAATGTTCGAGACAAAAATGATTTTTTTACTTAATGAAAATGATGAACTTAGATTGAGGAAAACCAAGCTCGATTATGTATACAACTGTAACTAAGCATTTAATCTATTTTCTACTTATTGTCTAAACACAATAGACAGAAAACTGACACCACCTTTTTTGTTAATTATAATCTTATTGTGTATGTAAATCTAAAAAAAAGTGCCAGCGATGTTTTAAACTTTGGCAGTCATTATATATGTATTTTGTATGTTCTAAAATGGAATAAAGAAAAAGATTAAAAGACCAGTCGTACTGAGAACGATGTAGGACTAGTTAAGAGTGGGTTTAAACTGACTACGGCTGGGATTGAACTGCTTGTAAACAAAAAGTTTTATCAAAACATACTGACAGAAACTTCCTTCCAGATGAAAACAATCTGATTCTAAAGTTTTTCGAAAGGCTGAAGTAGCAGAACCAAATCCAAAGTTAATTGATTGGACGCGGAGTTCAAAGAACTGTTCGCAGAAGCGGCAGTTGTTTACCGTTTTTCCATTGTCCGGTTGTGCAAATGCCAGTCCACATCCGCAGCACCTTTTGTTCCTGACATCACACCCAGACCGTGGAATTTGACAAGACTCCTTGTTTGTTTCATTATAGAATCCATTTGGACATAAAAGGGATGTGAAAACACTTTCTCCAGCTTGAAAAACTCGAGATGATTCTTCAAGGACATCCACTGGAAAATAATCAATGAGTTAGATCAAGAACCGATATTTTCAAAGCATCAGCATTGAACTCATTTCGTGCCTGAGCAGTGACAGACACGATTTTGAATTAATTTATCAACCAGAGCTAATTTCAAATATTTACCATTACATATGCTTCTCTTCAGTTGCTTTACAAAATCCGGAAGTTCGGCAAAACTATTTGGTGTAAAGAGTCGTTTTTCAACACTATCACTGGCCAGAAGTTTCAACTCCTCTAATCCACTATGCCCAAACTGGTTTGGCAAGGCAAAAACGAATATCTCAAACCTAAAATAAATTCCATTTAGATTACTTCGATGCGCTATGTAAAGGGCGTCCACAAAAAAAGTATACCCAACTTCAAAACCAAATTACTAGAATCCTGAGCAATCTTTTTGAAATTCAAAGGTTACAGCAAAAAGCCTTATTTGTCCTCCATCAAATGGTACCAAGATCATTATGTAACTGTCACGTATGACTGAGCAATCATGACCATTCTGATAGGTGGTAAATTTATCAGTGTGCCAAGTTATCTTTCTGTGTGGCAATCGATGTGTAATTGGCTTAGTATTCTTTTTCTGTTACATTATGTTAGATGACAGGACTTTCATAATGAACTGGACTGGGGGCTGAGTGGCTCTCTTAGGAAAAAAGAATTTGGCAAAAAGCTTACTTATGCCTAGGTCACATTGGCGCCGGGCGCCGGCCGATGAGTAGTCATCGGCCGATGTCTAAATCGACCGGGCGCCGGTGACTTTTCACCGATGTCTTGATCTAATCGTGAGTATGGTCACATTAGTACAGGCATCGCACGGCGCCCTGAATCTGAAAGACATCGCATGGGTATCGCAAGGCTATCTGGCGATGGCCGTACGGCACCCGCCAGGACATCGGTCGATCTACAGGCCTCTAGATTTATACTAAACTCTTGTATGACCCAGTATGACTGTTCCACATGGCGTGAATGCAAGATTTGAAAACGAAATACTTCGATAGACAGGACCTCCAGGATCATAATGTTTTCATGCAATAAAAATCACAAAAAGAAGATCCTCTTTTGAGTAAATATGTTTAATATTTAGAAAAAATGCTGACATGGGGTCCCTATTCATAATTTTTCAAATTGTTTGATTGATATTTTTACTATCATGGGTACTTCAATTGAAAGAAAACATATTGTTTTAATAAAAACATTGTATTTATGCCCAGAAAGTACTCATGGTGAAAGATATGACCGTCTAAAATCACTTGCCATACTGCACGTGGTCTTTTCATCAAAGTGCACCCTGACCTTAATTCATATTTAGATCTTTCATATAAACAAATACTATGTCTAACTGTCCATCCGATGCTATTAGCAAAATTCCATATTTCTGCATCTTTCTTTTGTTTGTTCCCGTAAAGAGAATTTGTTTGGTCATAAAAATATGGCCTATCTCCAAAGAACTTGGCAATTTTTTCTTCTATTTCAAGTGGAGTACCCTTTTCTGAGTTAAATATTTATTAATGTCAACATAAGAACGACTAGATCAACCCACCCACCCAGCCATTCAAATGTGTGTCATTGTTTTACAGTTAGCCTAATCGTTCCATTTATGTTTTATAAAAAATCTCTGACAGTGTGTAGTAATTATAATTCCTTACCTCATTATTTTTAAAACCTTTATATCACTTGATAAGTAATCATTATAAAGATTTATCAAACATATCAGCACGCAAAATTCCAAGATGACCGTGCGATGCCACCGGGCGTCGTAAGATAATCGTACGATGACCGGACGGGACACGGCCGGGTAGGTACCGATGAGTTTGGTTGAGAAAAAATCGCCAAGACATCGGCAACTTTTATCTCCGCGATAAAACTCTGCCGGCGCCCGTACGATGTCTAAAAATCGGCCGATGAGTGGCGATCATCGCCCGGCGCCCGTACGATACCCGGGCTCGCCGGCCGATTTTGAACAAAATACTCATCGGCCGGGCGCCGTAGTAAAAATCGGAGCCTATGTGACCAAGGCATTACTCTCAAATAGCCCTGCAAACATGGTTCAACTGACACCTGAGCAGTAGAGCCAACATATAGCGAGTCCAGTGTACTGTTTAAGAACCCCTATTCTTACTATTGAAAATGGATTCTAGCAATACTGTCCAACATGAATCTACTTGTTGAGACTGAATCAACTGAATCAACTGAGGATTTCAGCAAGGGTGTATTGACTTCAATGGGGATATAATTGACTTCAAGGCTGCATATAATCAAGTAGAAGTTTCAATTTCAATTTTTCCTATTACACACAAATAGAAGATCCTGAAACTTCACCCCTAAAATTTGAAATTGATGTCGATCTATTGCTACATAAATAGACAGGGGTGTTTACATAACGACCTCAAACCTGTGTACCCTTGAGGATTATTCCGGGATCACGCCTTTTATACTAAACGGTGAGCAACACCAAAAAACGAGCGTTCGATTTGCTGGACGATATGCGTTACGCTAAAGGAACCAAAGAAGGAAAAATACTATTTATTGTAAAATGGATAGAGACGAGATGACAGTAAGTTTTGAAAAGACTAGCACAATTTTACAAATATATACTTCTTTGCTCGAATCATATCATTTCATGTCATGCATAATTTAAAAAATCAAGTCTTCTTCGTTTATTTTAGGGCAAACCTTTTAGGGAGATCTATAAAAAAAAAGTGGAGAAATCGAGTCGTATCGTCCCCTTTTTCAATTTTTAAATATTGAAACGGTTCAATATTTACCCACTTTGCCTTAATTTTTTAGCCTCTCTTATTGTCTTTTTGGCCTTGGACCTAGGCAAAGTAACACCATCCGTTATGAGAATTATAACATCGGTGGATCGCATGCGTCCACCGTTCTCGGGAGTAAAGTACCGCCTGGCCTGTTTCAGTGCTTTCCAAGTGTGCGTCTTACATGCAACATACTGAAGGTCTATCTCTTCCGCACGTTCCTTGAATTTTGAGTCTGTTAATGCATCCTTGAAGAAAAACTGATGTTCGAAGCCTCTGTCGTACGTCAACACACTCATCTGAAAATAATCCCATTTTAATAATATTCATTGCAAAATGTGTACTTCTTGCAGTGAAATACAATTATACTACAGGGCGTCAACAAAAAAGTATACCCAACTTCAAAACGAAATTATTAGAATCCTGAGCAGTTTTTTAAAATACAAAGGTAGCAGTAATGGCCTCGTCTATCAGATCTTGGTATTTGGCTTTCTTAAGCTGATGGGATATTTCCAGTCGGTCTTCCCAGGGTACTGTGATCTCGATGATGATGCTCCTGCTGAGCTGAGATATCAGCAGCATGTCGGGACGGAGCTTGGTGACTACTATATCCTGTGGGAAGACAAGTTTTTGGAAGAGGTCAGTTCTTAAAGTCCAGTCTGTTGACTTGGTAAGAATGTTAGGTTGGAGTACAGGCAGAGATGGCTTCTGATGGGCCTTGCTGCCTTCTTTGACAAACTTAATGAGTCTTGGTCTTGCATTGCCCCTACTGGTGTTGTGGGAAAGTCTTTGCTGGTCTATCCACTTGGCTACTACTGATATTATTTGATAAGATGCAAAGCTTTGAAAATTATTAAATATGTTTAAAATACAAAACATAGTGCATAAACACAGTAGGTATGATGATGCGTTTACTTACGAGCGTTTGGTCAGGATCTGTGCCATATTTGAAGTTGTCTGCAACCTCCTTAATAAACTCCTTTACAATATTCTTATTGGCTTCGCTAATACTACACGAGGTATCAAAGACCCAAAGTATGTCATATCCGCATCCTTCTACAATAAAGTACGTTATACCGAAATACTTTTTATTACACTATCTTGTCATACTAACACGGTTCATATATGCCATACCCATATCCTTCTACAATAAGATTAGTCATAATTGTACATGTATACCATGGGCTTTCAATAATTGAAAGCCCATGATGCATACTAACTACTACATAGTATTTCAACATGATATACACTCACGGTACATCAACATGGTATGATGTCTTTAAAATGGTATAATACACACACATGGCCGAAATAAATCAAAATTTTCAAAATCAAAATAACCTTTAACTTGCTCTTGCATGACTCGCATGCACCTTCTTTTTGTAAATATTAGAACTTGAAAAGAAAATTCCAATTTGGTAAATAGAGTGCTAGAAGAGGCACATGCATGCCTTAGGGTCTCCAGGTCTACCCATGTCACGTCGCTTACAATATACTACAAGGTGAGCAATTTTAACAATTATCAACGCATTATCAAAATCCGGTGATGATACACAATTACGGGCAAGGATATTCACCGTCATAATATAATATTTCCAACTTACCTCGTAGTATTTCATTAACCTGTGCATATGTAGATCCAAAGAGAAGCAATATTTTAAAAATAACAATTATCATTCTTAGTTTGCGTATGTCAGTCTTTTTATGATCCAGATCGAGAACATCATTTTGAGACACCCCACATCAGCGCCTAATTGAATTACCATATCTAGTAATTGCCATACAATCAAATGTGTACTCTTAGTACAAATGTACAATAACATACAGGATGGGCCAAAAAATCCAATTTTATCATTACTAAAGGATTTAAACAAATATTTCACTCTACTTTCAGTTTATACCTCAACAGTTTCCGAAGATGTTATTAAATAAGACCAACATGCTTCGTGGAATATGACCCGGGAATATCACCATTGAAAGATGCATGGGAATTCACTCCCAATAGAGTAAAATATTTGTATAATATACACATTAAAATGTGGACGTTTTTGGGCCAACCTGTAGTACAGTCAACTGGTCAGAACTTGCGTGGTTTGATTTATATACATTTAGTTTACATTGGCTATCCTTTAATGTGTTGACATAAATATTATTACTAATAAAAATCAACTGAATGTTATTGATAATAAGAATATCGTTGGGTTGTTGTTGTATATGTTATTGATACCATGGTGACGCTTGTGTCACCAAACATAATTATCATGGCCAATACTAATACACATGATGCAATTTATCAATCAATGTTTTTAAACTATTTATGTCGAAAATGACAATAATTAATTAGATAAAGTTAGAGAGTACAAGGTAATAAGTGGGGTCGACCATTGGACATATTAAAAGTACAGTTTGGACATCAATATGATCGAGGATTCTAAATCACACAATAAACAGTTATCATGCTTTGTATCAGAAACAAAACAATATACCTTTATACAGTGAGGATTGGCTCCCAGGATCGACACTCGATATTTTCCAACAATGGAAACGTCGAAAACAATACAATGGCAAGAAGGTATAAGAAGGTAAAATGAAAGTTGGTCCAAAACAAAAATGTTGTCACATATTTCCAAACCTCAATAAGAAAAATAAATATTCTACCTGGCAAAAATCCTTAACACCATTGATTTAAACAACATGGTTAAATTTTAATGATAAAACATGACAAGAGTTATCCTTTATTTTTCATTATTTTGTGGAAAGATTAGATCATATGTAATAAAGATTGCGTAAACTTCTTGAACGCCCCTTGTATATAACTATAGCGAATCAGGATGCTGGTGCCCATCCTTTCCTTTCAATAAGCCATTGTGACTTCAGGTAGGCAGGTATGCATACTTCGTTCAGGCAGTCCTCACAAAGACACGTTGAATCTAGAAGAACGGTTGATGGCCACATCGGCTGAATAAATACAAACACAAAATATTTCAAATCATTTGAAATTATTGGAACTTACTGACACTCAAAGTCGCGCTGATATACGTATAGTTAACGGGATTGTGGGCACGGGCGCGTGATCTGATGTTTTTTGTTTGTGAGGGCGCGGGTTGAGTTGGTAATACATTTGAGTATTTTTCAACGTAAAAGTACACATTTTTAAAAATAATACCCCAATAAACTTAATGCGTTATAAGAAGTGTGAAGAAGTGATACCAACTGTAGAATTGACATATCCCGGATGCGAGAATGCCAGTGTGCATCCGCAGCACCTCTTGATATCACCGTCACAACCAGACATGAATATCCTACAAGAGTCCTTGTGACTGTCATTATAGAAACCATTGGGGCATATCACTCTAGATGGAGTCGTTGTGAAAGCGATTGTCGGTAATTCTTCACCCCCAGCAGGTCTTGTTGGAACACTAGTTGTTAGCGAATCGGTACCCGGAGTTGATACTTCTGGGACGTCGGTTGTGAGGGACGGATCATCGATGGGTCCGCCTGGGAGGTCCCCAAGCATTATGGTCGTTACAGTTGTGGGTATTGTACTACTGAGTGTTTGAGCAGTTGATAGTTGAACCTGTTCAGTTGTAAGATTTTTTTCAGTTGTTTGTTGTTCAGTTGTGCCCGGGTGTTCACTTGTTTTCTGTTGCTCGGTTGTTTGTTTTTCTTCAGTCGTTTGTTTAGATGTTGTTGGCACTTTTAATGCAACAAATCACCACAGTTACGTATTTGACCCGATGAGTTAAAAATAATGGCTCAATAGAAATATTTAGTTTTTTCGGAGCTCTATTTTCACATTTTCATAACTTTGAGATTGACTCATGTAACTACGTATGTTTTCGACTTAATTAAACCAATAAAAATGGGATTGAAACGTTATTACTTGAGGACATGTAATAAGGACAGAAAACAACTATTGTACACTACCATTGGAACAGGTGGAATCCGTCAACATTTTCACATAGCGTGGCATTTCATGGAATTCGCTTGGTTCAAATTGCCGTTTACCATCGCTGTCACTAGTGAAGCGTGTGAACTCGTACCCTCCATCGACACCAAACCGGTTTTGCAAAGCGAATATAAATAGTTCATATCTACAACATAATATTAATCATATATATTTTCTTTAGGAAATAAGGAAACAATTATTACTTTGTCTTTTTAGTATAAAAATGGGTTTATCTTTAATATTTCTCTAAACGTGTGTTTCTAGAACATATATCAGGTCGATGAAAACTAAAGCGTGTTCTCTGCTAACGTTTCACGTTTCATTTTATTTCATGAAATACCAAATGTTTTATTTTATCCATGAAACTAGAATTACGTAAAATGACAGTTTTAAAATTGTTCAATGAAATATTGTGTGAGGAACAATTACGTTCATATTTATGGAAATATTTCACACATGGCACATATGGTTGTAAGCTATAATCGTCCAACCATGTGTATCTGATCAAATGTTGATCATTAATCAGAATATTCTGTATTGTAAACAGGAACTGAATATTTCCTGATTTGTTCTTATGTTTGATTTCCTCAATCAAAAGACCCATTATTGTCTTTTTTATTGAATAGTCCTCGTATATCATATTGACTATGATGTATGATGAATAAAATAAAGATTCAGTTCAACAGAATATCATTATTTAATGGATAGATGATAATACTAACGGTGTTATGTTAGTTCAACATCAGGGCCATTCAGGAACATTAATTTTTATTCAAACTAAAAGTGATTTTAAGTTCATGGCTCAATATATTTTGCGCGATTTTAAGCATAATTGTCTCGTGCCAGGCCTATATGATGTAAAGGGTAGAGTAAAAGGCTTGAATACAAGCCATGTGAGCATTATACCACTCACAATTCATTTATTCATTTGCTTATATTCTTTATTAGAGGAGTTATATATCTAAGTACTGGCATAAAATTAGGGTGCTTCCATGCTTTAATATATCACTTTGAAAAGTTCATATGATTGTAGATACTGTAAAAATGCCGTGGTGTACAGTAAATGACGTCCTATTATTAATATTTGGTGGTAGTTTAGAGCTGGAGGTAGAGGACGGTAATTGCGTTGAACACCCTGAATATTAAACTTGATGATTTTACACATTGTTTAAAGGCATTCAACTGCTGTCGAATACATACCCCTTCTTTCGTAGCCATTTAGCTTGTTTTATAGTCTTTGGGCGTTTATATCTTGGAAAAGTGACCCCATCCGTGACTAATATAATGACATCTATCGCTTGATTTCGTTGGCCAAATCCAGGTTCAAAATATCTTTCTGCCCCTTTTAATGCCTTCCAGGTCAATGTCCTACATTTCAGTTCTTTCAAATCTATTTCATCTGCAAACTTGTCAAATTCGGATATGGTTGAAGCATTGTTGAAATAGAATTGATGGTCGTTCCCCTTATCGTATGCCATGACACTCATCTAGGAAAAAAACATAGAGGCATGTAAGTGACCATATACACTCGGCTACTATACCTTGCATTTGGTGTTCATGAGCAGCCCTTTTGTCTTATTAGTAATGGTTATGTTATTTGTTTTATTTGTCTGTTCCTTATTAATGGTTTATCGGGTGACGTTAGATGTTAATAAGGTACTTTCAAAAATATACTAAACAGTTCATTTGGACAAATAGCGTATCTTATGCATTTCTAGGGGTTGGGTATAGTAGAGTGATATATGCTGAATCAGAACACCAGTGTTACCAACGAAATATATACTCCCTGACTCCAACTCAAGACTAAATTAACTTTTGAATTGTTATTTGTTTCAGTCTGTTTGTGGTTTGGGGATTTTAAACGTTACCCAGCTACTTTCCCATGATTACCATCCATTACCCTTAATCGGTTGCAAATTCTGAGAATCCATATTATACCAATGTTTTATCTGGGTCGGCCCCATAGTCAAACTGATCAGCGACATCCTTTATGAAGTCTTTGACCAATATTTTGTCCATTGCCGAGATACTACATGAAGTATCAAACACCCAGAGTATATCGTATCCACAGATTACTGAAAATTAGACATACTTTACAAATTACAATGGAGATCTCACATTTGGGAATAGAATATTTTTCTGAATAGAATATGCATTTTAGTTTCAGTCATCATTTATTTGAACTTATATTCCGGGCAATTAGATACAGTAAAGTCAACTTTAGACATCCATCGTGACAATTTAGATGCAAAACAGAAACATTACCCTTCAAATGCAACCCATAAATGTACTCTCTTTCTATGTCACTTCTATAATCAATGAGATATATGTTATATCTTTCACTCATATCAAGCTGAGTTGATATCAAATAAGTCCTAAATGTTTGGGTCCTGCCACTCAATGGAAACTTTATGGCCTTTCAAAAATATGTTCGATACATCCACATCGATTTGTTGTATGTCAAGCACATTCATGGGTTGCATTCATTTTGGGTAACCCAGTATTATTAGGCAATATGATACTGTGACATACCATTGAATGGTATTAAAAGCCGATGCGATACGGCAACATATCAAAATGTTGTTTTATAAGGCATTGTGGTACAGTGACATACCATGAGGTGATATTACAAGGCAATGTGAAATGTTGACATTTCATAAGGTGGTACTATAAGGCAACATGATGCAGTGACATACCATAAGATGGTTGAACAAGGCAATGTGAAACTTTGGCATATCATAAGGTAGTACCTGAGACTAACAGTTTTAGAAAGAGGTACAATTGGGCAGTCGCAAATCTGTGTAATTTGTGTTCCAAATATTTTGTAAAGTCATCAAGACTTCTACAAATACCAAAATATATATTCTTATCAAATAAGTCTTAAAGCTCATCAAATATAAATAATACTACCTTGTGTGCTTGCAGAATTACCATAGCAACATAAGAGGATAAATCCAGTAACGATGACAACAGTTGAGGTCATTTCAGTAATATGCTCCAAATAAGATCAATCAAAATGCAGTTTAACCGTTAATTTCGACTTCCATTTTTGAATTAAATATCGAAAGGCTATTTATGCTTTATATGACCTAATAAACAAACAACTCGTTGTTATAGCTGACTGTTACAAAATGATTATGAAATTATGTAAACAACTTCAATGAAACTTAAACTACAGATAACATAACTTTTGCAAGACTTGTTTTATTACCAAGCATGTCCAAAGCGTAATGAGATCTTGGTACTTAAGTCTGCTAGTTGTGTCAGTTTTAAGGATCTGACATGCTTTCGGAGGTTTGCTAGTGACAACGTTTAAAAATTAACCCTTTCATCACCAAGGGGTAAAATTAAGAAATAAATCATAATGTTTCAATCCCAGAAAATTGTTTACTATTTAAATCTCCAAACAAAATTGGTGTTCTAAGAAACATGCTAGTGTATAACTAGGATGTTTGACCTCGATGGTCATGTTAACATTTTATCTTTGACGTTTTCGTCTCGAAATATGTGAAAATATTTCTTTTTAACATTATATCTTTCCTTTTTTCGTTAAAAGTGAGAAAACACTTCAACAGTATAAACAATAAATCTGTGTCATCCTCCATGACCAGTTGTGTGACTATGCTTCTCTACTTAGTTCATATGGGAGGGTGGTTGTATGTAAAACTTTTATTTTAGTGAATGCTGACCAGTTACACTTATTCAATCATCTGTTGAATCAAATTGTTTTATCATATCTAGGCTAGTAAATGTTTCTAAGAATATTCCAATTACATGATTAATCAAATTGTATTATCTGGTGAGACTTATTCACAAACTGTGACGTTGTTCGTCCAGCGTTAATCTAAAAATATCAAGTGAGGAAAATAATAAAATATTATGTAATTTACACAGACAATAAAATTGAAAAGGGATAAAAGAGCGATTAGTTTATGAACTAGTGCTCAGTAAATCATATGACGTTGACCTAGAAGGTTGACTAAGACTAACATACTCAAGGTTGAATTGAATTCAATGTTGGGAATTGTCTATATAAAATACTAATGAGTTCTAATCATACTTGTAAGACATTCCCAATAAGAGAGAGGCGAAAACAACAGTGAATGATAAACAAATAATTCATACTAAATTCGGTGATTACCTGGTGCACTCTCAATGATCCTGCAAGATGTATTCCTCCGGCCTTTCCCTATGGTAAATACACCTTGGTAGAATCATTGAAAGATGGACAGGTATTCACCTCAATAGTATGAAATATTTGTATACTATTTTTCACGTACGTCTCAGTTGAACTGAATGTTTGGAATTTGGGATATATACACCTCTTAACCCTAAGTCTGAAGGATTACGTCAGCGGAGATTGAAGGAAATCAAGTAAAATGAGGCCAAGTTTGTATAAATTCAACATTATATATAGAATGAAACTTTTATTCAGGTTCTAAATACATATTTAGTATAATACATATCTGTATCAACCGATCTGTCGGTCAATATGACCAGAAGTCAATCAGATCTTAAGCCCTGCCATAAGATGATGCGTGGGGCAATGGTTCATATGTCCTGTTTCTTTGTCTCCTGGGTCCCATTTCTTCAACTGATTCTAATTTTCGTTTGCTAGCAACTAGACTTATAGCAGCATGGCTGTTATAGAAACTGTCTGTATTCAGCTGCCTGTAACTATTGGCAACAGAATGTTCATAGGAATCGTGGTTGGAATACCCCTGATGTGTGTTGTAGTTATTAGGGACCATGTCACTTGATTGGTAGGACGTGTTGTTCGTACCGCTACTGTAATAAAAAACAACTGACGTTTACATAATAAACAATAACATGAAATATGTAGACATTAAATACGCATGGCTGGATAAAGTCCATAATAAAAGCCTAATGTGAAATTCAAATATGCTGATGTTAGAAATATATATCATCTTATGTTATCTGTTAAGAACAAAACGTCAAAATTCCAATATATTTATGACCTATCATATGGCTTTCTGAGCATTATTTGTAGGCGTGGGAATATATTCAAATGACAATCGTATTTTCGAATTTGCGCCTAAGAGCATTTGCTGGATTGAACAATAAACTACACAAATATCTCACATGGTAGTATTTACCATCCTTCTTCAAATGACTTCATTTAAGCTTAATAGAAAGAAATGAAATACCCTTGGACCAAGGATCGGGATGCTTATTCACCTGTTTAACTGCTGTGAAATTGACCAATCTTCTCTAAGACCTGTATGTCTAACTGGAAAAACACTCTGAAATCAAAAATCAAAATTAGATTCTGATTTGTAATAAACAAATGATTTGTGTCCGGTTGTTTTCTTTACTGTGATATTAAAATATAAGTTAAATGATTCGAGTAAGATACATGAAATATTGTGAGGCATAAAACATGTGAATTAATGTAGCATGGTTGGTCAACTTAACCACAGGCGAACGAAGAAACATAATATAGGCTATGCATACCGTAGTTATAAGTTATTGATTAAATATGTATTACTGACCGAATATCAGGTCAATTAAAATAATTCATTTTTACTCTCACATTTGATTGCATGACAACGTTTACATGTACTTCTCTGGAAATATGACATTCACTCTACATTGGTAAATTCCTCTGAAAAGGAATCGTCAATTTTACACATACCTGATTGTTTAGGATCTCTGTAGTAAACCCTTGTCCCATGGTATTTGAAAAATGACTGTAATTGCTACTTGAGGGATATCTAGGACTCGGACACCTAAAATCAATTATGTATGTATTTGGTATTACATTGATGTAAAACATGCATTAATAGTACAAACATAAATCAAAAATGTATAATAATTAAACTATAAATTAAACATGATAATGATAAATTATAATACTATACACACACACAACTACCATTTTCATATGTTACCGAAGTGCATTAAGTGATACTACAGCAAGGAGTATAGTAAAGCAATAGCAAACCCTGTCAATTATGTCATCATGACTGTGTAGGTGTTTCTTAAGCACAGCCCTTTCCAAGTAATTTACTTTTTACACAATTTATATATACTGGTACTACATGGATAACACACATCTTGAAGTATATGCTCACCCTTGTGATACGCCTACTGATTGTGCTGAGTTATCATAAGTTGGACTTGCTTGCTGAGAATATTGATCGGAATGTGAAATTTGTAGCCGGCTCTTGTCTGTTTCATATGGTTGGATCATTGAAAAACCTCTATTCAAGCCCAATTTGCAATGCTCTGAAAGTAATATTGATGCAAGTTTGTCATAATAGCATAGTCATATCACTATTATTAAAAAACACCAATGATAGACATGATGTTGCGTGTATTCAGCCAAACCTCACCTGTAGCATCTTTATTAGAATGTGGGGTTACAAGTTGACAGGGTTCTAGTTGGGCAATTGATCCAGTGGAATAAGGTGAAACGCTAAGTCTGCTCGAACAAGGGTTATTGAGGCCATCTAGACAAGGCTTAGGTAGAACCAACTCATCTGTGAAATCTGGTAAAGGAAGACCTCTAATGAGTAACTGTAGATGAGATGTCCTCTCAGCATTATGAAGCTGCTCGACCTTATACAGCACATAGTCATCAAACATCAGGTGTACGAGGTGGAACGATCCTAGAATAGAAAAAAGGTTCTAATACAATTACAGGCAGACTCATGCAGAATTTGATACAAGGTTCAGTAATTTGTTAACGTATTCCCCTTTAATAAAATGTTTCAATTTTTTAAACATTTTATTTTATTTTGCTGATTTCGATTCTTTGTCCATGTGTCGTTAAAATAAGTGTCGTTACGTGTCCCTTGCCAGTCTGGTTCTCAAAATATAAAGGAAAATAAGAAGTTTTAAAAGTGAATGTTTTCATAATAAATTTACCAAAACTTGGAGCGCTATGAAGAGTCATATCTCTGATTACTCTGGTACCAAAGCAGGACCATATCAAAAGGAACTGGCGAGCTACTCGGTTCAGTGGCATATCCTTCTTTTTGCATGGCTAGAGAGAAAGACAGAAACATGACCCATTTGAGTATTAATTAATAAGAATTAAAAAATATAAGACTTGTGATGAACACATGTAAGAACAGGGCTACAAGAAATAATTGTTTTCAAATAGACTAAGTGTACGGAAGCAAGCTCTAAACGTCCGAGAAGATGTACTAACGATCTCATGATCATCTAATGTTAACTGTTCACTATCAAAATGGTGTAGAATACAAACAAAGGAAGGGAGTGTTAACAATGTCTCATACCTTTTCTACACATCTCTCTACCATGGAGTCAAGCCATTCAGCATAAGATTCCAATGGAGCCTCGTCCTCAAGCAATAGCTCAAACTCCCTGTATACTGGAAACAATAAACAACATAGCAACATTATCAATGAAGGGCGTTAATACAATACCCTGCATGCAAAGTCTAGTTAAACTACAAGAAGACGAAGCTCTCTTTTAAGAAGTGAAGTCAAACGAATGCAAAGGGTATTAATACAACGAATTTGGTATTCTAAAGTAGTTTGTCTTCAGTTTTGAAATCATTGATGAGTTAATACAGTATTTTAATAATATATGGTAGTTATACAGTGGCCTGTGAGACCATAATATTAGTCGTGCAATCCTAATGTGTACAGTGTTCAAATGAATTAACCATGTGAATAATGTCTAAATACGGTATTTCCTTACAATCTGATAACAAGATGAAGTCCCTTTCATTGAACCGGTCCATTGTGTACAGGGTCTGCTTACATATACTTTCTAAATCGACCATGGACCAATCATCTAGCATCTGTGCCGTTATGTCAGAGTTGTGGATAACACTACGTGATGCTTGACAAAGATGGTTCAATGATGTCTGGCGTTTTAATAACTGAGAGAATCGCCTACATACTGAAAGACAGTGAAAATCTTGTCCTTCTTGGTTTCAATAACTATAGATTTATTGGATAATTATAGAATATGCTGTTTTCGGGTTCTTTAAGAACGGTATTGTAGTATAAATTAAGCAATATGTGGTATAAATTTATCTGATGTGATATTTATTAAGATATATGTAAAACTTGGTATGGCACTTGTTTAAGCCATTGTTGTAAATTAGTATTGTTCTACAGTTGCATTACTTTCAAGATAGCAAATTGTTAAAATTCCAAGTTCAAATGTCGATATAATTGCTTATCTATTTCATTTCTGTCACAATCAATTATCACATTTTATGACATTTTTTACAATAGTTGACTTAGTTTTTAGCACATGAACTTACAATCAAGTTTCACAAGTTTCAGATTATCAGGCAGGTTCTCCAATGCAGCTTTGACCCAGCCTTCTAAATCTCTGGAGAACTTCCTGATTACTGCAGTTAGACTGAAACACAGACATGGCAATGGCGTTTCATTAAAATAAGAAATACTAGGGTGGATAAAAATATAGAAAATGATCATGACAAAAGGAATTACATCATAAATATAAATGTCCTCATTCTGAAATATTTTATACAAATATACACTAATTCTAAATATGGCTCAAAAATATAAAATAAATAACCAAACGTACATAGACAATAATAAATATGAAATGCAACACATCCTATAGCATAGTTTTTGAGTCATGGTAAATATAAAATTGCACAATACACTGGACTAATCACTGTACTAATGAAGTGATAGGATATGTTACATATTGTTAGTAAACATAATTAGTGTCAATGTTTCATTAAAAAACTGACATGTCCGGTGTGTTCATGGAAATATCAATAGCTGTGTACTTTTTGTGGATAATTGCAAAATGTGAAAAGTCTAAAATTAAAACATAGCAACCTTGGAATGTAGAATGTATAAAACAGTGGGGTGGATGTCAAGTAAATTATAATATGAAAAACAACCCTGAAAATATGAATCTAACTTAAAATGCCACGCCTATTTTTCTGCAACATATCTTTGTCATATTATTCAGTAAATACCACTATGAAGGGATGAACTATAATGCAAATTCAATAAATATCTTTTGATATATTTTCGAAATAGTGAAAATAAAACGCTAGACAGGTTACTTTGTTATATTAACCCATCCTTCCCCTGAATGCACAGATACTTTATGGAAAATATTTTTAATATAGCATCTTAGGAAGTCATGTTTAACGAAAATGAGATATATATCTTTCATCAAATAAATGAGAATAAGAAATTGGAAACTTGACATATTTTAATACATTTTAGGTGACAATGGCAAATGTATATTCCCGTGTGTTTAGTGTATTAGTTGACACTCATTGAACCAAAATAACGTTTAATAAAGTTCAAAATCATTTCATTCTGTTTCAATCTTATTATACCACTGGTGATATAAAATCGCTAATATAGATAAATTTCTGACTTGTGAGCCTCTGTGTAACCGATCCTGTTACAGCTCATCAAATAAGGCACTAGATCACACATCCTTTTGAAAATTGCATTGTTTCGTCGTGAATGAACAGACTTTGAAGCTAGAATTAACAGAAATCTACAGTATTATTGATAATAAATGTTGAAATAGTTTGAAAAAGTATACCTTTCCGGCAATGGCTGGAGTACGGAAGGCATTAATACATTGGAGACAGCACTGTAAGTGATTGAGTCACATATACCAATCAGGTTGGCAATGACAGGGTAGCCCAGTACAGGAATGATATGGTCTGGCATACCTTGCCAAAAGTGAAGCAGGAAACTCTGTACCTGTAATAGAAAAATTATGATGAAACAAACCATTTTTATTGCGGACTGTGTGAAGTGAGGTTTAAGCTTGTTTGCCAGATGCCATGCATACTTATTAGTTGGATATTTCACATTTGTTTGACAATACTGTTTTTGATAAAATGATATAATGCACAGTGTACTGGTAGTGACTTACACCCTCGCTCCATACCCACTTGACCCTCTATACCAATGTCTAGAGTAATAGAATGTATACATGTACAGTAAGGTTCAATGCAAGGCAACGCTTCCTGAACTTCCTGATGACCTCTCAACTTCACACGAAAACAGGTAATGAGACACACACATGTACGGAAAGTTTCAATGTAAAACAACCCTTCCTGGTGACACCTCAACTTCACATGCAAACAAATAATGGGACACAGACATGTGAGGAATGTTTCAATGCAAGACAACCCTTTCTGATGACATCTCAACCTCGCATGCAAACAAGTAATCGGACACACATATGTACGGAAAGTTTCAATGTAAAACAACCCTTCCTGATGCAACCTCAACTTCACATGCAGGCAAGTAAAAGGACACACATACCTCGTCAAAGTTTGCTCTGATAACTGTGTCAAGAATTCGTTGGCAATGCGTTCGATACATCATCAGGAACGTTGTTACCTACAACACAAGTTTTAAAATTTAAAAGGTTCTTAATACTAGATTTTGCTCACTATACTGAAGATTTACATGTTACATTGATTTACTTTTTTAACAAGAAAATATAAACAAGTCATTGACAGGTATTAATAGTTTGTGGGTTCAAGGCCTACATTATGTGGCATTGTCTGGGCTACAAGGTTATATATGTATTCCCTTATTCATGATCTACATATCAATCTTTTTTGATTAATTAAGATCATTCCATTCATGTCAACGCAAAATGACGTGTGTTACAAACAAAAACATACGTAACACTGACCAAAAAAGGTATTAATATGTAAGACTCAATGTGCATCTAGACAGTGTGCAAATTGCATACATCAAAGTCCTGTTCAATGTAAAAAGGCCAATGCAATGTATGAATATATTCACTCGATAATAGCATTAGTAAATGTTTGTTGATTACAAGTTGTGTTGCTTATGCCTCTCAAGGCTTATAAAATGTTTCTCACTCATTTATTATTAATTCATGAAACGACCTCGTTGAAAACTGAATACACAATACAATAAAACTACTGATGATATTTAAATAAATAAATTGTAATGCTAATATGTCGTTTACTCCCTAGATGTCATGTTTATCCAATGTTATTTGCAATAAAGTTGATGATATAAGTAATATACAGGGTAGGCAAAAAAAGTATTATAACATTATGGTATTGACATGAAATTTTTTTACAGAAACTTAAGGATAGGCATATTTTACCATTTAAATACTTAAGCTAATACTGACATCAAATTTTTTTGTCAGATGTTTGAATATTAATGGTAAATTGTTCATTTGTCCGAGATTTACCATTTTGACATTTACCATTTACCATTTACCATTATGATTTTATGTGATCAACAATAACACATTCATTATGTTTACTAAATCTGCTACAATCTTTGATAACTGTTTAACCAATGTCTAGTACAGGTTTATATCAGGATCTAGTCACTATGGTAATATTGTTACACTGTATTAATTATTTATTAAACAAATGTTCTATGCATCCGCCTTTCACCTTAACAATCACACGGAGACGAGAACTGAACTGGTCAATGGCGAGATCCAGCAGTTCTTGTGGTAGTCGTCTCCACTTATCCTGCAGAACTTCTTATAGTTGATCAATAATTTGTGGGGTATAACCATTAACTACAATACATTGCTCCAGGTGCCCCCATGTGTGATAGTCCCAGGGGTTGGCATCTGGTGTATTGGGTGGCCATTCGACTCAGGATTAATCTTCTTCTAAAGGGACATCTTTCAAGAATGGGGGCTCTTTCAGCCCCAAGTGATTACATATTCCAGCAGGATAGCGCTCCTGACCATAGGCCAAAAGTCACTATGGAATATCTGGAGCAAAATACCCCTTGATTCATTAGTCCTGATGAATAGCCGCCCAATACACCATTTAACAAAGATTGCAGCAGATTTAGTGAACATAACAAATGTTCTATCGATGATCACATAAAATGATAGAAAATCACATTTTCTAGGAAAATCGGTAAATCTCGGACACATGAACAATTTACCATTAATATTCAAACATCTGACAAAAAAATTTGATGTCAGTATTAGCTTAAGTATTTAAATGGTAAAATATGCCTATCCTTAAGTTTCTGTAAAAAAAATTTCATGTCAATACCATAATGTTATAATACTTTTTTTGCCTTCTAAAAAGGTTGCAAAATTTTTTGGCCCACCCTGTAGATATAGGTAATATTACTGACCTTATAAATATTGAGAATATTGAGCGGCATAGATTTTTAAGTGGTGGTATAAACGGATTGGTGCGATATCTTAAAATATTCAATAAAGGCAGTTGCTATTCCACTAAAACATCAAAGTACCTTTTCTCTGGAGACACTAAGAGGAAGCTTGACTTCATCAAGACTTGGGAAATCTGGTAAAATCGTTCCTAATTTTGAGCGGGGAGAGTATGACACGGATTGCTTACTGCTGTCCTTCTTACCATCACCACTACAAAATTGAAACAATAAAATATATAGGTATGCACTACTATGCATGTGATAAATTAAAAAGGTAAACAGTGACGGCATAATAGTGTTTATATTATATGTTTAATTCATAATACATTAGAATGTGTTATTTCGTATTGCATCTTGTATTTTGCTCTATATTATTGGCTTTTGGCGAATAAGATTATTGTTAATTAATAGATGGTGTATATGTCTTACAAATTGTTACAAAAGCAGGTAACGTCAATGAGATTTAGAACATACAAAGTCGTAATAAATACTTATGAAAATGTGGCACAAATACAAGTCTACAGACAAAAGAACAGAAAATGAACCCAACAAGAAACGATACATCTGGAACATAGACAAACTAAATACTAGACGTACACCCTCTATAAGACATGTGATATGAAATAACGCCCATTTATATTGTACATGTACCTTTGTAGCCCTTTCCTGGAGAAGATTACTTCGTAGTATACCGAGGTCTCTTTGATAGCGATCCCATAGTAGTGATACCTAAAATATATGATACCGATAAAAATCCTAAATATAGTGTATGAGGTACTGTATTATTGAAAATATTGTTTCTGAGAGCACTTTTCAAAAAGGCATGTGTCTTGGTGGACATCCCTCTCCGATCCCAATAAAGAAGACAAGAAACGAAAAAGAGAAACTCACTTTGATTGACCACGAGTTCCAAGTCTCCTAGTTGTTATTTGTGGGAACTGTTGTCGTATTATCTGCAGAGAAAAATAAAACTTGTATCAGGTTTCACAATAGGTGCATTTTTATTTAATTATGTACCAACCGTAACTTAGGCTTATGCTAATGCTGGACAAATCATGCATGTTCATGTTATGGAATGTACTGTAATAACGACATTAGTTGTAGAGAATGGAGATGGGCTCGAGCTCGAGCAATGAACAACTCACCTTGCCAAAACTGGCAGCATTAACAGGCTGGCAGTCGTTTGTGTTGCAATAATCCAAGTAATGGATGTATAGGGTACTCCGTGGAATACACACACCCTCTCCCAGTTCGTAGTTGTCTTGTAGCCTTCAATATATACAAACTTACATTTATACAGGATGTTTCATCAAAAGTCTGGAGAACGAAGTTATTCAATCTAAATGAGCATTATCCCTGTTTCGGACAAATTTGATTTTTTTTACATAATATAGATTTGAATGTCTTCTTTTGAATAGTCATAATTTAATTTGGGAAATATTTTTAGATTTTTCGCAAAAAAATATTAGCGCAGTACACTGATGAACTTCTTTCCCCAAAATCAAGACTTGTATTTTATTGAATCAGTCTAATTGAGCATTATCCCTGCTTCAGACCAATTTGTTATTTTTACATCTTGTAGATTTAAATGTCCTCTTTTGAATATTCATAGTTTAATTTGAGTAATATTTCTATATTTTTCATGAAAAAAATTATTAGCCCAGGAGACTGTTCTCCAAACCGAGAATCGTCCTTTGATGTGTTCAATAACCTGTGTAGGACACATTACTCAATTGTAAATAAAGGACCGGGTATAGTTTGGCATGATTTTGGAGTCATATATTTTACCATGGGTCCTTTCTCAATTTAAATATGACATTTCTCATTTAATATCAACGCAGTATGTTATCGTAAATTAATATGTGTTATCGTAAGATAATATATACATATTAATCGAACAATTCGAAAAACTACGAATATGGACCCCATGTCAACATTCTTTTCAAAATGTTAAACCTATTTACACAAAAGAGGATCTTCTTTTCTTACTTTGCATGAAAAGGTTATTCAACAAGGGGTCTAAAACTTCTTCAAAGGGAGAATGGTATTGAATTTGAAAGATTGGCCTAGTGTTGAAGATATCAATTTTCGATGACCGAAAGTATGCTGAAAACAATGGATAGCATGAGTTTTCCCTATGGGAAAATAACATGGGATGTGTGGTTTTTAAATGTATCGCATGTCAATATCCATCCCCTTTCAGAAGTTATGAATAAAGTGTAGAAGAATATTGTGATATGTTTACAGGGTGGGCCAAAAACGCCACATTTAAAAAAAAACTTTATAATTTTTGATCCAAAATTTGCATACCGAATGAAATTTGAAGTTACAATCTAGCCGTGCATTATAAATTTAACTTTTATATTTAGCGTCTCAATCAAACAGGTGGTGTGCCATGAAAAATAAACATTATTTGCATAATGTACCTAAACTGATACCACCTGATGACCACCAATCGAATAGTCCTGATTCAAACCCCAGTGATTGTATAGGGTATGGGGTTGTCTCCAGGAGATGGTACATAGTGTCGTTTTTTGCTCGCCCTGTATATTGAGAAAAACAAGATCCTCTTTTTAGAAAAGTGACAAGGTGGGGTCCTTATCCATAATTTTTCAGAGAATTTGATTGATATTTATATTATCACGGGGACTTCACTTGAAAGAAAACATTAATGTTTAAATACAAACCACAGTATTTACGGCAATAAAGTACTCATAATGAGAGATATGACTGTCCAAAATCACTTGCCATTCTATACCCGGTCCTGGTTTAAATTGCACCTTTGTGTGCATCATTCATTAATAAAGTAACGTTTTCAACAACTTACCATTTCAATGTTCTTGGGGTTGAATGTGGCTTTGTCGCCACCTTATTTTCCTTTTGATATTCTGAAATTAAAACCAAAAACAGTATTATGTATCAAACTTGGTTTGTAGTGGGTGGCCTAATAAAAATACCGAATTCTTATATTACGATATTTATAATACAGGTATTTTCTTAGTTATTATTTATTACCGGTTTTTGTTAGAAGTAATTCAGCTTCTATGTTGTCAACTTTGACTTCTGTCACTCTAGTACCTCCCTCTAGGCATTCTTTCAACCAGTTTTCTAAAAGAATATTTAGTACGTTATTTATTTAGTACTTTATATGAAATATATGTATATATTGAATATAGCGAACATCAACTTCAGGAAGACACAATCAAACAAAGAATAGATTGCAGTTTCCGTTTGTATTATATTATCCGGGTATAATATACGTTTATGCTACTTACCTATATCCATAGTTTTCATTTTACATATGTTTGATATTCCAGAGTATTTAATTATGATGTTTAACGTTTTGAACAGATATATATCCTTTGCTTTATTGTTTGACAAAGAATGTCTCTCGCACATAAAGTAAAAATGACTTTGAATAGTGTGTTACTGCTGTTTGACCCTTTCTATTCACACTTATCTGCAGTAAGGATTTCATTCGTAAAGTGGGAATATCTTTGAAACCGAATAAAAGGACCACTTGAACATTTTATTCAGAAATATTTCCCATTGAAAGTCAATGTTTTGTACATCTTTAGAAGTTTCTACCAAGACATCCATCTTTCTAACCGTAAATTAATTGCTGTGTCTATTGCAGTGCTTTTATAGAATTCAACAAGGCGTATGATATGCGGTATTGTCATTTTACAAACCATATCGTTCCCAAAAATTATCACCCTCTTCATATGCCCTTTTCAAGTGCCAAATATTTATCACATTTTTATTAATATCTCATCAAAACAGAAGATATACATTTGTTCATCAATTAATACGATATCAAAGGAGCACATCAGGGGTCTTCACCGTACATATGTATGTTTATCTATTTCTACCCGTGTATTATCAACTGGCTCTGTTGTTTTACAATTGTAAGGGTGCACAGTAAGTGTTGACTCTCAATAATTCCCAGGATGAATTCAGTCAAAAGCTCCACCGATATGTGTTATTGCTATTTATCTCTATACACGTCTGTTTGTTAAGTTCTGTATAGAAGTCATTTTATACCTCATTACACGTTCACCGATACATGCACGATTTATAGCACAGGTTTGGTCGTAAAAGGGAAAGTTTGAATTAATTACAAGGTACTGAAATTTCAATTTTCATTTCCACCATCTAAATCTTCGTTTTTAAGTATTCACATAAGAAAGAAAATTCACTAAATACATACGAAGAAAAGTGAAAAAATAATTTCAAAATGTATAATTGGGCCCATGCTATTAAAAACCAATTATAGGCAATTTACATGTTGAAAAGCATTTTAAATGTATTGGGAAATCAGACTAATTAATGTTGCGGGATTTCATATCTATATATTTAGACAAAATAATTCGTTGATTTCTTGGTGTATAACATTGTGTTTTTGAATAAACATTTTGTCGTGTGCTTCCTGGTGAATATAACGTATCACATGAGTGAACAATCAAGCAGCAATCAAAAACTCACATGTGAGACAAAGTGGGACGATTCAATAAATTCGTTTCCCAGGAGACATCTTCAGCTGCTAGCAACCAACAATGAAACACTCGAACCTATACACTCTATACGTATTCCAACTTCATATGATCAACTTAGAAAAGATGAACCACAAAGAAGCTGAAGTGGCACCTTTGCTAAACTAACACATTGGCAATAAATGGGTTGATATTTTCATTAAGTGAGGAATCTGAGGATGTATCCTCAATGGTGGTACACTGATCCATTAGCATGGTGGATTAAGAGGTTCAGCTTGAACTGAACATTTTCATTTACAAAAATGGCAATGCATTATGCCAGTCAAGTATTAAGAAGACATATCCTTCATCGAGGTACACTTGTTCAAGAGTAGCTTTAACAAAAAATGCTTTTGTAAATTATTGCCATGACTGCTTTACTGAATAGAGTGAAATATCTCCATTGGTGTTGTCATCCTCAATTTATTGATGTAACTTTAATAACTTAACGATTGGAAAGATATATTTGGTACCAGCTCAATGCCGTCTCCCTTTCCAATTATGGGGTTTTTGAAAGTGGTCCCAGTTTAAAAGGGTAGGAGGTTCTATCAAATTATGGTCCTATTTTCCATTAATTTATATGGTGACCTCTTTCCCCTATTATCTTATACACAATCAGGGCCAGTAAGGGCCGTTAAGAAGGGGGACCATAATCCCGGGGGGACCATAATTTCTTTCACACCGGAATGCCCAAAAAGCACATCTACCCCGAGTGTCAAAATTCGATGATTTAGAATAAAGGAGTTATTGTCAAAAATAATCTTTATTTCAAATTTTGGAAACGATAAAGAGAAACGAAGTTGTAAACTGTGTAATGACGTTTTCGTACAATTATGTAGCTCTTCGTTGCCTCTAATTCTCCTTTTTACTCAAATTACTCTAGCATCCCTGAATTTCGAGATAATGGTGTTTCAATATAACTTGTGCATAAGTGCATCCCGTTTTCCCCATAGTGTCCTGTCTTACCCCGGTACACGTGACATCTTTGAGAGATAGGAATATCAGCACATGGTTATTTTCTAGCCACATTTAGTTAGGGCAGTGGTGTTTCTAACATACAAAATGCATTAACATGCAAAATGTCACCACCTGCCATTTGTTACAGACGCCAACCGCTGAACGCCGAACACTGTCCAATATGACTGAGCTTAAAGTGTAAAACAGTAAACACTGGAGAAAAGAGTCCCGTTTTGCCCCGGTCTCCCCTACTTCGAGTCTAGAATCTATAACATAACTTTGTCTTTTGTTTGAAACTTGACTCCTTTATAAATACTTATTGTCTGACCAGTTTGCTGAGCTTTGATGCCAAAAATAAAATTTTGTATAAAGTAACTGAAAACAACTATAACATTTATTTTTTCCAAAAGCTTTTATTTTGAGAGTAAGTGCGTATACCTGATGTCATGTCTAACTGGTATCTAATTTGGAGATTTTCTATCGCAAATATAAAATAAAATGCGCTCCCCTTTAGTCGATTAAACTTTGTTTTTTTAACAGTTAGTTATATAACAATCATACTATAACAATATGCAACTTACGTTTAATTAATTGTTGGTTGATTTACAATGTAATGGTCCAATAGTAACTAAATAAATATATCCAATGTAATGGCGTGCACGCATTATAAGTGACGCCATCAAATCAACACCCCGGACCACGCGTCCCACAAGTAAAGGTAAGTCTAGCCTATCAATACACTTCTTCATCATAAAATCTTAACTACGGTAAGTAAATAATAAGATAATTGTAAAGATATTACCAGTCGGGTCCACAGGTTCCATGGTGCTGCAATCTCCACGGTATCAGGATTAAGATTGCTGACTCTAGGTGGTTGTCCGCCAGTTGCTGTTCCCTCTCCACGAACGCGTTCAACCCAGATATCTTCATAGATCACGTGACTGATGTCAGCCAATTACGTCCAGGGAGAGTCGTAAAGGAGTTATTGGTATCATGGGACTGACTACAGTGGTGCAATCAAAGCTCTCATAAAATAATGATTACTGCGATGCGTTCAGATACGTTGCCTGAGTGAGGAATGTCCTGCTTCAAATCCTCGGTTGAATCTTCCCCAACGACCGAAGCAGATGCGCGTGCCAAGTCAATCGAGTCACACGAATGTCTTGCGCTTACTCGCTACCGACACAAACACTGAACCCCAAATAATAAGTTTAAAACAGACTTGAAAATTTAGCTTTACAGAAGTTTTTGTTGTTTTTTGTATCTCTAGCCATCTTCTTTATTGCGTCATTTATATTTCAAGTTAAAGATTTATGGAAATGAAAACGGGCATATTGTTGGAACAGATTATAACGTCTGTCAAGCGGTCTCATCACTACATAGTTCCATGGTAGCTATGGTTGCATCAAATAACTGAATCCTATCTCAATAAAATTCTCGCCTAAATGCCACTAATTAGAAAATGGTTCGTGAGTTTAATTAAAATCAGAAAAGATCTGACTGAAAAAGACAAACGGGGCGCGTGAAAGAAGCCCAAGAATTGGAACGTCCGCAAAATACACACACTTTATACGAACGTACAAAATATTCACGTAACATGGAGACCGGTTGTGATTTCTTGGTGTTTAAAATTGAATGATGTTCGCGGGATGGACGTCAATAAATAAAATCATTGAATAAAAGAAGACACAACATAATATAAATAAAAACACACTGTATTCGCTACGTGATGTGATGTTGAGATTTACCGTAACCTTAACCACTCCACAGCTCTCACCTGGCACAATATGTCTAAAGTACCACTCTCATAGCACCATATGGGCTCAAGAAGGAACAACTTCTCACAATAACAATCTTTTGCCAATATAGTCAAACAAAATAAAAATAATTTCATAAATATACTAATTTCGAATAAAATGCTTCACTTTCTCTTTTCAACAATTACCCTGAATTGCTTACGCTCAATTCGTTTGCAATTTGTCCTGTTTTTATTAAGCGTACTTAATGTTAATGTGCCTAAATAGATTTTATCATTCGTACATAAATGGGTTGATTTTTATTGTGAGACTTGTCAGGCAGTTGAAATCAAAAGTTAAAAAGTAATCGTCGTTAAATACTGATTTCACACAAATGGTCCAGGCGTAAACTAAAGGTACTAAAACATTCTGCATTTGAGAGTTGAAAGAAAAAATAATTCGTAATTACGAAAAAAGTATTTGAATTTTGAATTTGTAAACGACGTGTGTCATAACGTCATCCTATTGACCAGCGCAACCTACAGACTCTGATTCCCACTTGACGAAAGATGATAGAATAAGGTCCTAGTCTGCTTTATTGAAACCAATTAATCACAATCGCTTTTGTACAAAAGATCGGAATGAACAAATTTCCGACGGGATCCCGTAATTAATACAGGAATTCGGAATTCATTATCATCTTCAGCAAGTGCTCTATAAAACCTTAATTGTCATTATTAAATTGTATTGTGAGAACAACAGAGGAATCAATCGCTTAATCACCTCATTATAATTAATAGTAATTTCCTTATATCCAATATGAATATTGTGAATTTTGAAGTTCTATGCAAAATTGAATATAAAACTGGCACTGAAAAACCCTGGGAATATTATATGATCGCAAGTGCATTTACTCTTCCAAAAGGTACAAAGCAAAGCACTATTTAGCACCAGTGTATAGTCTATGGTGTACGCTTAGAACTGCAACAATGATTAGTGATAGTGACTGGGGCAAAAATTGGAGGGGCAAAACGATTTATTCTAAATTTCGCGTATTCAGATTGAAATAGAGATATGCACTCACTGATTTTATACAAGACGATATAGTTTTACATTGAAAATCCATGAAAAATTATGACAAAATGTTAGAGCAATACTAACGACTTGAATACCGTTAGAATGCCCCCAAATTGAACAATTAAAACAATCAGAGTATTTGGAATTAAATTTCTGATCAGGCCTCACTCCTCCTTTTGTTATTCCAACATTTGACAAGTCGAATTAAGACGCTGAACACCCGTTGACTGAAATCACTCAAATTAATTCAAGGGGTCAATTGAAATCGGATTTGTAGTACTAATACTATGTAATACGAAAACTGATTACATCATATCTTTTAATTCACGATGATGTCAAAATGAAATCCCGAATATCATTACGATCAAAACATTCGAAATCCAACATGTAAAATTTGACATTTCGTTGATATGTAGAATTAGGGAACACATGAGGCAATGAGAAATTAATAGCCCTGCAATCAGACTGATTTACGGTAGAATGGACGGCACTTAGCAATAGACAATTGAGCAATCAGAATGACAACACACAACGCACTTTCCATGCTAGCTACAGGTAGCACCAGATGTAATACACACTCTCTAACAATGAACAGAAGGAAAGTTGATGTGTTGGTTGTGTGTGATTTACATAAAGTTCATTTCACTTTTTTCTCCGTCAATCAAATCAATAAAATAAGCAATCGAAAGACTACCCTGTTCGCAGAATTTAGTTATAAACTACCAAGCTCTTTTTAAGAAGTGAAGTCGAACGATTGCAAAGGGTATCAAAAGACGACAGTGCAATATTATATGACAAATACTATTGTACACACAAAATGTTTTAGGTATTACTTCAGATGAATTACTTTTATGTGGGATAAACCTCTTGATGGCCTCTTGATTGCTTATTTTTTAGATTTGACTGACGGAAAGAAAATGCAAATGAACTGCAGGCAGTATCCAAATGGACAAATGGTATGTTCAGGCTATATCCCATCGAACTCCTTTTGACGGGATCATAAGGAATTTGCATATAAAATCGAAACGCCAACCTTTACATACGATCAATCGCCCATACAAATGTATAGCTTAAACATGCAAGCTTAAACTTCCTAATAACACACTTTACACCTTGTACCCTGAACCACTCATAATGTTGTTGAAAATATAGAAGTTTTGTCATTTAAAGATGTCTCCCCAAGTCTTATTAAACTAAATACTGTCACATTTTCTGCTTTGTTTACATGAAATGTTTATTGATGTTCAAGTAAAGTTTCATCAATTGTTACTTTTGGGATTACATGACTGTTCCATCTTCCATGAGGGGATTCCAATAGACATTACCGCTGGGGGGGGTTTAAACGGCACAAATAGACAGTACCACTGCAAATATATACAGTATTCAGGATTAAAAATTACAAATTGACAGTACAGTACTACAGATAATTCAAATTGAAATACTCTTAGTTTGCACATGACAGTACCACTGTGGATTTATAATTTACATAACTATTAGGGAATATATATGAGAGTATCATTAAGGATTAACAATAAAGAGTCTGATTGACAGATTGATTACAATTAACAGCACCATTGAAAATTAGAGATTGAAAGAACCATATGAGATTTATAAATGACAGTACAAGTGAGTCAGGCAGTGAAAAATGTAAAAGTACACCAGCATGGTTCAATACAACTAATAAAGATCCATGTGGAGCCTAAAGTAAAAGACAACAAGTATTTATACCTAAAGGGTGCCAAATATATTTTCCTCAATAACAGGGAACAGGTACAATCCAACACCAATACCATCAGGCTTATTACTTCAGAGCTTATTACAGCATAGCTTATTCCATCAGAGCTTATAACAACGGGTATTATTGGCAATAAATTTTCCCTCATGACGTGTTTAACGTTCATCATATATTGATTTGATTAACATGACATGACATGACATACATACCAATAAACACATTGTGCTAAAAAGGAGAGATCTGGTTTTCAAATCATGATTATTCACTACACTCTATCAATAAAAGAAAGTAAACAATGTCCTAACCATCAATGGTCAAAAGGATACTTTCTCCTTGTAATAGATTATTTCCTTATAAATTGTTTCAATACAGTTGTGACATCCCCAATTTCTACTTCATAAGTTTTTGTAGTGTCTGTGTATTCCCCATCGGGAGGATCATAACCTTTAATAGGTGGCGTTCTAACTGGTCCATTAACCTCATATGGTAAAAGCTGATAATCAACCTGGAAAAGAAAATATAAACAATATATTGATCAGCTTGTAAAGTCACAAATATTTATTTTGTAATTACCTAAATGCATAAGAGTAATTAGGTTATCAAAAATTGGATGGAAGGAGAGGGAATGGAGCTTTGAAACTAAGTGTAACAGACAGACAGAATTGAGTAAATATGAAAGTGAAATGTGGAAACTTATAAAATCGGAATAATTAACATTCTGTATGCCGCTTACCATTATATTATTATGTAAAAATTGTAAATATGATTTAACTTTGTTAACAAAAAAATATGGATCAGTCCATTTGAATACCAATGACAACTTGTTCCGTGAAATGTGATTTTATTGGTCAGAGAGCTCTCAGTTTCAATAATTGTGAAAATAGACCTACAGGGTGTCCCAGAACTCATGAGAATTTTTTGAGGGAGATATGAGGCATGGGTGATTTTTCTTCAAATTTGGTACACTTATTAAACACATTTTGTGGAATAACTGACATGAATTTCAGGCACATATCTTTTATATTTCCGAATTTATTGACATTTGAATTCTACATCGCCACAAACCCCGGAGTTATCGGGAAAATAAAACAGTTTATGTCACATTTTGTCAATTTTATACAAATTTTCAACTATAAAACCAACGTTTTTTGTATAAGCTTAGTTCAGCATTTTTCTCATATTGATGATGCACTTTGATAAAACGATATGTAAACTTTGGTAGAGAACCAATACATCAACAGAGTGTACATTTGGTTTGCTGAAAGATCATAATGACATGTTCCTGATGGATTGAAAGAAATGTCCCCATTTGCTAGCCAATATGATCTTGCATATTGACAATGCACCAGTGAATAAGTCACTACATGCATGTCAGTAGTGCATCCAATTTACTTTCTATTGAGACTTCACAGTATATAGTAGCTCCATAACTTGCCAGATTTTGCTCAACTCGACTTTTGATTTCTTTGGGGACCCTAAACCAAGATTATTGAGCCATGTCACTGAAACGGAGGAAGAATTGAGTCATGTTGTTTCAGAGGACCCTACAGAAATGGCTATTGGACGATTTGGGAATGTGTATAAAGAGTAGCTGAAAAGACGACATCAACTGCAGATAATATGCTATAATAACTCTGTAGAGATACGTTAGCTGAATGTGTATGATTCTATTAACTAATGTGCTGAAACATGAAATAATTCAATGAAAACAATGCTATTAGAGTAGAGAAGTTGTGTAAATATGATCAAAATATGACGTAAATTGTTGTATTTCTCTGACTACTCCAGGGTTTGTGGCGATATAGAATTCAAATGTCAATAAATTCGGAAATATAAAAGATATGTGTCTGAAATTCATGTCAGTTATTCCTCTATGTTTGTTTATTAAGTGCACTTAATTTGAAGGAAAATCATTCATGCCTCATATCTCCCTCAAAAAATTCTCATGAGTTCTGGGACACCCTGTATATTCTCACTTTATACCTTTTATTTGGGAAGAGCAAGATTTGCATATTATATCCAAGGTACTTCAACACTTTATTAGCAAAATGTATACAGTGCTGGTTCTCAGGTTAAAGCCTGAGATGAAAATGATATTTTCCTCGGTCAATTACTTTATTAAATAGCAATGGTATTACATCAGAGAGGTCATAATGTACCTGAATTGCTGCCATATATAATTCTTCTGATTCTAATTTCAGTTCAGAGAGAGCCTTTGCCTGGCATTCTAGCATTGTGTTAATACTGGCACATTCCTTCTTGTACTGGACACCCTTATACAAGTTCCATTCTTTCATTAAGATTGCTCTGTTATCTAACTGTTCATTGCTTAGTGTTGGCAACTCACGATTGCGCTCTCTGAAATAATAAAAACATTCAAAGTAAATAATTTGCACCGTCAGAATCTTAAATTCTAAATACTCTAATTCTAATTGGTCAATTTTTATATCGTGCCATATCGTTTACATATTTGTAACTAAACAATTATAAACCAGACTTTCCTTAGATGACTGGGAATTATATTCCTCCTTTGCAAACCTTGGCATTTTGTCTCAGTTTAGATTGGCAGGATATATTTCAACTAACAACAGTGGGACATGCTCTAACAATGAACGACATGTAAAGCATGAAATCGTATCCGACTCTTCCACATCACAATGCACATTTATGCAAACATTACACAACATGTGCATCTATACACTTGTATATGCAACATAACCTGATCAATGATTGATCAGTTGTGGAACAACATTTCTTAGGGGTTGATTTTCTGAGTGACAATGTTGATTTTCAATTGAAGTTCAAGTAAAAGCAAATTAACATATTCAAATATGTTATAAAGGGGACAGGGGGAAGAACAATTCAACCATAATGAAATCGCTTCTTTTTTACAAAACTGTCAAATTATATTACCATCCCTAAGCTTCTCTTACTTCTTTTCTTTTTGCAGTTTCCTATCTCCTTCAATTTCATCAACAGGCTTCAACTTTCTCCCTGTCTTCATAAGTTTCTTGATTGCCTTCTCTATCCTTCTCTTCCTCTTGGCATCTCTGGCAGCTACCAGTTGTGGGTCAGTCCTTCGCCTCTTTTTCAATGGCTCTGCACTATAATACATTAAACAAGGCATTAACATGACAAAATGTTATGACCTACAAATCGTTATTGGAATTTGTTACAGATGCCGAATTCTGACCCCTTTTGGCGGTGGGATTATAAAATGTGACATTACAAGCATAATGCATCACAGTAAATGTAATCTATTGAATATACATACTAGTTTACATGATGCAGTATATAAAAATGGACCAAATTGAGCCTCAAAATCTATTTTACCAAAAGATCGTAAGGTGGGGTGCATTAAGTAATTGGGGTAACTAACTTTAAAAAAATTCTTCATTATAGACTTATGTCTCTCTCAGTCTCTTATTTTGCATTCACAAATTCAACTGACAGTTGACAGATTAACCTACTACTTTATGGCCAATTCATTTAAATATAGTATCTGCCACTATTCCATTCATATTTAAATGAGTTTGGCAATAAAATAGTAGGTTCGACCGTCAGCTTTTCTTGAATACTACCTAAATGATAAGGTTCATGCTCTCACCTAACAACATCTGTGACTTTGAAGAGAGTAGGAGAGGTCTGTGTAAACAATGTCCTATTATTTGATAGGTTTCCTCTGAAAGGTATCCTGGAAGCAAAATTGAAAATATTTTGGGGCCCTTTCTTGTACCCTTTATAGTCACAAATGTTTATAATTCGTAAATTTATTAACATTCGTAGCTAATTTAAAAATTACGAATGGGTTATGAATTCATAAGCATTTCTGTACACATTCGTAAGTCATTCATAATTTCTCAATTGTTTAGAGCTAGATTTATGAATGGCCTGATGTCACATTCCAGCGTTGTCAGGACTGATAGTCCTGATAGTACAACAAACTTGAATTCAGGTGAGTAAGTTTCGCAGACTTATTTTGTATTGCATCTTTCATGCTAAGGCAGTACGAAAAGGTCTGTAGAATTTTATCATCAATTGTAAGTAGGCTGAATGATTTAGGAGGAATGTTTGAACATTTTCAGAGAAATCAATTTTTGGACTGACGAGGAGCAAGACCTGAATGTTTTACATTTCAATCAAAATATTTCAATATAGATGTCACTTCTGAAATCCCGCAGGGAACCGTTTTAGGACCGGTAATGTTTCTCGTATTTGTAAATGACATACCCCAGACTGTTAACAGCCCTCTGATAATGTTTGCAGACGATACAAAACTGTACCGGGAAGTGAACACCACGGATGACTGTGACGAGCTGCAGGAAGACATCCAATCCCTAATGAATTGGACAAATAATTGGCAACTTCAATTTAACAGTGAAAAATGCAAGGTCCTAAGAATTGGTAAATCTTCTCCAGACTACAGTTACACTATGGGTAATACAGTTCTCTAGGAATCAGAATGTGAAAAAGACTTGGGAATGATGGTGGCGAATGACTTAAAGAACAAAACACACATACTGATGGTGGTAAAAAAGGCCAACCAAATTCTTGGTCTTATCCGAAGAACTTTCCAGTTTTTGGATCCTTCAAATATGATGATGTTATATAAGGCTATGGTCAGGCCACACTTGGAATATGCAAACACTGTATGGTCACCATACTTAATACAGGATATTGAAGCTATTGAAGCAGTCCAGAGGAAAGCTACGAGATGCATACCAGGATTCCAAGATAATGAGTACTCCCAAAGACTTATGGACCTAAAGTTACCATCACTTGTGTTCAGGCGCTTAAGAGGGGATATGCTTGAAACTTGGAAAATCCTCAATGAAAAATATGACATTCCAATTAGCAATATTCTATCTCTATCACACAACATAGGAAGGACCAGAGGCAACAATAAGAGAATCTTGAAAAAACAAAACAGATCGATTTTAAGACAAGGATTCTTTACCCAAAGGGTAGTAAACTCTTGGAATTCCCTCCCCCAAGAAGTAGTGGAAGCTGATGACCTGAATCACTTTAAGAGTAAGCTTGACAGACTATGGAGCGACCACCCAGCCAAATACAACTATAGAGCCTTGAAGTAGACACAAGTCAATTAATTGGGGTCAATGCTAAACAATTATGCTCATTTTTATCTTAAGAATGGCCAAAGGTCAAGACGACCTAAGCAGTGAAAACTATAACTATAACTAATATAATAACACGGGCGATAATATGTGAAATTATTAAAATCAACTTTTCAACATCAAATAACATCATGCACACGCAATTCAAAAATGTTAAATCATATACAATCTGAACACATAATCATGTTTAAAAGTTCAACAGCTTACAAATATGTATATTCTACCTTAAATAGGCACAATCTTACCTTGAAAGTTGCTGAAATGCTTTTTGAAGAAGTGCCATTTTTGTGGAACTAGCATCACTGTTTCAAATAACATATCCGGTCAATCAAATTGTAAATCACAAATAGACGGAGATTCACACATAAAATTGGAATGGTTATTGATGTTTTCAAATCATTTTTCCAGTTCAAATCAGAAATTTTGCCCTGAATTCATTTCAAATAAAGCTGCAATAAGTGGGTTCTGTACTGTGGTAGCAGACATAAACAAAATGAAAGCACTTCCGGAATAAAATTAATTTTAAAATCTCTTTATTTTTGTGAATAACTAGCGCAGTTGATTGGTTAACAGGTAAATTTTAATAAGAGTACTAAAACATAACACATTGAACAGATTTAGTCGTGATTCTTTACCACCAGGTCACACTGAATGTCGATTTTCAATCATGTGACGTGGCTATTTTTGAGTCGGGGCAATCTGCGCGAGATTCGGTTTTTACTTGGTTCGGTTTTTCATTAAAGGAAGTATTTCCTTCCGATGATTCAAAGTGCTTTTCTGTCATCGGTTCGGTTTAAGTTTGTACAACACACGTCTACAAATCCGGGGCAGGTTGATATTATGTCATAACATTTGTTTTGGGTGTATACTTTTTGTTTTGACACTAAACAAAAATATTCCCATAGTATATGGTGCATTGTGGGTAGGGACTGCTGTGAAATAATGACCGTAAGTGACATCTATCTCAAATTAAATGTTCTTATTAAGTTATTAATTGCGCATGCGTGATAATAATTTGAACCAATTAAATTGCTGGATTTAACGCGCATGCGCTAAAAACCGAACCAAAAAATGGAATCTCGCGCAGATTGCCTCTAGTGCTATTTTTTCATTTGTTTTTTCCAAAACATGAAAATATTTTGAGATTTTCATTTGGTGATTTCCATGTAAAAGTCTAGGTAAGCTAATCAAAGACTTGAAAATTGTATAGCAATGCTTACCCAGTGCCCAGTGCATGGGCTCTACCCTGGGCTCTACCCAGTGTAGAATTGTTCTCAACAAGAAAATGCAGCAAACTCCTCGAGTCGAGATATCCAAGTTGCCTGGCCCTGACTTAGTCTATATCCAATAGACTGAATATCTTGAGAATTCAGTCTATTGATCATCATCTCCCTCTTGTGGGACGCTCCTACTTTGCTGCTGCTGGACATGGAAAATTCTCAGTTCAAATATCTGAATATCTGTCATACTTTTTCGAACCATTTCAGAAATATGTATCAAATGTAGTACCATTCATGTGAAATATATGAATGCTTATTTACATGTATTCTTTGTGGCTTGTACTTCTAATTTGGTATATCGTAAAAAGTACCATGGGCTTTCTCTATAAGTGGTGCAGTTCAAATATGACATATTTTACCATGTTGGTAAATATACTCACATTTTGAAAAATAAAGTATATTTAAGTCATATTTATTTATTTATTTATTTATTTAAGTGCCACGCACCTTAATCGGCACCCAGCCTTATCAGGCTTATGAGGCACTATACAAATACATATACATGTAATTACAGTGTGTTATTTATACAATTTTTTGTCGTTTTTCAAGTGCTGACATTATAAATTTTGCTGTAAGTTTTACACAATTTTTATTTGAAAGAAGATGTTTCAGTAAATCTTGATTATCATGAACCATAGGGGGTCTTATTATAGTTTTTCTCAAATCTTTGTAACAAGAGCATTCTAGAAGAAAATGTTTCTCAGTTTCTATATGTCCACATTTACATGCCTCACAGAGTCTTTGTTCAACAGCAAGGCCTTTATAGCGACCAGTTTCTATGTTCAGGTGAAGAGTACCTGACCGAGTTCTAGCAATAACAGATCTTTGATTCCTTGATAAAAATAATTTTATATAATCCTCTGTACCAAAATTGTCTTTAATTAACTCATATGTACGTAACTTTGGCATTGTAGTTATTTGAGCTGTCCATTTATGTATAAAGCGATTCATTTCAGAATCTTTTACAGTTTTTAATGTTGACCTTTCACTTGAATTCTTAAAGAAACGTTCATTATAGAGGTCTAACAGGTTAGAATTTTTAAATATATCTTTGACCTCTTTACACCATCCTCTATGGCCTTTTTCAGCATTGGCATAGTCAAAGTCAAATATTCTTCGAGTAATCCTTGTTCTTGGCATTCTACTAAGTCGGATGAATAAATGAACCATTTCAACATGGTGCCTAACACATGGTGGTATCCAGCCTATATCTCCATATATAGCTGGAATGGGAGCATATTTCCCTAAGCCCATAAGTCATAAGTGATTTTCCAAGTTGGTCGATAAATAATTAAGAGGCAAACCACTAAGTTAATGGGAGATTCTGATCCATTTTTTTATATCAGTAATTTAATATTTACTCTTTTTGACAAAATGGATAAATGTGGGCATATCAAGGACAATTGTCCTGAATTAACAGATTGAGTTATCAATAAATTAAATATCCCAACAAAACCTCTTAACTACCTAGCCTTGTATTTGAAATTTGATTTCCTGCATCAAAATGCATTAATGATTGGCATTTATTTTAGAAATGTGATAACTTAGGATTGCCTACAATCAAGGATTAAGTATAATAGAATACAATGAGATCAACAGGTGCAATCTACCCACGAGCAGGGTAAGTTCAGAACTTGTGGCTCCCCCTTTGATCCAGTCATGTATTGCAATATTTACCAACAGTATTCTCTTGTATCTTGATGAATCCTCATCACATCCTCACTTTTTTGTGGATGATGTTTGGCAATCAGCAGTCAGTGGTCAGCATCTGTAACAAATGGCAGGTTGTGATATTTGGCCTGTTAATGCCTTGTCTTTCAAATCTAGTAACCTTGTTGATGGCCCTCAAAATGTATTATCTTTGTTTTCCAGATAAATTGACTGAGTCTATATTGTACTATTAGGCTCATTTGAGAGTGTATAACTTGCCATGAAGTATATCTCAACTTATGAAATGAAGTTTTCATCTTGTTTCAGGTTAACACCATATATCTTACTTCTCCTTGGCTCCAAGGCACTCAGAGCATTTGGCCTCTACCTATCATATGATCTGTTGAAGCTGATTCATGTTGTGCAGTTCCTTTTCATAGCTAAGCTAGGGTAGGTAGAGTTACATGTACTTACTATATGAAGCAATTGTTTACAGGTGCTCAGTGCCTACATAGTACCCCACACACAATTTTGTCGCCTACTTTGATGTATTGTAGAAAAATATCCAAAGAGAGTTTGCTTATAAAATTTGGCACACTTAAACTTGAAACATTTTGTGACACTCAAATTTTTTTATTTGGAAATTTAAGTAATATTGACGAAAAACAAGCAATTTTAAAATATTCATGTTTTAACAAAATTCAACGAAAATTTGCAGTTTTAAAGAGAGTTTAAATCATTTTGATAACATTTTGATTACAAACTTATTGCATTACATATGGTTTGTCTGTTCTCTTAAGATATTGTTACTATGTGTTGGAGATGTTTAACTCCTAAACAGAAATATTATAAGTGTGGTTTTATCATTGTTTAAGAGTGAAGACCCCTTTTAATACTTTCAATACATGGACAGGTGCATGTATCATATGATTTGTTGGCTTTAAGTCTAAAAAGGTTTATCAGGGCACCAAAACACATCCCTGCTTGGATTTCTATCCCATCCTACCACTACAGCATTTCCTACTGTCTCACTCGATTAAAGAGTAGCTCGCATCTCATAAAATCTCAGGAAAATTGTTGTATTTTGTTTAAGACATTATTAACGGTGAGCTTGCACTCAATTTTTCATTTGGCCTATGATCGGGAGGCCTTATTCACCCAATACCTCATATGTGGCCACCGACGGCTTACCTTTTGTTGGAAATGATTCACTTGGATTTAACATGTGAACTTTCAGGGATAACATCATAACATTGTAACATTATAACAGTCACTCCTGCTTGGTTCAGTTTTGCTTTTACCAGTGGATTATAATGGTGTTTAATAGGATAGGATTGACCAGAATATTCAAATTGTTTTGTAATCAATTTGTTACAAATTGTTTCAAAATTTACCTTAATTTAGGTCAAATCTGTAAATGCGTAGCAATTTAGAAACCGAAGTCAAATTGTGGTGAAGTCATATTACCCCAAATAAAAAAACTTAGGTGTCACAAATTGTTTCAATTTAGTGTATGCCAAATTTCATGAGAAAACTCTTATTGGATATTTTTCTACAACACATCAAAGTAGGCGACAAAATTATGTGTGGGGTACTATGTAAGTGAACAATGTTTTTCAAGCCTTGATATTCATAGGAAAGAAACTTAACTTGGTGCAAATCGTGAATTGAAATAAGCTAATTTGGAGTATTTTAGAGATACTAGAGACCTTTTAAATGAATAATGAAAAAAAAAGATTGGATAGTGAAAAATATGATGTTTTACACTTGTACTTTTCTCAACTGTCATAACTTGATGACCTAATTGCGATTGTTTGATTTATTTTAGATCGTCAGTGGTGCTGATATTTCTACAAAAGCCTTTCTCAGGAGGAAAAAGGTTGTCAAAGAACCAGTGGTTTAGGATTTGTAGACATGCCCTTATTGGTAGTTTATTAAACCTGCTGTGGCTGTATGGACTGACACTGTGTGGTCCTTTAAGGTTATTATTTTGATATTTTTAAAGAAAGAGAATTTTATGAATTTGATTTGGGAATTGATGGGGAATCGCCCATCAGGTTACATAATAGTCAACTTTCCTGAAAATTTTGAAATTCAAAAGTTGAAAAGGTACATTGAATATTTTGGTACCAATGGAAAGCTAAGAACAAGGAGAAAACATTCTTGCTCATAAATATGTTGTACATGGTAAGACAGATGTTGCAGAATTCTGTTTCCATGACAACAATATATTAGGAAATAGGTATTTTTTATTTTTGCTTATGAATACATTCAGATATGATGGATTTAGTTATTAATAAAATGGTGTTACTGTTTTGTTTCAGGGCCATCTTGATATTTGAGCACAGTGATCTGGTTGTGATTGCTGCATTGAGCGCCCTCTTTACACACAATGGAGGTGGCCCAGCCAAGGTATGAAATCTTTAGTTTAACATCGAGAGATGTTTTCTGATGAATGAAAAATAATACATACATAAACTGATAAAGTACATATTTGGTTATTGTTAATGGGATTCTCACATGACACTTTATTAATGATAATAAAAATATTAGACTTTATCAACATTCATCTATGTACTTTGAGAATTTAGTATGTTATATGGAACTTATGTGATCTGAAATAAATAAATCTTAAATGATTTAGCTCAATGGCTCATGAAAATCAATGAACTAGAATCATATCAGTGAAAGAGACTTGAAAAAATATAATAACTAATTTATTTCCAGCTCCGTGGTGCTATGTTTCTGTTACTTGCTGTTACTGGGATCTTGTTGTTTGACCATGATGACTACAGAGCGGATGCAGCAGAGCACAGTATCCTTAACAATCCCTTAGTTTGAAAGTTTTAGGGGTCATGATTTAATTATTTTAAAGTTGTAAAATTGTATTTACTCAGTTTACTTACAGTATGGATAGAGGTGAATGTGGTCCAGTCTAACATCACACATCTTAACTCTCGTCTTATTTAAAACATATTTGTATATACTATATTGCTATACATTTGTATAGCTATAACTATTTCATTTTGAAAATATTTTTTCCTTGACACTACCCAGCTGAAAACCACCATAAAAGCATCATCACACACTTGTTTAACCACTTCACCAACTGGTCGGGACTCTCAGATCACAAGGTAAGCAATGAATTCTAGTCTGCTCAAAAATAAATCAAATTAGAAGAAATTAGTAGAAATTGATTTTGACATGCATTTATATTTCAGTTCATTAGTGTGAAAGAAACCTTGAGTTTCAGTTGGAGTTAATAATAATGTTTCCTAGTCTGCTTAAAAATAAATTAAATTAGAAGGAATTAGTAGAAATCGATTTTGACATGCATTTATATTTCAGTTCATTAGTGTGAAAAAAACCTTGAGTTTCAGTTGGAGTTAATAATCTTTGTTAGTTGATTTGAATTTGTGCTGTTGCTCTCATTCAAAGTCTGAAAACAATACATACATGTGTTAATTTGTACAACTACTCTTCAGGGTGGTGTGATGCTTCTGTTCTTCACACTGTGTATGTGGACAGGGTACAGTAGTGCTTCTAAAAAACTCTCACTAGATGTAGGTGGAGCTAAACGTCTTCATGCGCTATCCACATTGATATCTGCCATCCTGCTTAGTCCATGGGCGGGATTTATCTATGTCACACGTGAAGTGAGTTAAATAGTTTATGCATTTTCCTTGAATCGATTTGTAATTCAAAATTCAATGAAAGATTGAAACATCTCTTACTTCACTAATATGCTACTGACTCTGGATGTCATGTGCAAATGTATTATATTTTCAAATATGTCATATATGTCAATATGTCATATATGAGATCAATTATAGCTAGATGTATTACGCTGATTGTGTTTTGTCTGTTAATATGAGATTCCAACATAGCTACGATTTGACCAACTTTTGACAAAACTGCAAAAATTAGATCTTTATCCCAGGGAGAATCCTGAAGTTTTATAGAATTGAATTTGATATTTTAGAGCAAAGACATGTCCCTGTGGTCTGTGGTGATACCTCTAACTATAGTGATCCCGATTGCATTCCAGGGAGAATCCTAAAGTTTTATATAGAATTGAATTTGATATTTTAGAGCGAAGATATATCCCTGTGGTCTGTGGTGATACCTCTAACTATAGTGATCCTGATTGCATTCCAGGGAGAATCCTAAAGTTTTATATAGAATTGAATTTGATATTTTAGAGCGAAGACATATCCCTGTGGTCTGTGGTGATACCTCTAACTATAGTGATCCTGATTGTGTTTCTTGCTGACTACTACATTGATGCCATAAGTATCCAGCGCCTTGATGCTCCAACAGCTGCAAAGTTTGGTTCCATGGCAGTGTTCACTGGCGCTCTTGTCATCAGCTTCTTCTGGAATCACCCATATGCATCAAAGATCACATCGATGCATCACATTGTAGAAGTGGTACAAGAGGATCATGTACTGTCTGGAGGTGTCATCTTCAGTTATGTACTCATTATGTTTGGTAAGTTACTGAAATATGTGATGAAGCGGTGCAAAAATGTTAAGTTCATGGCTTATTGCTATGAAGGTACAAGAATTTAAAAACAGCTGTTCTCCATGTTCCCTGACATGAACAGCTAGATTATCAATACAAATGAAATCATTATTTTCCATGCCACAAGTTTATGTCTTTAACTCTATTACTCTCTAATATTGTAGATTTATGTAATCATCTTCATGACCAAGATTCCATTTGAATAACATTGCACTTGCAGCTACTCATATCCTGACAAATCCGTCCAAGATGTCCAAGGGCAGTTTTATAGGATATTCTGCAGCTGGGTTGCCCCTTTATACAGTTGCTGGGGAGGCCCTACACAGGACCTCCCAATCTGTGCTGACAGTAGCGAAGAATGGACTCCAACAGATCCTCTCTGAGTCAGATTCAAGGAAGATATTCTACTTTCTTTGCATTAATCTTGTAAGTTTATTTAAGAGGTGCTGATTGTATAGATAGACTGAAGTATGAACTTATTTCTTCCCTGATTAAAATTCTGTTTCGTAACATTGAGCTTCCAGATCAGTGTACCTGGGACAAAAACACCAGCCCAGAGCCCTAAAGCTACCAGTTATTTTTGCAGTATGTACTTGTATATTTCAAAATAACAAGGCAAACATGACTTGGTCTAAAATAATTATAATCTATGATTAAAGCACCTACAATGTTAAATACATGTATTTCTCAAAAATGCAAGTTTTGAAATCTGACATTTTCAGTGCATTTTTCTGTCACTCATTATTGATATGTTTTACAGGCATTCACATTTGTTGAGTTGATTTATGGAGTATGGACCAACAGTCTTGGTTTGATCTCAGATGGTTTCCACATGTTATTTGACTGCTCTGCTCTAGTCATGGGTCTCTATGCTGCCGTAATGAGCAAGTGGAAGGCCACCAGAATATACTCTTATGGGTAAGGTTGTTACTCTTGCATCAATACCAGGTGTTTCACGAGAATTTATCTATCTATTATTCAAAGTATCTTAGGCTATTCTATATTTCTAGCTTTGTGAAATTGAAACAAATAAAACATATCATTAATTGTCGGATATCTATGTTGTAAATAGTACATTTGAAAACAAAATTGGTCTAACATTGAGATAATTTTTCCATTTTCTTTCCCATGAAATCCAGTCTCCTGTATAGAAGGAAATTACTCGATTCCAAAGTTCTCCAAAAGTTCAGATTCTAGTTGGGTTTTAAGTGTGAGTCCCACCATTAGATAAATCATAAAATACACAAACACATAACTATTACCATAAATGGGGTTTTCAGGTATGACAGAATTGAGGTCCTCTCTGGCTTCATCAATGGTGTTTTTCTTGTTGTCATCTCTTTCTTTGTCTTCACTGAGGCCCTGGAGAGACTCTTTGACCCTCCTGAAGTCAGCACAGAGAGATTGCTTGTAAGTTTTATGTTTGACTCCCCTGTTGTCAAACTTAGCTTCTAACATAATAAAATAATGTGTCAAAAAAATAAAACTTGTGTGTTAAGAAGTATTCTGCAGCAAGTTATAAATAATAAATAGCCTATCCCAAATATTTTAAAATGATGAAGATTTGCAAAATATGATATGACATAACTTTGCTTATATAGGCTGTATCAGTGGCAGGACTTATTGTTAACCTTGTTGGCATAACAGCATTCAGACACGCCCACTCCCATGGTGGCGGAGGCGGACATGGTCATAGTCATGGAGGAGGTCATGGTCATGCCCATGGAGGTCAAGGTCACGGACACTCCAATAGCAACCACAGTCACTCTAATGGTAACCATGGTCATTCTCATGCTGCCAGTGAACCTTGTGCTTCCAGCTCTACTCACCATAACACCAATATGGAAGGTAATGATATTACATAATGAAAATGCAATAGATACTAATATAAAGCAAGAGAATGTTAAAAACAAACAGTCTACCGAAAGTATCCCTCTTACCTTTAAGATTTATAGGCCTTCAAGTTTCCTGAAATAAATGTCATATTCTTCCAGTTGCTGAAAACAAGTATACAAAAGCAAAAGACGTTTAAAATCAGTATTGAAATAACATGTATATGAATGACCCTATGACATGTATGACAATAGTTCTTATTTTATTCATAATATTTGTTACCTCTAGGTGTGTTCCTGCATGTGTTAGCAGACACCTTGGGCTCAGTGGGAGTCATCATATCATCCATCCTCATAGAGAACTTTGGCTGGAATATAGCTGATCCTATCTGTAGCATCTTCATTGGCACACTTATCTTCCTAAGTGTGATTCCCCTACTGAAGGAGACTACATTGATATTGGCCCTGAGAACCCCAGCTGAGTTAGAGGGGCCATTGAATGTTAGTTTACAAAAGGTTTGTATTTTAGAGACACATTTGTTTTTATTTTATTTTTTAATTATAATGTTAACCTAGAGGGATTGACTTCTTAAGAACCACCAGATATAGTAAGGTCGAACAATGTGTGTAGATCTGGGTATATTGATGGGTTGCTTCATATAAGTACTACTACTAAATCATAGGCTTTCTCTAGAAGCCCTATTTGAGATAAAGATAATTGAAAAAATGCATTGACGAATGATATATTGAAAATCATATAAGCATTTTGATTTGAAAATATATACAGGATACTTATTGGTTGAATTCAGGTGCTGGATTTGGAGGGTGTTTTGTCATACAGAGAGCAGCATTTCTGGCAGCACTCTAGCAATGTCACCTGTGGCACTCTACATGTACAGGTGACAAAGGGCATCAGTGAACAGAAAATAATCTCTCAAGTAAGATTATATTACGTTGCTATAGTGTCATGTATTGTAAACTGTAAAGTATTAAATTCACTCATGCGAGTCTTTTTATTATCTCTCAATGGCAATTGCCTCCAATACAACTTGAATAAAATTAAAATTGTGAAAGAAAGTCATTTATCCTTCTGTTGTCTGGTTGTCTCAAAATATGAGATCAAACAATAAACATTGAACAATTTGGTATGGAGTAAACGTTTCATTTCTTATTTATTTTCAGATAACTGCAATATTTAAAGACATTGGTATAAATAACATGACAGTACAAGTTGAAACAGAGGCCTATTTTCAACATATGACAGGTCTTGGCTCTCAGCTTGGACAAGTTGAAGAAATCACACAAAATTTGAGGACGTTGAATTATCAACAGACAGTGAGCATGATAAAAGCCATTTGATATGGTGGATTTGATACAGTGTTACTAAAGTGATTATTTAGACATCCTATGATGATACCAAAAAACTCCCAGAGCTGAAATGACATAGTGCTCTGCACTATGATCTACAGTTATACTTACATATGGGAACACATCCCTAAAGAAAACAGCTCTAAGCATGATGTTATTGTTGTGACTTAGTCTTTATTTCATATCATTATGATTTAATGGTCGAATGCCATTCCATGTGGACCGTGGAGCTTATTAAGTTCAGTAATACTTAAACAAGTTTTACTGTATGGACTAAGTAGATCATTTAGAATGATAACAAGTTGATCTATACACTATGTATAAATCATGACTTGTATTGTGTGTTACTTATTGTTTGTAATCACTCCACCTACTAGCATGTATTACCCAAACCCTTACTGTTTGGAGAGCAGTACAATTACAAGAGATTTGAACAGTGAATGGACAGACTGCAATTAAGCACTTATGCTCTGCGGGAGTGCATCCTTATTTTTTTTAATTTGACATTTTAAGATATTCATTTGCCAATTAAAAAAGGCAGTGTACATGTATGTTATCTTGATCTAAGATAACCTAAATGTTTTAAATGCATAATGATCTGTAACACACAATCAATAGACTTTTAAAAGTGCTATTTTGTGCAAACTTTTTCTGAAAATCCCATTGCCTTAAAAAACAATTTATTCATTTTCTATTTGACATATGATTTTCGATTATTATAGAAAAAGAGGTTTATTGATGTTGTTCAAATTGTTATGGATCAAAAATATTTTGGGGTAATTTAGGATCAATATTACTGAAAATGGCTCTTAAATGTTAAAATCTCATTGAAATTACTATCAATTAGTATTTAATGAGACTACTTTTTGATTCTGCACAATTTACATACTCTATTTAGTGATTGAAATATTTTTTGAAATAGGCATAGGCCTATATATCTATCTTCATTTTCTATCATTTTGGGTATAAACTCTAGAATTTGGCAGTTCTTTCAAATGAATGTTAATTCATTATCTTAGTCAATTTAAATTCAAATCCCAGCTGTCAAATTAGCTGAAACATGTTAGTGAAATGAATCAACAATGCCTAGTAGTAGTATTTGTAATCAAGCTACCAGTAGCTGTATATATCTTAATCTTATCAATGGAAGCTTAACATACTATGTGTAATAGTCTGATTACCAGTCCAGTATGCCATTTTTCAATAATGAAATATTTTAGTTTTGCATAGCAATGCTTTGCTGTACAGTGTGCTTATTATCCAAACAAGAAGCAACTTGTTACAAGAAAAATCATCAGTAGCTTAAAACTGATTTTGTATAGAAAGAAATATAACATATGTACAGTATTTATTTATTAAATTAAACAATTTATGTTAATTCTATTTCCCAAATATCTGTTCAGTTAATGATTTTTGATGTAATATCAATATTCATTTGCCTCATATGTGATGTATTGAAGAGTCTTTACCTACATCAGCGAATCACCATGTCATCCACTCATCAAATCATCCTTAAGGTTTTTTAAGTTATTGTTGGACCTTCCGTCATTATACTTTTATCACATTTTGGTGCTTTTCAGTATGAATTTATAGCCTACAGGCATTTTGTGTTCTTTTTACATGTAATCTCAGACATCATTGGTAACATTTGTATGGTTTATTCTAAAATTCTCTGAATCTTGTAATGACAACTATTGAGAATTATCACTAGAAGATGCATGTTGATTGGACACCATTTTGTGAAGAGATTCTAATGGACTGGCTGCGTCATACGATGGACAGTCTAAAGCATCATTCTGACATGTCTGAGGCCAACTAAATAGAGGGCCAGCATTCAGCATTTCAACGACAACACTACTTGATGTAACAGTAGCTGTTGGTGATGTTATAGAGGATCCTTGTGATGTCACAACAGCTGTTGATGATGTCATGGTAGCAACTGCTGATGCCAGTGTAACTGTAGTGCCAGGAGAGGAATATGTAGATTCAGGATCACCAAATAGTCTTAATTCTTGAGAGTATGGGAAAGAGGACAAATGTCTTTTACTGCTATATGAACTTGCTGTGTCTGTTTCATCTGTCTTACGTTTTCCACCTTGTCTCTTAGCATTCTCAACTGTTATTTTGATATCAGTTATTTTCTTATTTAGGAGTTTGGATTTTAGGGCTTCCATAGCTATGGCTGTGCTATCTCCTTTCTGCTCAGTAGCTGTACTTGGTTCCTTACCACTGATTGATGCAGAAACAACTTTTCCCCTGCTTCTTGATTCATTAACTATCACCATTCTCGGAATTTGAATCATAGAAGACTCTGTAGAAGTTTTCCCTGTTATTCTGGAGCTCTCTGACTTTATAATGGCTGTGCTGCCATCTTTTGTTGTGATTATCCTATTTGGGACACCCTGAGCAGCAACATAAGCTTTGATGGATGGCTTTGTAAAGTTGTAAAACTTTGCTTTTGCTGCTGGTTTTCTTTCACTCTCACTGGAAAATATAGATAGTAAAACTCTTTCAAAAGTCTGTTTTTCAGTAAGTCAAGTCGGTCAGAATCTAAGTTAGATCTAGAAGAATGAAACATAGATGATGCCTGCTTGGTTACCAAAAAAATAGACACATATATTGTATTAAGGTATAATTTCCAGATGTAAATGTTTTTTATTTTCAATAACAGATGTGGCAGTTGTGTTAATATGTTAAATTATTGTATTCACCTTACTGGAACCTTTGATAGCACAATGTTTGTAGGAAGCCTATGCATGGGTATGAATGCAGGAATTGTTGATTTCACTGGCTCAGGTAGTAACCAGATCAAATAGCTGCACAGCTCGGGATTGCGGGCATTCAGGAGAAGTTTGATGTATTTTTCAGTCTAGCAACAAAACAGAATTTTCTATTATTTGTTTAACCTGCTTTTTGTTGTGAGCTTTAACAAAAAGATCATTTTTATGTCACAACCACAAGTGTTGAAATATTGTTATAGTTTCCAACTTTTTTGTGGATGGTGATCGGTGTCTGTAACAAATGACAGGTGGTGACATTTTGCATATTAATGCCTTGTTTAGATTTTACAAATATTTTTTATAATACATGTCTAAGATATACTAACATCTAAACTGATAGTGATAGTACTCATCAATCCAGTAAGTAAGTTGATTGTAAATAAAATATAATTTTGGAACAAACAATTCTGCAAGGGTTAATACGGTATTTTGATATAATTATAGAACAGTATATACATGAATTTTTTTTAAAAAGATGATGTTTCAATATCTAATGTCCAAATTCTACTTAATAAATCCCCAGACATGCCAGAGTACTTAGGCTAATGGAGGGTTACTTGGTAACTGACCTGTCTTCTATGCTCATAGCCAAGCTTGGGGTTATAATCATGAAGTAAAGTTATGAGCATTCTGTAGACCTCAGGAGATGCATCATTCTCATATTCTATTTTCAGTAGGTTAATTGCAGCAAGATATGGTGTCAACTCAAGTTTGTTAGTGTTGTATTCTGCAATTAGAAAAACATGAGTGGATGAGGTTTAATATTTGTCTTATACATTAAAAGCCTATAATTTAAAAATCAATAAAACATACATTATATCAAATACTGCATCCTATAATTCATTTATTCTGCTTTTTCAAATACAGTAATATATACTTGAAATATACCCCCTTTGTAAGTTTGAAAATGAAACTTTAAGTTATGCCTGTCTAAGATAGACTTTTTATCTTCAAACCTTGATCTTCAAAAAATTTTATGAAACAAATTCATACAGAAGACAATTTTTTTACTATATCATATTTTGGGAAATCATTTCTCATTCTAACCAGAGACATATATATATAGGCTGTTTTTATAATCATTTTTTATATATATCGGGTGTCCCAAAAAAAACGTCCCGCTTTTTGAGCTCTTATAACTCTGCAAGATATTAACCAATTCATTTGAAATTTATCAGGGAGTAAGAGAACGATAATATCTATAAGCTATAAAAATATTAAATTAATCGGATGTACATTATGTGAGTATCGCCAAATACAAGATAGCATAGCAAGAAATGTAATATCAGAGGATAACTCAATTATTTCACCTTATAATGTAGATTGATGAGCATCGCCAAATACAAAAGTTAAACAGCATAAGATAAAAAGTTGGTACAGCAAAAGATCGACAACCCACTTATCTTATAACTTGTGCTCAATGTGGCCTCCATCTTCCTTCACAACTAAACGAAGTCGTTTCTTCTATACATAGATACTGCTCTTGATTTCATTCTGTGATATCTCCTGCCATGACGCACTTAATTCTCTCTTTTAATGTTTGTTCTGTAAAATTATCCCTCATACCACTGTTAACTTTTTGATTTAGAGGATCCCAAACAGAGTAATCCATTGGATTACAGTCTGGACTTTGTGGAGGCCATTCAACCTTTTTGATAAATGCTGTGGTGGATATCTCCAGATACGCATGAGTTACCCCACTTGTGTGGGAAGGGGCCCCATCTTGAAACACATAGTCATTTCTAGGGTAAATCCTCCTACAATCAGGTAGCAGATTTTCATCTAATAACTTAATATAGCTTTCGCTGTTGACTTTGGCTTTGTCAGTATTAATGAAATAAATGTCCGTCTTCCCCTTCCAGGATACTCCTGCAGAAACCATTATCTTTTTGGATAACGTGAAGTTTCATGGTAAAGACGTGATGGTTGAATTTGACGTTTACGCTTTCCATACACCCGATCATTTTGACGATTTTTGGGCACTTCAAGAGAAAAGTCCTTCTCATCAGTGAAAATGATCTTCTTGACATCTGCGGATGAATAACGATCATATTAATTGCGACATCTTGTTTTTCTTTTTCCTTTAACATATAAGTGAGTTGTCGATCTTTTGCTGTACCAACTTTTTATCTTATGCTGTTAAACTTATGTATTTGGCGATGCTCATCAATCTACATTATAAGGTGAATTAAGTGAGTTGTCCTCCGATATTACATTTCTTGCTATTCTATCTTGTATTTGGTAATACTCACATAATGTACATCCGATTAATTTAATATTTTGATAACTTATAGATAATATCCTTATCTTACTCCCTGATAAATTTCAAATGAATTGGTTAATATCTTGCAGAGTTATAAGAGCTCAAAAAGCGGGACGTTTTTTTTGGGACACCCGATATATATGTTTTATATGTCTCTGTTCTAACATAGCCAGCTACATGTATGTGTAGTAAACCGCGCCCTCTAGTGGCCAAAATATACAGTTTACTGTTTAAAATATTCTTATGTATGTATATGCGTATATGGAAGGATAGATTGGAAAGGTACCCCAGTGGATAATGATAACTGGATATTAACTTTGTAAGGGCTAAATTATGTTTGTAATTAAATGTAAGGGCTTAATTATGCATTATAATATGTTAATTAATATTGATAAGGTGCAATGTCATACGTATATAAATAGTAGATAACTAAATAGTATAAAAGATGGCGTGTATGAACATGTGCATATTTTCACCAGCTTAGATAGATGGCGTATAATTATGGCTAGCCAACTGGTACAAGTGAGAATGAATAACTATATAAGGGTTTAAAAGATGGCGTGTGTGTATGGCAAGCTGATAGCTACTAAGCCGTCATTAAATAATGGACTTGTGAGGTAACGGTTTGGCCCAATTTGTATAGATGAATAGTATGGATCCAGGACATGAATTGAATAGCTGGGAGCTATGATGTAATGATGGGTTGTAAAGATATGTTTGAAGTTATGACAATAGGTTTTAATAATTGAATTTTACATTTAAATGGGCATTCCTACAGAGCTCTTCAAATACAATAAACCTACACAAAACAGACAATTAAAGTAGCATATATGCATATCGATGTTTTTATTATAAAGTTAGAAAAATGTATAAAATATAAAAACAACACTCAATGAATATAAAGACAATTATCCCCAAAATCAAGAATTTATATAATCAATACTTGAGCGTTTAAGGAGTAATGCTGTGGAGTAAACACACAATTGAGAATGTTTAAGCTAATGAACTTCCATTAAGTGGTAATTAGTATGACAACTAATTTCAGATTTACAAACATATTAGCGAACATAAGTCTAATAAAATGATTTTCCAATTAAACGGTATAATTTTGTATTGTTCATGATTTCACGGGTAAAAGGTGAGATAGATATTGAAATCACGGCACAATTAAGGCAATGACATATTAATGATGCAATGAAGGTCAACTAATTAAAGTAAGCCTTCGACGGCCAAACAAAGGATTTCAAACCAACTAATTAAAGTAAGAATGAACAAATGGAATAATTTTTGAAGGGAGTGTTTGATTGGAAAACTGACAGTTATATCCTACTATTAAAGATTACAAGTTTTTGATATATTTGTCCTATGTACACGAGATGTGCAAAGATTATGCAACATTTGATCATTCACATTTTAGTGATAGGCTGCACCCAGAACGACTTCGGGGCCGTTTATGTGTAGGAAAAGAGCAATTTTAAATCATGTAATAGAAACATTTTTAATCCAAAAACCAATCTTCAAAGGCTTTTTGGAATTTTGACTTTATTGAAATTTAAATGGAAGATTGCATAGATATTAAAATATCTTTACGTATGAATTTGTAATCTTATAAGCACAATAGCTGAATTGATTGAAATGCGGTGTAGTCACGCTATGGTCACGGCTCCGGGTCCACACACGAAGCTCGATCCCAATACTGGAAAACCCTGCCCTTGAATTAATTCTAATTGTGCAAATTCAGAATTGAAATTTAATTAATCTTGGCTTTGATTTAAAAGAGCAATGATTTAAAAGAATTGTTTCAATTGTTTCTATAAAGTGAGAAAGAAATTCCATTGTTTGAATCAAATGCTGAAGTTTGTTTAAGATTAAAGCAACGTGCTTCATGAATAGTTTGCACGGGAATGATTGAGTTTTAATTAATTTCGAAGTTAAAACCAAAAGCTTCAAATTAATCCCGATATAAGAAATAAAAATAGCTACAAATATGTCCCGGTTGAGGATAACACGACAGAATGTCATGTAGGCTCACTTTAAGGCCCATTTCCTCGGAGAAAATAACAAGGGACGGATAAAAGTAAAAGTTCCATGAGGGAGTTTTCCCGTGAATTAATCACACTAACTTAACATGGAAAGTTCAATCAAAGAATTAATTATGCTATCTAACTTAACAATAATTTTCAATATATTCACCTGAGTTACAGCAGAGTTTTCAGACATCTTAATGTTCCCAAAGATATTTCCTTTAAGCGAAGTTCGAAATATTCGAGCGGAAAAATATAGCCCTGTGTATTGCTAGAAACTATCCAACCAGAATGCCGGAACTAGTCTCAAAGCTCTTTACAAAAATGTTTTACAAAACGTTACAAGTTATCGAATACAAAAATGAACAGAAAGCTACATAAAGAAGTTATATAAATAATGAATAACACCTCAGAATAAGAAAAGGGATGTTGATCGATCATTTCGTAGGTTTTTTTAAAAGAAACCAATTTTGAGTCCTCGAGATTAGGCAACATGGCGGCCATTGTAAACAAATAATTAAATTTTGGATCAAAATTACATTTTTACGTGTTCCTACGAAAGTAATTGATGGATCAACAAACCTGGAAAGAATAAAGAAATCGGAAGGTAAATATAATGGATTCAAAGAGCGGAAAGACTATAACTCCCAACCATTTGCAAGAAAAATAAAGATTGAAATTGAAAATAAATTACCGGGTTTTTACAATATCCCCCCTTTAGTTTGTTCGACCCCGAACAAATAATTGAATTTGGTGATAATAAAAGAAAACCCAGGGAATTTAGTTTCGAGTTACACTGTAACTGGTAATGTCTCTTAATTATGAAATGTCTCTCATGATTGATATTGAATGTCACATGTTTTAATTGTGTTTCTTCATTGAGTAGTCAACAGGCATGAATTGTTGGCCATCTGGTATTAGCGTCGAAAACAGGTCCCCTGGAGTGGCAGCGGGATACCATCCTTTTCCATATAAGACTTTACTTCTCCTGTCATCAACGTCTGATCGCTGGTACTGCGTTTCACTGTTTGTCGTGCCCTTCATATAATAGGATTGCCTCTTCCATTTGAGTGAAGATTTCACGAGAAGTTTTCCACCACTTGGCCGCGAGATCTCCTCATCAGGTATTTCTAGCTGGATTATATCCTGAGGTTTAACATTTAGTTCCTCATCCAAGGTCTGCTCTTCTGAAGACTTGGTGGCCTTCTGGATGTCTTCCAGAGTCAGTCTATTAATGGTGACTCTCAGGCTTTTAGAACCCAACTTAGGACGTTTGGACTTAGCAGCATCAGTGGTCACCACCTTCCTTTTCTTCCCAGTTGAGCTAGGAGACTGGGTTGCGGCAGATTTGATGGGCTCTTTGATGAATCCAATTTTTGAGGGAACTAGTTCTAGGGTCCCTGAAGATGAGTGTTGTCCAGATGTTGATGTTCCAAGCTTGGATGGATTAGGAGAGGAAGGCGACAAGGACTTTGATGATGACTGGTGTGGTTTTGTTGAAGGGCGTTTGAGAGATGCGGACAGTTTGGATGAGGTTTTTGAAGTCGAGATCTTCGGGATCTTTATAGAAGAAGAGGGGTATGATGATCGGCCATGCGATACTGATGATTTTGACGCAGAAACAGATGAAGATGATACTAGAACCTTTGATTGTTTATCTGATGGTCGGCCACGAGTCGCAGATAATGTAGCAGATGAGGATGAAACTGATGGTACCTTATGTGACTTCCCAGGCTGGTATGATGACGATGTTCGGCCATTGGACAAAGATGGCTCAGCTGTCCAAGATGAGAATGATGCCCTCTTTGTTGGCTTCACAGATGAGGACTGGAACGACCTTGATGAGGATGATCGGTCATTGGACAAAGATGGCTCAGTTGTCCAAGATGAGAATGATGCCCTCTTTGTTGGCTGCACAGATGAAGACTGGAACGACCTTGATGACGATGATCGGCCTTTGGAAAAAGATGGCTCAGCTGACGAAGATGAATGGCGCCCATAATTCCTGTCCTTCTTATGTCTTCTGGCGTGAGCCTTTACATCAGCTTTATGGTCGAAGTGGCGACCACAGTAATGGCAGGTGTAGTTCTTCCGTTGGTCAACCTCCAGGACTACACCATGGAAGGATTCTTGGTGACGTCTCAACGAAGCCTCACTTTCGCAACGCCTCCCACAGAGCTTCCTGTCAACTATGGCTCCACAGATGTAGACCTGTAACAATACAAATAGAGAGTGGCTTTCACTAAACAATGTAAATTTAAGGTTTATGATGTATCATAGTCCTTCAGCCAGGCAGGCTTGCATCTGGTCCTCCTGGTGGTTCTCCTCTCTGGCACATCTACCTGTATGGGATCAAACTCTGTAGGAACGGGTGATGGAGTGGTATTTGGAAGTGTGATGTTGTCAGAGTGTTTTGGAGTGGTGGAGAAAGAATTGTTTGCATTGTTAGCTTTAGGAGTCAAAGGTTCAGGGTTAGTGAGTTCAGATAGATGGTTAGAGATCCAATCAGGCACCTTCCCAAAGTACTGCTTGAGGCGATTTGAGTGTACAACCTTGCACGGCCCATTAGTTCCCATTTGAATTTCAAAATTGAGATCAGAGATCTTCCGAGAAACTAGGAAAGGCCCGGTCCAAGGATTGGCAAACTTTGGACTAGTTCCCGGCTTCACGACAGAAGTGTGTAGCCACACAGTGTCTCCTACACCGAAGTTTCGAGCTGCAGATTTGACATCATAGTATTTTTTCTGCCTGTCAGTTGATATATCTAGGTTCTCTCGGGCGCATTGATGGACACGTAACAAGGTCTTTTCGAGATTTTGGCAAAAAGAAGTATAGCATCCTCGATCTTCTTCTTCCTCCCCCAAGGGTGGAGTCCCAAAAACAAGCTCTGAAGCTAACCTTGGCTCACGGCCAAACATAAGTTGAGCAGGGCTAAAACCTGTACTTTCGTGTTTGGCACTCCTGTAGCTTGCAGCGATGAAAGGTAGATGTTCTGCCCAATCCCTGTGTGAAGGAGACACAACTTTTGCAAGCATGGCCTCTATGGTACGATTGCTCCGTTCAACCATTCCATCTGACTGTGGGTGGTAGGCAGTTGTCCTCGTCTTACTTATATCTAGCATTGAGCATAGCTCGGAGAATAAATTAGACTCGAACTGCCTGCCCTGGTCAGAATGGAGAAGTAACGGAGCCCCATACCTACAAATGAACTCCTTAAGGACAGCATCAGCTACAGTGTGAGCCTCTTGGTTCCTCATGGCCACCAACTCTGCAAATTTCGTGAAATAGTCTTCGATGACTAAGACATACTTCATCCCATCTGCAGTTTCAGGCAGAGGGCCCAAGATGTCAACGGCTAATCGTTCTAAGGGCGACCCAACGACATACTTCTTTAAAGGAGCTTTTGGGGTTTTCTTAGGAGGTTTCCTTCTCTGACATGGTATGCACTCGGCGACCCACCTGGCCACATTGGCTTTATAACCGACCCAATAATATGATTTCCTCACCCTTCGAACAGTCTTGGAAACACCCATATGGCCACAGTCACGAGCATTATGACAGCCTCTCATTACTTCCTCCCTCAAGCCTTGTGGGACCACAATTTGGAGACAATCCTCCCCATCCTCCACTATGTTTCGACAGATCATGCCTTTTTCCAGTCTCAGTTGGTCGAATTGGGCCCAGTAGGCCTTCAGCATAGGAGAGTATTTGGAGACTTCTTCCCAAGCAGGTCTCTCTTTTTTGACAAGCCACTCTTCAACCAGGCGTAGCTCTGGGTCGACCCTTATCTGTTCAGCATACTGCTTGTGAGTCACGCCATCCACCCAGTTACTTCCTGACAAAGTTTGGATGTCGTCCAAATCATCCTTTGGTTCTACAGTTGGACACATGGCTACTACTGCCAGTTTTGGTGACAGAGTGACATTGTAACAGAGGCTCGCTAATGTTGGGGTGTGTGGACGGTCTTCTTGGCATGGTTGGACTCTCCCTATACATTCCTGACGGTGGCAGTGGCTGCATCGTTCATCACAGGGCCTGCGGGAAAGGCCATCAGCATTCCGGTGTTGCGTCCCAGGACGATGTACAATGTTGAAGTCATATGTGCTCAAGAATTCCAACCATCGAGCAATTTGACCTTCTGGGTTTTTAAACCTCATAAGCCACGTCAGTGCACCATGGTCAGTGCGAACAGTGAACTTGGTTCCGTACACATAATGGTGGAAATTCTTAACGGACTTGACTATGGCCAAAAGCTCTTTCCTTGTCACACAATAGTTGCGTTCTGCTTTATTCATAGAATTGGCATAGAAAGCAACTGGTCGCTCAATTCCATCTTTCACCTGTGAAAGAGCAGCACCAATGCCAAACCCACTGGCATCAGTGTCAAGGATGTATGGAAGAGAGGGATCGGGAAAAGCCAGAATTGGGACATTTAGGAAAGCGTCTTTCAAATTTTGCATAGCCGCTGCACATTCTTCATTCCAGATGAAAGGAGTGTTCTTTTCAGATAATTTATGAAGAGGTCTTGCGATGTTTGAGAAATTTTTAATGAAGCGTCTGTGATAAGAGCAGAGTCCAATGAAGCCTTGGAGATCCTTCAGATGTCTCGGCGTCCTCCATTCAACTATGGCTTTGATTTTGTTTGGATCAGCCTGGATTCCTTGTTCTGAGACAACATGCCCCAAATAAGCGACTTCTCTCCGCAGCAGATGACATTTCTTTGGAGACAACTTTAAATTGGCACTTCTTAGACGCTTGAAAACTTCATCTAACTTCTCTATATGCTCTTCAAAGGTGGCGCTGTATACAATGATGTCATCCAGATATACTAGGCATTGTGTTGGAGTCAACCCTGCAAGCACACACTCCATCAGCCGTTCGAAAGTTGCAGGGGCATTACATAATCCAAATGGCATGACATTGAATTGGAATAATCCTTTTTCAGTCGTGAAAGCTGTCTTCTCTGCATCATCCTCATGCATTTCAACCTGCCAAAACCCACTTGATAAATCTAGGCAACTAAATAGTCGGCTACCATTAAGTGAGTCCAGCAATGTATCTATGCGGGGAAGAGGGTAGGCATCCTTCAGTGTCAAATCATTCAAGATTCTATAATCAACACAAAAGCGTTGTGAGCCATCTTTCTTACTCACAAGCACTACTGGGGATGCCCATGGACTGGAAGATGGTTCGATCACCCCTGCATCCATCATCTCTTGAATGGCCTTGGCTTCGACTTCCTTTTTGGCGAACGGAACTCGCCTTGGTCTTTGTTTCCGAGGCACAGCATCACCAGTATGAATCCTATGTTTTACGAGGCCAGTACGTCCTAGGTCTTCCTTCGACTTTGCAAACATATCTTGGTTTCTCAAAATAAATTTCTCAAGAGTTGCTCGCTGCGCAATGGTTAGGGATGCATCAGTCTCCATTAGCATTTCCAGATAGGAAGGAATGGAAGGCGTAGCGGATTCGTCTTTATTTGATGTTTCTATCGAGTATGCGATGTTTAGTGGTTCATGTGATTCCTTATCACAATAGTCATTGTTGGTCATATTTTCTCTATCTACACTACTAGTATTAGTTCTACTTCCTAAGTCTTCTTTAGTAACATTTTCCACAGGGGCATCAACTTGATCAGGTGTGTCATATAAACGCTCACCTAAACCCAGAACGGTGTCTTTAAAAATTGTCTGCGGACTTTCACTGAAGTTTGTAACACACACATGAATTTTCCCATCGACAGGAGTGGCTAATGTGCGCGCGAGCATCAATCCAGGTGTCTTTGACAAGTCATGTGTGGCTTCCACAAGCAAGTGTTCCGCAGAGCTGTTCACCCTTCCAGCAACAATAACAGAGCACATTGGAGGGACTGTTACATCATCTCTTAGACAAACTCTATAAAGGCAGTTCAAATCTTGGACGGTGGCATCCCGGGCACAGGAAACAACGATGCCTTTGTCCCCTAATGTAACAGTACCACTCCCCACATCCAGCACAACATTATGCTGAGACATAAAATCTATGCCTAATATAGCAGGACACATAATATCTGCTACTAGCATCAAGTGTTCTATTGTTGATTCTCCATCAATTTTCAGCGGTGCTTGATACTCTCCTTCCACAGTGAGTTCGGTACCATCAGCTACCACTATGGCATGCCTTCCAGATCTTGATGGGGAAAGTTTAGGGTGAGTACTGCACCCTTTTAAAATATTAGATGACAAAACACTGACAGTGGCTCCCGTGTCTAATAGACATGGTACATGCACACCATTTATAATTACATTCAAATAGAATCCATTCCTTCTTTCTGACGTAGGTCCTATCTTTGCTACAAAAGCTTCACCACGACCTACATCTGGTTCAGCTTCTTGGAGTTTTTTGCCTTCTCAACTTTTTCTTTGTCGACTTTTTCTGTGCACCGATAATACACGTGCCCCTTCTCCCCACAATTCCAACAGGTGGCATTGACATATCTGTGGTTGGATCCAGTGTGCTTTAACTTGTTCTCGAGTTCCATCAGTTTCTTCATAACTGCAGACTCATCAAATGTAGTTTCTGTAGTTTTTTCTTTTATCGCCCGGACCATTGGAGTTTTACCTTGGTTGCGCCTTATTTTTTGTTGTAAGGACTCATACTTCAAGGCTGCAGCTAGTGCCTCTTGGAAATTATTTGGGCTTGCTTGCCTTACAGCCCACTCGTGACCTTCATCATTGAGGGCATCTTGAAAGGCATCAATTGCCCTATCTTCACGTGATTCCTTCGTGTCCTTAGGGTATCCAAGCCTCACCAGACGTTCAATGTCAGCTGCAAGATCAGTCACTGTCTCATTGGTTTTCCGCAACCTGCATTTCAACTGGTCTCTATGGAAGTCAAGTTGATGAGGTGGATCAAAACGATTTGTCAATGCAGCAAAAACTTTTTCAAAGTTCACCTGGTCATCATCATCCATGGCTGCTAAGACAGCTTGAGCAGGTCCTCTCATCAGACTGAAAAGCTGAGAGCACTTTACCTGTTCAGACCATCCACCTACCCTGGCAACCATTTTGAAAGTAGCTGCAAAATCTCGCCAATCGGTTTTCCCATCAAACTGGGGTAATTTGACAGTGGCAGCTGGCAACTTCAATTCACTCTTGTTGTCATTGTCATTGCTTCCAAGAGAAGTTTCTGTAGTCTCTTTAAGGGGCGTTGGTTGTAATATCCGTTGGCTTGGTGCTCTCACAGAAGCTGATGACATTTGCCTGGGAGGGAAAACACTGCCAGTATTGGTTTGGTTGTCTGCTGTCTGGATTAACTCTGCAGGTGAACTATAGACACCACTGCCATCATTAGGCGGCACACTAGTATAACCAGGGTTTCCCCATCGCTGAGGAGCCATTGGCGTGTAGCCATACGCATAGTTTGGGTAGCCCATATGATATGGCATAATTGGTGGTGGATAGGCATAGGGGCCAAAAGAAAATGGCCCTTGCGATGCTGGTTCTCGTGGTTGTAATGGTACATGGTTGCTCTCATGCGCGCCTCCATAACCATATCCAACATAGGGTTGGAAAGGTGGGGCTTGCATGTCTCTG